CAACTGAACTAAGTTGTCCCTGATTTTTGGTGTTTACCCCCCAAATTCCCTTTTTTTTAAAGTCCATGTTGACTGGAAAAATGGGAAATTGTTTTCAACGTTTTCCCCGATTCCCAGAGTTAGCGGCGGATACACGGGCGGATGTGGAGAGGCACTGCATCCCCCCCCCCCCCAAGTGACCAACCTGAGAGTCCTTCCAACCCCCCCCCCCCCCTCGGCCTCATAGTGGCTGGGAACTCTCAAGTTAGACCTTGAACTACAATCAGGACCTTGGAATCTATTAGTCGGACCCTCTAGGGAAGGTACATGTGTCAAAACCACATCCCCCTGGCAAGAGTCAAGTTAATGGACGCTTACACTAGGCACAAAAATCAATGACCCTTCATTAAAGAGTCAATCTAATAAATGAATTGATTTCTTCTTTTTTTCTACAGGGTCAAAAGAGGGCGCTATACAATATTTCAATACCATTTTTCTGATCAAAATGACTTGTGCATAAAACCTACATGTATGTACCTAAACCCTGAAGGGTTCATATTTTGAATTATGCAAAATTTTGATGAATTGAGCATGGGCGATGTCCAAATGCACCAAAGTTGAACCTATAACTTTTGGGCAACTGAAGTATTTTCCCTCTGGGACCAGCTTTACTAAATTTGCCGAGTCTTGTTAAAACGCACCTACTAAAGCAGAGAGGTCTTTTTCAGAACCATATATGTATGGGCATGCTTGCCAGGATCAAGGAAATGTAATGCGCACAACGGTTATTATTTATCACATCTCACCCAAGGTCAAGGGTTGAATCGTTTAGTACATCAAGCTGTTGCAATGCAGACTTGTTTTTCACCCAAGGTGATGTAGAATGCGTAATATGTGCACCTGTTGTCCCATGCACAGACATAGTCAGCATTGCTGGCATTTCAAGTTCTCTCTGAAACGAACAGTTGCAAGAACTGCTTAGCAAAGAACCCCCCCCCCCCCCCCCCCCCAGTGATAAGTAAGATTTGAGGCTTTGCATGGTGGAGATACTAAATAATGAAAGGTTTGCGGAAACACCATGTGCGAATAGTTTCTCAACTAAGAGAATGGTTCTGAAAAGGAGTTTATACCTCTGGTTCTTTTCAGAGTTTATACCTCTGGTTCTATTCAGAACCATTCTCTTAGTTGAGAAATGATTCTTACAGTGATGTTGTTTCCTGTTGAAAACCCGCTTTTATTATTTATAACAAGATTTTATTATAACAAACAAAATACAACCCTCCTGGCCAAGTTTTCTTCTCAGTCAAAATCAAGTGATCGTTTTTAACAGCTACATGTAAGAGCTCCCAGTAAGCATAAAGCAGGATTGACTGGCTGGGACTGTTTATGTAACTTGATGCAGCTATGCTTTGACTGTAGGGGATTGATAAGCCAGCTGTGCCTACCACTTGTCTGCTTTTGCCTGCTGAAATGACTAGTCACAGTGCTTGCTCAAAATTTGATCCGACTGTTGCAAGGGCGGATCCAGAACACAATTTTGGGGGGGGCCAAAAAAATTTTTGGTCCCCCAAAAAGTGGGTCTAAAAAATTACGGCGTGGGGTTCGGGGCCCGCTAGGGCCCCGAAAATTTTTTGGATTCTAGATGCTCTGTGGTGCGATCTGAGGCAATTTCTGACCACTTTAACCAATTTTTTTGAGGAAAAGATGGTGGTGTACTCATTGCTTGCCTTTATTGCGATGTCACATTAAAAAAAAAAAAAAATTGGTTTCGTTTTGGGGGGGGCCATGGCCCCCTTTGGCCCCCCCCCCTGGATCCGCCCTTGGACTGTTGGTGACTAGCCTTTGTAAAAGGCATGGCAGGGGTTCACGTGTAAAAGTAGGTAGGTTGAACTAAAACCCTAATAATCAGACTAATGCTTCAAGATAATTGAAAAAAAAACACAGATTATTTCAGACATACATTGTATCTTCAATCTTCATCAGCGATAATGAAAGACGTCGTCAGTATAATTATCAACCTCTCACATTATGCTATATTTGGGATTAATTAGAGGAGGAACAAAGGACACTAGAAGGTTCAATATGAGCCTTTCTTCAAAATAATCACTCCTTGTAGTTGTCAACACCTCTGGCCCACTTCCCACCCAATAATATTTTTCCAACTGGATTCATCTCCCCAGAGAATCCCCCAAAAGGAAGGGAAAATGTCTGGTTAGATAAGAACATGGGACTCTAACCACACAGGGAGAATGCGTCATTCCTGAAGGGTACAGACTGTCTGGAGCACATCATTAAGACACTTCTCAAGATGTATTCCAAGTTCTTTAATTTTCTTGCACTGTGCAGGGTGAGTCAAAAAGAAAGTGACCGAATTAGAAAAACAATATTTTACATAAAAATATGGCTCGCTCCATTTCTTAAAAAAATAAGGATAAAGTACATGTTATTGACTAGTAACAGTAAAAATCTAACATAATTTGCATACTCTATTTCCAAGTTATGTCTATTTTCATAAAAAGTTTTAAAAATATTTAGCTGTCCACCACAACTATAGGAAGTGATAAATACCCATTTACTTTTTCCCACCTCCGTGAATGAACGAAAACATACAAAAGAAAACATCAATATTTCAGGGGAAAAAAAGAGTTCTCTCGTTTCTCATATTCAAAACACAAAATCTCACAGTAGAAATAATGTTTCAGTCTTGACCCAAAAGATTAAAATGTCACATATTTTTTGAAATGTGAAATATAATTTTGGGGGTTTTGTTCCACTTTTTTTTGACTCACCCTGTAGTACATGCATGGAAAGAAATGAAATCCAAACATCTGCAAAATCTCCAAACTTTTCTGAAACACTGACTAGGTACAAACTGTAACATGACGCATGGATGTACATCCATGTATCATCACCCACCACACACCACTAATCTTTTTATCCTTAACAGAACCAAGACGAAAGACGGGTTCGATCCCTCCTTAATTGAACATGTCACCTCGAAACAAAATCCAATACTCTGCATTCTGCTCAACAGGAAAAATTGGATCCACTCCTGTCCGACCAATTCTAGTCAGTTAATCCAGACCTTTCATCGACTGCTAAATGTTTGCAGTTACCAAAGATTTGTGGCCCACCTGATAAAGTCAGATAGGTACATACATGAAAAACACATCGATGTCATACATGCGTATGTAATATAACAAATACAAAACTAGACAAGAGCTAGAACTATTACCAGACTAGTTTTATCCGGTTTGTTAGTGACTTTGTCATACACGCGCACGCACCACTCATTACAACCGCCCACTGGCTACATTCAAGTTTCGTTAACTTCCGGTTCCATTCTTGCTATGCTACACCATGTGAAGTACGCATGGTTAAATTGAGATGACGTCACACTAAACAAATCAGATAGCTGAGATTTCCCAACTACATGTACTCTGTCGCAGTTGGAACTGGCCCCTTAGCAACTACAGTTGGAGCCGGCCCAGGTTGGGGCATAACAGTAGTATTAGTACTTGTAATAGGTCCCGTGTGTTGTGTAATGCACGTTAAAGAACCCAGTGACACTTATCGCTAAGAGAAGGGTTTGCCCCGGTGTTTCTGGCAGTGGCTGCTTAATGCGCCGCAGCACCTTGTAAACCATTATAAAGGTGCTATAGGCCTACATAATGGTTCTCATATTCCCCATGTACTTCATTTACCTGTCTCTAGTAATAGACATAATTTCCAGCGCCTTGAGTTCCTAATTGGGAGTAATTGCAGAATACCCCGCCACTCAGAAATACACCCCTAAAATCACTGGCTACGAGGTTGGAATCACAACAAAAGAAACAATTCAAGTCCATTGCCAGCTAAGCGGATACTGAGTGGGGGTCCATTATTTGAGAACGAAGCAACACAAAATGAATGGGAGTTGCTGAAAAAAATTCTAAGTCCAAACCAACCACCCTGTTGGCGGCTACGAGGCTACGGAGTGGGAGTCCCCTTGAATATGCTTGAGAACGAAGCAACACAAAAGGAATGGGAGTTGCTGAAAAAATTCTAAGTCCAAACCAACTACCCTGTTGGCGGCTACGCGGTCACGAAGTGGGAGTGCAATGGAGCATGACGCATAGTACATATAGCGCTGAGAATGTTTATTGAGATCAATCAGCCGTGACCTCGTAGCCGGCTACGAGGTGGATAGATCGAGTGGCGGGGTATTCTGCAATTGTGCCCCTAATTGTTGGTAGATACCGGTACGTGCCCTATAAAAGACTTCGGTATTATTATTATAATACATACATACTACTAGAAAAGGTGCCCTTAGGCCTTACATTACAAAAGCTGTTGTAGTTTTGTTCATTGATGTTTGTAAATGTAGTATACCCTTAATACTAGGTGCGCGCTTCAGCGCCATGCCGCGCCGTGCATGCAGTTGGCAAGTGTGACTGGTGGTTCGCTGAGTGTGCATGGTAATCGAAATGTGCACAAACAAACTGCGGGCATCATCATGACCGCACGGTTGTCGGTTATGCCTTTGTTTTTTTTCACTGCAATTGTAGGCTGAATCTTCATCGTGGATCTTTTTTTACTTCAAAGACCTGTGAAGTGGTTATTCCAGGCAAGGTTTGGGTGAATTCCAGTTGAAATTAGTGTGTATCTGGGACAAAATTGCACATTTTCAAAAAAAAAAATTTGGACCTGGTTTTAGTGAGCAACTTCCTCCAGCAGCCTATGCTAGATGACACACATTTGATAAAAATTTTGGGCTGGGTAACTCTAGCTATTTCCTTACCCAATTTTAAATAAATCCCACCCTAAAATGTTAATGCTAGATCAACGAAACTATAACCGTACCTGTAGGCTGTAGTGTAACTGTGATGCGATTTAAATACCTTCTGTTGTTGTTAGACACGTTTACCTACCACCACGCATGCCAATGATGTTGATATGATTACGCGCGTAATCTTATCAGAACTATAGAGGGCGGTATACTCACCTAAAGGACGAGTACATCTAGTACCCAGACTACATTCCGTTAGAAATGCATTTTATTTCAGGGATGATCCATACTAATTGGCGGGTCATTTCAAAATGGCGGCGCCCGCAAGAAACTTGCAGAACCGCGCAGTGCAGGGTAAACAACTTTTGTTTTAAACATTCTTCCAACAGTGAACATCTGACCAGAGACCACACAATAGAAAATTACATAACTACCTCTTGTGCAAAGGCTGACATAGGCCTACTTAGGTGTTGTTGTCGATGATGCTAGCTGCACATGCAAATGTGTGTGCAGTCCCATAATTGTGGCCTATTTACTGGACTGCCTCCGTAAACATAGGCCACACATCCACATGTACAAAAACGTGTCGCACTTTGCCAAATTTTGATTTTCACATTTAGGCTTACTTTGTAGGGTTCTTTTTGCTTTGGAAGCATACTCACCCTCTTTATAGGCTAATCAGAAAGTGCTGCCTTTTTTCAGATGTCCATTTTTCGTGAAATTTCCAGATTCAATTGCACACGTTTGCGTATCAAAATTTCAACATAAAATTTCACAAAAAATTAGACATCTGAAAAAGGATTTTTTTTTTACAAAGGCTCATAAATGGATTTATTCAATATTGTGACAGATATGATGCACACTGTCATTGGCAAGTGCCAGCAAGATGTTTTCAATCAGATGGGTAAATCCATTTGTTTTGCAGTCAATATGAGTCTGCCGGTGCACCTGACATCGAGGGACAGTGAACAATATCCAGAGTTAGTGAAGCTCCTGAATGCCCTGTCCCAACACATCACCGAGAACGGAACCAGCTGCTCAGTCCAAAAGGACCTCAGTCAGGTAAAATTCTGGTTCATACTTCAGGCGAATGCAAACCCGAAGTGAATTGGGCGTACAGAATTTCCCCACGGAATTTGCCGCAAAAGTGTTTAACATTTGTGAATTCACAGTTGCGTTCGCTTTCATACCGAGTATCAAACTACCTAGTGACTTCAAATTACCCTGATAATTATTCTTACAAGATTCCAGTGTTTTTGAGTTATTCGTAAAGAGGCTGGCGTTTCATAAAGAGATCGGTGGTTCCTTCATTGGATGGCCTTGAGGGGGCTATAAGAATATATTGCACGATAATATTGCACGAGTCGAAGATGAGTGCAATATCCTTATAGAGAGTGTAACATTTTCTTGTATCCTCTGAAAAAAACATTCAATATTATTATTTGTATCAGACTGACTTGATCCGCAAGAGATACATTTCAGGACACTGTCTTTATTTCTCAAATTTCGTTGAATATTCTTCACTTAACAAATCAAATTTGGCGCCGCTCGAAAGCTGGCATTGTGGTTGTTGACAACAGTGCGCATATACCCTGCTACGTCTGCATGCGATGGTACCGCACACTATGTCCTGTTGTCTGGTTGACAATTGTGAGTTTCTAGGCACTTGATTGTGTACGAACCAGCGAAATTTGTTAAAATGCCAATATCAAAAATAATACTGTCCTCATCCGGGTACTTTTACTGACATAATATTGCAGTCATCTGGGTACTTTTACGAAAGCATGCAATACACTGATATATTTTTACCCCTGGAAGCCTGATATAATAATTTACCATGTTTCAATTACTAGTAATTCAATTTTTTTTTACCAAATTCTTGCCTTTACCTCTCTATAGGCTGAGGAATCATTGAAGAGAGAGAAACAATTCTATCTGCAGTTCCACATCTTGCACCATGAGCTCCAGGAATTTATCATGGATCAGGAGATTGCCGGCCACGATGTAGCTCCCAGCTCCTCAGCAGCACAGGTACATGCAAGGCCCCCTGCCTACAGAGCTTGAATATACCCACTAGGTCGCAAGACTGAGTCCAGTGACGTAATGGTTTAAGACCCAAAATACACATTGACGGATGGCGATTTTTGTTTGGGGAATGTGGCCTAGTGATTAGGGTTTGTGACTCACGATCAGATGGTCAGGGGTTCTGAACATGCCACTCGCCATAAGTTGTGTCCTTGGGCAAGCCACTTCACCCCAACTCTCTTCTCTTCTCATCCCAGGAGTATAAATTGGTACTAGCATTAGCTGGGGAGTAACCTGCGATAGCCCAAGTCGTTCATGCCAAGGAAACCGGAGATATAAACACAAGATGAACCACATTGGCTTGTGACAGACTTTATTACTACAATTGAAAATTCCATTCGTCCAAGATGATTAATTGTTTTTTTAGAGATTTTAATGAGCCATATGCGCCTGAAAAGGATGTCTGCATCACGCTGTGTACTCCCCAGGGAGCTGAGATGGCACAGTGCATAAGGAATGTGGGGGCGGTACATGTGGTCCAATGGTTACGGTGTTCGACTCACATGCAGTGGTACATGGGTTCGAACCCTGACGGGGAACATGGTGCTTGTGTTCTTGGGCGAGACACTTTACTACAATTGCCTCTCTCCACCCAGGACATACCTGTGATGGTAGATTTTAGTAACCAAATGATCAAATACGGATGTTAGTTTTGACGTAAACAAGGTTGTTGAGAAGCGTTAATTGTAAAAACAGAATGTTTTACTCTTTTTTTTTTAACTTGCCGATAAAATTTTAGGGTCAGGCTGTAAAAAATAGGGGTATTTTTGGGGGGCCTAACAATGAAGATGGTTTGGGCTGGTCAGTTTCGACTGTGTTTGCACAACTTTAATGATAAACACCACATTGTGAAGACACTCGCTGAGTTTGTTCCCTTCCCCCTCCCATAGTTACATGAAGCCATCAAGCATTGTCTGTACACAGCAGAGGCAGCTGACTACCTACATCCTAACCCTACCGCCTCCGATGAGGCCCAACCCTGCACACTGCTAGGGCTGACTACAGAGCAGCTGCAGAGAGCAAACCCACACCACAAGGTAACGGTGATAGTTTCTAATACTACACCTCATACGTATTCATTAAAGGGAAAATACAACATTTGCAAACATCAAAAAATAAAACTACCAAATCCTTTTGAAATACCTTTCTGGACTGTTAGTGAATGACAGTGTAAAGCATCCTGTAAAATCATGGCACCTGGTATACTGTCATTTTCAAGAAAAGTGGTATTTTTGTATCAATTTCCAACGCTGATCGGCCGATCAGCTTTAGAAAAAAACTGGCTTTTTTTTCAAATACTGGCCCCAATTGACCATCGCACTTGTTTGCAATCGATTACACACCTATGAACGAATACAAGCCAGCTAGACTGGTTCCCTGACCTTACAATTCCCCGATATATGTAAACTGCTCTGTTTCTTCTTATATGGAGTCAGGGAACCAGACTACAGGAAAATGATTGTTTTTCTTGGTTTTTATAGCATTTTCGAACCCAAAACCTCAAAAAAGTCAGTGTAACTATATTTGCTATATATTTCCAACCCCCCAATTCCATCCATTTCTAAAAATTACAGCAAAAGCAAATGATGTATATTCCCTTTAAACCCTCCTGCTATCTGAACAGTCACTGACAGTAAAAAAAATATCAATCCTCTTTCCCTGCCGTGCCTTTTACACAGGCTAGTCACCAACAGTCAGATCATATTTCAAGCAAGCATTGTGACTAGCCAAATTCAGTCGACAGACAAAAGCAAGCAAGTGGTAGGCACAGCTGGCTCAACAATCACCTACAGTCAATGCATAGCTCAGTGTATCAAAATAAACAGTCACAGCCAGTCAATCCTGCTTTATGTAGGCTGGGAGCTCTTGACTGTTAAAAACAGTCACCTGATTGATTTTGACTGAAAGGACAACTTGGCACAGAATGTATGTGTGCATAGTAGAGAATGGGGCAGAATTCTAAGAGGTCAATTAAAAATGCATTCCCTATGCTATTTTTTTTGTGCAAATTTCATCCCGAAAAATATATTCCTGTTCTAAATTGCTATTTTTCTAACAAAACAATTCATTTTGAATGAGACATTCAGATCAAAAAATTGTTCCATGTCTAGTTATTGAATGATTTCCTTAATTTTGAATAATTGGCTGCCAGACAATAAGTAATTTTTTGCTGGGTAGGCTGGTTCCCCCCCCCCCCCCCACAATCAGTTATTGATAATGTATGGACCAGTAGTCAGTCTGCTTGCAAAGCAGATCTGTTTGTGCCCACAACAGAACCTTCTTTTCCGAGGGTTGCAGACGTCCAGAAAAGGAAAATGGGAGGTGTTTCGGTTGCAGAAGCTGGAGAAAAGCCACGGTTTGGGGAAAATCACTCAGTCATACGTTTTAATGGCTTATCCACACAATCTGAGTGGCAATTTTGTCTGTGTGATCATTCCAGAGGCTACAGTCCCTCCAGCAGCAGCTGATCCCGCAGATTGAGGACCGACTCAGGAAGAAATGTGAAGAACTGGTCAGCTTCCACCAGTCCCAGCCAGACAGTGGTAAATTTTCTGCTCAGTATCAGTGATCTGTCTAGTCCGAGGTTCAGAAATTCGTAAGTGTAGAGCCACAGTCGAACGTCCTAACATGTGACCCAGCGCCAGCCAATCGGAGTCGACTTTAAAAACTGTGACGTCCTTTCGATCAAAAATGTGCTCCCATCGGGTTCAGTGCGTGACATCGTGTAGCTGCAATCGGCTGAATGAGAACGTGTCCTGGACACTTATTTCCGGCGCAATTCAATACATGACTCGACAACTTTTGAATTGAACTTATGATCCAAAAATATTTTCTTGGAATATACAGCATTCACTGAGCTAAACCTTCATCAGGTTAGTTGTTAAGCACCCGTCTTTAGATTTTGAGCACTTTTGTTGCTTCAAACGAAAAAAAAAAATGCACAAATGACAAATGATCTGCCCCACCTTTAACAGAGACTGATCAGATGGCATTTGCAAAGGCTACCAGACTACCGGACCTGCTGCTTAGCCAGTCCAGTCAACTGGAGGAGGAGGAGAGAAAACTCAAGCTTGACCGCGCCCACAGGGACAAGCAGTTCTGGCAGTATTACCAGGTGAGCCCTGTGACCTATGGGCTTTATGCAAGACAAATTCAGCAAGCTGCACTTGGACGGCTGAGAAAAACAGCCTTTTTTTTTTTTTTCTTTTTCTTTTCTTCCGGCACCAATGGACGCAAAACATTGAAAAGGTCATTGAAACGATATCTGCTTTAAACTTACTAGCCCCAAATCCATTTCATAAGTTTACGATAAATGTAAATGTTATACATGTACCTTACCTTTAAAGGTAATATACAACATTTGCAAACATCAAAAAACAAAACTACCAAATTATTATGGAATACCTTCACTTGACTGTAAATGAATAGTAGTCTCAAGCATCCTGTGAAATTATGGCACCAGGTGTGCTGTTGTTTTCAAGAAAAGTAGAATTTTGTATCAATTTCCAATGATGGTCAGCCGACGATCGTTGGAAAAAAAATGACTTTTTTTTTTCGAATACTGCCCCCAATTTACCAAATTTAGTTTATACACACTTTGCTGCAATTAGTTACATAGCCATGAATGGCTGCAAGCCAGCTAGTCTGGTCCCTGACCCGACAATTCCACGTCTATAAATTGCTCCATTTCGTCTGAAGTAGGGTCAGGGAACCAGACTACAAGAACAGCATTTGTTTTCTTGGGGTTTTTTTTCAGCATCTATGAACACAAAACTTTTGTTTTCAGTGTAAAAACATTTGCTATAAAATACTAACCCCCAAATCCATCCATTTCTGAATATCACAGCAAAAGCAAATATTGTTTATTCCCTTTTTGCCAAGTTCTGAATGAGGTATTTCAGTTGCTATAAATTTGCTCCAGGCCCTGATGGATTCGCTGGGAGTGCTTGAGCAGTTAATCACCAAACATCGTCTGCGTCTGCAGGCCGACAGCGACACTATCACCAGTAACTGGCTGAGCGCCCGGTGCCATGCCATGTGCCTCAAACTCAGGTAAGGAGCTTTGGAAAAAAAAAATTCCCAAAAATGCCAAGCCCTGTGTTAAAGTTAGCAACCAACTCGTAGGTGAGAACCCCCCCCCCCCCCACCCTTTTTTTTCATATCTGTTGGCCAAATGTTAGTCTTGATGACTTCACTCGAACGCAGCATTGGCCAAGTTCGCGCAAGGACTATAGTTGACCAATGGTTAACTAACGTTTGCCCGAACTCTGTCTAGTCGACGGTGGTTGACTACGCTAGTCGACTATTTGGAACCAGCCTACTGGGGTTGGTTGCTTCGCTGGTAACCAATAGCCGCGCGCATTCATAACGCTAGCAGAGAGCCAGGATCCAGAAGTTTTGCGATGACATTTTGACCAGCGTTCGACTAGAGACGTTCGCACGTTGCTATTAGTGCGCAGGCGTAAGGTACGTCACAAATCAACCACTAGTCGACTAATGGTCCTTGCCCGAACTTGGCCCTTGTTGGACTACTCTAGTCGACTGTGTGGAACTGGACCACAGGGCACAGTTCAGTTGCATCGCTGTTACAAACAGCAGCACACATCATAATACACAGTAGGCCTGGGACCCAGAACCGCGAAAATTTGTGAAAATATTTTGACCATCGTTTGACTAAGAGATGTTTGCATGATGCTACTAGTGCACAGGAGTAAGTTACATTATAAATCAACAATAATAAGTCTAGTGGTTTTATATTTGCACACATATGCTTCAAAGAAAAATGTGTTCGGGTATTCTATTTGAATATTTCAGAGTGTTTGAAGCCAGACTACTCTGTGATACATACACGCCAGAGGTGGTTACTGCCCTAAAGCAAATCAAGTAAGTAGATTCTTTTACAAAATAACAATAACAATTACACTGATGACATTTTTTGGCTTTGCGCTCATCCACGTTGTTCCAAAAGGAATGATAATTTTTGTGTGTCGTATAAACAATGTTTTAGGAGACACTAAAAGCATTGCACAATTGCTTCTGTTACAAAGCTACCACTTGTCAGTATCGTTTTTTGAATCGGTCCTCTTTGTGTCCACAGACATCACCTGAACCGAGCCATCGAGGAGCGAGACAAGGACGTATCCAGGCTGAGCCAGGCCCTGCAGGCCTATCAGAGCATCGGCATGGGCTTCGATCAGCTGGTCCGCGAGTACGAACAGCTCCAGGCAGCTATAGACAACAAGACCTGGGCCCTGACTGAGCTCAAGCAGAGTCTGGTGTCGGACTCTGCTGCCGAGTGGAAGACGGACTGATATCATGAGACATTTTTGGCCACGCCGCATCCAAAACTCTGGGCAAGAGCTGTAGTCTAGGTTGAGCCATAGGTGTGGTCTCCATTTCGTTTTGCGTTGTACCGTTTGGAGAGGGATAAATGAAATGCTGTTGAAGAAGCTGACGTGCTTTTGCCGCGATAAAGTTATTCTTAACATGTTTTCGTGCTGTCCATTGGCGGACAAGGTGCTGTCTTAGGAAAGATTTCCATATACGAAGTTCGCTCAACACCCTGTGTACAAACCCTATGAGATTGGACTGAAAAATTCTAAGTGTTTTCAAGGAAAATGCTTGTATTTTCTCACTGCTCAAATTGACTTTGATGACATGAAATTGCTATCTGGGGGCTTGTTAGTCAATACAGAGGAAAATTAGTGAACTTCGCATATTAGTTATCCCACGAGCGCGAGGGGAACACGGAATAATGTAGTGCGTCTGTGGGACACAGTGTCCCTCATACCACGAGGCTGTAAGTGGGACACAGACGCACTACATTTTCCGTGTTCCACAGGCGCAAGTGCGATAACGAATTTATCTTCAAGCAAACTTGACGCACATTAAAGTTGGAACTAGCACTCTTTACACGAACCTTCTAGGTGCTGTGCGATACGGTATAATGTCACACTGTTGTTGCCATGGATCGACCAATCAGGATCGAGAAATCAGTTTGCTTGAAGATAATGTGAATTGGTACTGCTAGGAGCTACATGTATATAACAAGATGCCTCATTTTGTTGAAAAGTTACAACAAATTACTACAACTTTAATGTACATAGGGCCATTTGCTTTTTGTGCATTGTTTTTTTTGAAGCAACAAAACTGCTTAAAATCTAGTTAAAGAAGTCCAACTTGTTGAACTTTCAGCTCAGTGGATGCTAAACATTTTGAGAAAACAGAGAAAACATATGCACTATTTTTTGGGTCTCGTAGGCAGAATAATTTCACAGGGTATTTGGTACCAGTCCTATCTTTGCTTTGAGCAAGGATTTTCTCCTCAAATCGGTAGGTACATTTCCGGCAATTGCAAAAGTTCATATATGCCTTTAATCCTAACTCCCTGGGGTGTGTGAAAAATTATAAGAAAATTGGAGAATTTGTGACCGTGCATGAATGAATAATAACAGGACTACAGTTATTCAAGATCTTTCATAAGTTTAGTTAATAAAAGCAATTGATTTGATAGCATCGAAATTCAAAGATAAAACTGTCATGTCTTTTTTATTCTGTCATGGTTTTCACTGATTGAGCTACGTATGTACAGCATTGGATATCATTAATCTGTATTCATAAATGCCTGAGACAGGTTACCAGTTCCTTAGTGGGTGGTTTTAAATCGCCGGTAAAACACTGCTGCATTCTGCGCCACATCACGCAGTACGCTCCGCCTGCACCAATTTCCATATAAGGAGATTAGCACTACGCGCATGAGGCACAAACCATAGACATGGCCAGAGGGGTGTTGCACAAAACAAGGTAAAATTGTTAAACGAAAATAGTTGGAAATTTGTGAGTTTTTGACTTGTTTGGACTTTTTGACCGAGAGGTATTTATGAATGGGAATAAATATTTGCTCGGCTGGTATCAAACAAGTACGTTTAAAACCAGCCAGGGGCCTGGGACGCTGATTATGCGTGTCCAGGCCCCTAGCTGGGTTTAAACGTACTTATTTAAAACTGGCCAAGCACATTTATTCCATTATTTATATTACCAGTTTAGAAAATATTGATACAAAATACTTTTAAAAAAAAATATGTACATTTTTACATAGTAAAAAGGACTGTACTTAAGAATTAAATTACATGATTCAAACATAAATGGAAGAAATATACAAAAGCTCCATTACAATCTTTGATTGGATTCTGTCGCATGTAATAAACGTAAACTTAATCATTTTCTTAAAGGGAATATGCAACATTTGCAAACATCAAAAAACAAAACTACCAAATTATTACAAAATACCTTACTGGACTCTAGTGAATGACAGTCTATTCCTGTAAAATCATGGCACCTGGTGTGCTAACATTTTCAAGAAAAGTGGCTCTTCTCAACTCCTCCCATTTATCATAATTATTCAGTTAGTCCGCATTTGCTTTGCAATCGATTACACACCCATAAACGGGTACTAGCCAGCTAGACTGATTCCCTGACCTTACCATTCCCCGGCGTCTATAAATTGCTCCATTTCATCTTACGTGGGGTCAGGGAGTCAGACTACAAGAGCATGATTGTTTTTCTTGATTTTTCCAGCATCTATGAACCCAAAACTTCAAACAAGTCAGTGTAACAATATTTCCCCCAAATCCGTCCATTTCTGAAAATAACAGCAAAAGCAAATGTTCTATATTCCCTTTAAACCACCTTCAATGATTGCTTTCTAGGTACACAGGATGGCAGAGTCTGCATCTGATGGCTCTTAACAGGCAACACCCAGCTCGACGATACGGCCGATTCATTTGCTGGCCCACTTGCCGTAGCCCGGCCTGATTCCCTTGGTGTTGATGACGTCAACCACCACGCCATGCTTAAACTGGTTCCATTCACGCTTCATCTCCTGGTCAATGTATTCCTCATGGATGTCGTCCTAGCAAACAATCACCAACCAAAAAATAACAATTTCTGTAAATCAATGTACTCTGTCCACCAAACCAAAAATACGTCAAAATTACAGAATTTTAAGATGCAGGAACATTGATCGGTGCCTTATCAAATTAAGTTAACTAAAAATTTATTATTTTTAACGCGTCTCAGAAAACAATAAGCATTGACTAAGGCTATGTACTTTATGTAGACTATTAGCCAGCTACTAGCCCACTATGCAAGTGTTCAATAAACAAGTCTAAACGTGGTAAAGAAAATATCAAAGCACACGGCCTGCATGTAAATTATACTCTTCCTTAAATGCAATTCCCAATTTTAAAATTACATTGCAATGTAATTTTAATGCAATCCTTCAAAATGCACCTTTGTGTCCCATTTAACCTAATTTTTCAATTTTCGTTTTGCCATTTTCAAGGCTATTTGAAGCCTTTTAGGGGTTTTAGGCTAATGCAAATTTCCATACTCATGAGCAAAAGTGTGATGTCATTTCAGGCAGAAACCTCAATGTTTCAGCTATTTCTGCAGCACCAAAATTTGCCAAGATTTTAAATATTTTCCTTTCTCTTGTGATTCGTTAACAAAACGGAATGTCAAGTAGTTTTCATACATTTAAGAGGAGTATAAAGTTGCACAAACTGCGTTCCTAAGAAAATATAATCATCTTTGAAGTTAAATGATCATGGGGCACAAGGAACAAATAAGACCGGCCCCACAAAAAAGGGTATTATGTCGCAAAAAAGTAAACTCGAGTTATATACATGGTTGGAAAGCCCACAACGTAAGCTTTCATTTGGTATATAATAGAATTCCATAGCCCCTCCCGTTCTGGAGATATGATGTATTTGCATATTCATTACTTCCTTGGAGTTCAAATTGCACAACTGAGAAAACAGGCTTTGAATAGCTGGCTATGCTGTAGAACAACAGAATGATGCACACAAAATGGTTGTTTTTCCCACTTTGTTCATCAAAATCAACATTTCTGTGAATGAAACCTAGAACTGTAGGTATTAAAAAAATCATTCATGACCAAAAAATGAAAATCACATTTTGACGAAATGTTTACCCTCTCAATGTTGAGCGGGCCATTACACAATAATGCTCAGCGCGACTTACTACCCTTTTTTGTGGAGCCCGTCACAAATAGTAACTTTGCACCATACACACATGAACATGTACGCGCACGCATTATGTCAAAAGAAGTAGTCTCAAAGCACCCTCTACTGGCTATGTGCGGAGGCAATAGCCCTTGCAAAGATCCAGTCTGTACTGACCTGTGTGAGGTTTCCATACAGTCTCTCATTGGATTGTCTCAGCAGCACTTTGGTTGTCTCATCCAGTTCTGTTTGAAAGAATATTGACGCAGAATATTGGTATTACAAAACGAAAAATCCTTTGACCTGCAGATAATCTTTGACCCACAGAAAACCGTTGACCTAGAGATATCCTTTGATCTGAAGACATTAACCTTTGACCTGGAGACAACCTTTGACCTGGAGACAACCTCTGACCTACAGATAAGCTTTAACCTACAGCAAATCATTTGACCTGCAGATAACCTTTGACTTGCAAATAACCCTTGACCTACGTCTGCAGATAACCTTTGACCTAGGCATACCCGTCAATCTCTCTGGGGTGATGATGCCCAGCTTGATGTCCGATGCAGTGACGATGGAGCAGGTGATTGCTTGCCCATCCAGAACGCTGATCTCGCCGAAACTCTCCGCCTCCTGGAGCTTTCCCATGACTACTTGCTTCTGACGCTTCTCCTGTAACATGGAGAAAAATCATTCAGATTCCTTCAAGATATGGCTCAAGAAAAAGAAACTCCGTTTACATTTGCTCATCCGTTTTCACCAGCTGCTGTGTTACAATTAACTCGGAAGCATTGTCCTTTCAAGTTAGAATTTGGAACTAGACGAAAACAATGTCAAAAGTTCCTGAATGTACTTAATTGCCAATAGAATATAATTGCCATACATGGATCTATAATTTGTTTATAAATTGGTTTGAGGTATTCGTCCAGTTTCTGCCACACTCTGCCTCACTTTGGAATTCCTTACCCGTGTCCTGTTTCCTCAACAAAAATTTTTATCTTTCTACTTCAGAAAAATTATGTTTGTTTGGTTTCCTTCTGAGCTTCCTTTTTCTTTTCCTCTTCTTTGTGTAGCCCTGACCCTGAGTTGCCTTTCCAAGGACTTTGTGATGGGTTTTTTATTGCAAAGCCACGTAGTATAATTTCCAATTATACCAAGAAAAGTACCGAAATGTACCAATTTAAAGGTAGAGTAGATCATTTGTCATTTGTGTATTTTTTTTTCATTTTAAAGCAACAAAAGTGCTCAAAATAAGAAGGGTTCTTAACAAATAACCTGGTGAAGTTTTAGCTCAGTGAATGCTGTGTGAGAAAACAATATTCTAGGATCTCAATTTCAATTCAAAAGTTGCAGAGTCATGTTTTGAATTGCACCGAAAGCAGGGTCTGTGACACGTTCTCATTCAGCCGATTGCAGCTACCGGTACATGATGTCACGCACAGAACCAACGAATAATAGCAACTGCGTGCACATGTGCATCATGTCAACGCTTGCGCGCACCCGTTCACGGAGTCACCATTATTACAAGCCAACTATTAGAAATTTTTAATATGCGTCACAAAATTGCACATACGTTTTCTCTGTTTTCTAAAAAAAAACGTATATCCAGTGAGCTAACATTTCAACAGATTACTTGCTATGCACCCTACTTAAGATATTGAGCAGTTCAATGTTGCTTCAAATGAAAACAAAATTACACAAAGAGCAAATGATCTTACAGACCTTAATCCTAAAAACTCTACCGCAACACGTAAACAAAAGAGATTCACTTACATGATTGTAGTGATTATACAGATTCATATCATCAACATACCTGATTGCCGTTTGGTAGAGTATGAATCACCTCCACTTGTCTGAGAACATGGCAATCCCCCGACTTGAGGAAACCGATGAACGGACACAGGTAGCCCTCACTCACCAAGACTGCAATTAGGATAACAAGTGTACAATTGTTGTCTGCTGTCATTGGGTTCCACAGCATTTTATGACAAACAAAATTCCCTGAGTTGTTCCTGATATTTCCCTGAGAAATGTCTCAAATATTCTCACTTTAAAACACAGTTGCTGGCATTAAGTCAAGAAGTGATTGCAGCAAAGCATCTACATATGTTATGCGATCAAGCTACATGAGTCGTTTGTCGGAAATTTTCATTTGGAGATACAGGCCAAAATCGGGCCACTTCATCACATCACTTCATCACATCTCTTGGTGTTCCGATTTCCATAATTGTTAAACTAAAGATGGTATCAGCATGCGGTTTTCACAGAAGTAATGCTGAGATTGTGCTCTTTTCAAATCTGTAATAAAAAAAATTTGAGCGGGGTCAACAAACGACTCATATAGCTCGATCGCATCACATATTCACACTGCATAAACACTAAAAAGCCACCATAGCCATGCAGGCGATGGACACAACTTGGACTATATGGCACAAGACGCACATACGCCAAATTGGCCAAAAACCTTTCCATTCTGAGCCGTTTTGTCCGAAGTCCCTGAGTTTTTCCTAGTTTTTGATTTTTTTCTTCAAATTCCCTTGAGTTTTCCCGGACTGGAAAAATGGAAGCTCATTTTCAAGGTTCTTCCCTGATTTCCAGGGAACCCTGCATCATGTAATCCATAGCATTGTGCAAAACCCATGCACAATGTCACAACAGACAACAATTGTCAAACCACGGCTTCACTTTTTATAACTCTTTGAGGCCTTAAGAAGTGATCGATATAGGCCAAGTTTGCGCAAGGACTTTAGTTGACCAATGGTTAACTAACGTTTGCCTGAACTCTGTCTAGTCGACGATGGTTGACTACGCTAGTCGACTATTTGGAACCAGCCTACTGGGGTTGGTTGCTTCGCTGGTAACCAATAGCCGCGCGCATTTATAACGCTAGCAGAGAGCCAGGATCCAGAAGTTTTGCGATGACATTTTGACCAGCGTTTGACTAGAGACGTTCGCACGTTGCTATCAGTGCGCAGGCGTAAGGTACGTCACAAATCAACCACTAGTCGATTAATGGTCCTTGCCCGAACTTGGCCTCCGATTAAAGACTTGAACAGGATTCTTACTGAATACAGTCACATGCTTTGGTCCTTGACAAGATCTATTCTGACTGTGCTGTACAAAGCATCATGAATATTGAAAAGTCTTTGAAACTGCTCAAGCTCAGGTATTGTCATATCGTGTCTTCATTGGTCTAGAAGCAGGCCCGTACGCTGCTTCGAACATGGGGAGGGCCATTACCTGTGTTTTCAGGAAACTTGGTCCATTTGATGAGTTCAGCGAGTTTGTGTAGGGACTGTCTGGGCCAGAGCTGGTAGGGCTTACACGCCTGGATCAGGTCAATCTTCTCGGATATGTGCCGCTCTCGGATTTGCTAGAATACGTGCAAACAACAAAAAACAGCAAGCCTGTCAAAAAACGGCATCTTAACATGTAATAAATATGGCCACGTATGCCCTATGGCAAAACCGGCCAATTTCCGAAGCGTTCATCTGACTCGAAAGAAAAATTGAAATAGTCCGCATTTTTTTCCAAATGTTGTCTAATTGTGCTCCTTTGTCATTCTTGAACTAATTTGTACAATAATACAGCACTAGTGGTAGGAAAAATCGAAGATTTCATAATCCGGTTATCCTAATTTCTTTCATTATAATAAATTCATGATATATTATATATATTACAAAAACTTCTTGCACATACAGCTGTGTTTTGAAAATAAGTGCCTGCATCCGCCGAGATTACGGTCAATATTCTGCTTTTCTTTGACACTGATATCACTAGTAAATTTTAATTGTACGTGTTCCGTAATAAACATTATAAAACAAAAAGATTATTTTCCTCCTAGGAATTGCCTTCAACTCACCTCTGTTATTCTCTTGTAATCGTTACTAGAAATCTTCAGGAACTCACAGGGAACAGTCTTCGTGAGAACTGTCAATACCCTATACAAGAGAAAGTAAACCAGAAGTCAATCCAAAAGTCACAAGAAACAGTCGCATGAAAACGGAGTTCTACAATTAACACAGTTCATGTGAATAGCTTGTGAGTTGACTTGTGATGGACTTGGAATGGACATATGAGACTTCTAAGGACTTGTTATTCTAAGTAAATAACTAATATCGATTAATCATGGACAAATCAAACCAGCATTTCCTATGAAAGCAATTTTGAACACACATTTTTGACATTGCATGCAACTTCTTCTTCAATTCAATACTACTTTGCATCAATGTCACAGTGGCAAAAAACTTTCAAGACAACGTTTAGCATTATCCGATGATTGATGGTCATTTTTTTTCAATACAAATGTCCCAATATCTTTGTTTGTATACGGCTAGTGTGGCTACATTCTCCAACAAGTTTGGAGCGAAAAAAAATAACGAAAACTGCCCGAAAAAGATAGGCTGTTGTTCCAAGACGTTCGTTCAGAACCAACTGATTTGCATAATATTGTAGCTTAGCCGCGCAAAGTCACTGTTTACACTTCATACAGTACAAGTGAGGGCATAGCGGCTACTGTAAATTTGTTTGCTGCCAACTACTGATTATCAGACTCTATCATCGAACGCGTTGATCAAGGCTAAGTATGACAACAACTTGAAGTCACTAAAAGCAAACTTCCAAGCCACACGAGACCTTCTACAGTTTAACGCACACATGGAAAGTTAAAATTGACAATCAGCAGAATCCTTGGGAAAAGTGCATGCCTTATTATAAATGATTAAATAAATAAATAAGTAAAATTAAGCTTAGAACTAGAAATGAGTAAGTGTGGTGCTGACAGATAAATATTAGAACAGGGAAATGATCTCTTGTTACATTTTAAACTATCAATTTTTTTTTTTTTGACTGAGTCAAAGGAAACTCTCCTTTTGTTATTTGATAGTTATTTTTTTTTTAGCATCTGTTGGTAGTACAGTGGGGTAGTGTAATATGAACTCACTTGCTGTTGGGATCTTTTCCTTCAAGTCTCTCCAAAGTCCCGAAGCAATCGCCGACAGTCAGCTGCAAGGAAACAAAGGAAAATCTTGATGCACTTTCCTTTTCACTTCAGGCCTATTAATAGGGGAATAAATATATGCTTGGCTGGCTTTAAACAAGTCCTTTTAAGAACGGCTTGGGGCCTGGATGCTGATAATGGCCGGAGCCATAGCGAGGGATATTATCAGCAACAAGGCCCCAAGCCCGTTTTAAAAGTACTTGTTTAATACTGGCCAAGCACATATTGATTCCCATTCATAAATACCTTTGGGTCAAAAAGTCAAAACAAGTCAAAAATTATAAATTTCCAAACGATTTTGTTTGCCCAGTTCTGTCTCATTTTGCCAGATTGCCTCACAAATTTGTATTTGCTTTCATTTTCTTCATGCTGTATATGAACCACTCTTAAGTCTTAATGCTGACCTCTTTGAGTTTCTTATCGGTGTGGATCGTTGTGGTCAGGATGGGTGTTGGGCTGCGGAACCGGCCGGGGTTGTCTCTGGTCCTGATCCAGGGCTCTGTCTGTGGTATGACTGAACCCCGCAGGATGATGTAGAAACCGCCGTTACCAAATACTGGAAACAAATGTCATGAATAATATTATTATTTTTGTCATTAATCATTCATTCAATCAATCAATCATTCATTTTGTCATTAAGCCACCCATGCCACCCTAGCAATCACCTACCCGTGTAATCCTCATCTTTCCAGACGTCCAGCTGAGCCACAGTGCAGAGTTCCTTCAGCTCCTTGCTGGACAACTGGTCGGCTAGGAGTGGGAACTCCTTCAGGTGGGTGAAGACGATGTCATTATCCTCAGCCGTTCTCTCGTAGGGTCTTACGATTAAAAAAGAGCGATGGGGATAATTACACAAAATTTATCATTTAATCAAATCCACCACAAAGACAAACTGGGACAAGGTACATACACTATATATTCATTACAATTATAATGTTGAATAAAGAAATTGACGGGAGCGGAATTGAAACCTGCGACCTTTGGATAACGGTACAGCAGCCGATTTCACAGAACCATCGGCATCCGGCCAAAAAGTAATGCTCAGGTCACAAAAACTAAGAAATCATGTGATTCTCATTGGGCAGGCAGCATCTCGACCCAAAGTAATCGCAACAACGCTCACGTCACCCACGACACAACAATGATTCCTCGGCATAACACATAATCAGTTAACATCTTCAAAATGACGGTGCAGGTGTTGATAACGATAAAACGATCTTCCACGGCCACGTCTGTTCATTCGGCCGTTTTTGCCGCACACTGAGTGGCTATACACAATGAAATAAGACGATCCAGATGTGAGCACGCCGTCGTAACTTCACACAGGTCGACTGCGACTGATTTCCGCCTGTTAGGAACACGTTCTGTTGTGGCACAGCAGTTGAAATTTGTCTACTCTTGCGACTGTTGAATTTTTTTTAGCGCCAACCGATGCCGATTGTCTTAATATCATCACAGTTACACTGAGGTCGCAACAAAATTGGCGACTGATATGTTCCCGACGGTCGTAGCTCAGGTACAGCTTGTTCCTGAAAGTCCAACTAAGGGCATGCCTTTTAATAGAGAGAGGAGGGTTGCCCATGTGCAGTAAGCTAGGCCTTACAGATCCGCCTACTGCGTTCAAACAACGCAGACATTTTTATTATAATAATAATAGTGGATATTTATAAAGCGCACGTATCCAACAGGACTGGTGCTCAAGGCGCTACATCATTATTGCCCCTGCTCATTGGGCACATGAAACATTCCAAATACCATCTCAGCTCCATGGGGAGTATACAGCTCGATGCAGCCTGTTAGACGCAAGGAAGCTAATTCAATCACAATAACCATCTCTGCCCTCACAGGTACCCATTTACTCCTGGGTGGAGAGAAGCAATGAGTGACAAAGTGCCTTGCCCAAGGGCACACACACCATGACCCCGCCAGGACTCGAACCCACAACCTGCAGCTTTACCCGCAGACCACGAATCAGTGCCCTTAACCACGAGGCCACAGTATTCCACAAGCCACAGTACTCCACAGTGTGGTAGTATGCAAATAATGAATGTTTATGAGTGCAATGGTAAGAATAATTTCACAGGTGGACTTATGACAGACTCGATTACAACACCAAAATTCATTGGTTCCACTGCTTTCTACATTTTTGCTCCTGCCAACTTACAGTTTCTTGAGGATGTTCCTGAGATCCTTGATGCGATTGGAAGCAATGATAACTGGATCCACTATCTTCCTCTCCTTGTGCAGCTTGGCCATGTGGTCCGCTATATGATGACTCCAAGTCTGCGGTACCTCAATGCCATCAAGGTGTTCTTTACCACAGGAAAGACTGGTAGCTGAACCTGCACGCATGAAACAGCCACAGTTAAAGTTGGCAAACACCAATCTTATTTTGTAGTATGTTTTATCTTTTCTAAATTTCGGAACTCTCAACGTACAGTTTTGTTTTGTCCTCTTTTTTATGGTGCATTTTTTTTTGGTTCGTTTGATTGCTGTTTTAAAGATGCATACTCCGTGTTCTTCAAGAAATGGATGTTTTCTCTTAACAACTTTTAAATTTGTATGTTTGTACATGTTTGTACCTACTTTACTCCGATTTTGAGTGTCTGCAAACCGCTGAACAAGGACCTTCATTCCGTGCAAAAATAATCCCCCTGAAAGAACTGAAGTATTGTCTTGCAGCCATTATTCAAATTTTGTGAAGAAGTAATTCAGTATTAAACTGAACATCGATAGACTTTTTTGTTCAATGTCTCATGCAAAAGTGAATAACTATTATTTTAAAAAAGAGCAATTGAAAAAAAGAAATCTGTTCTATTCGAGGTAAAACTTGAAAATAGCACGGGAAATATCTTGAAAAGGTGGGCCCTTAAATTTGTCTGCAATCATACATACCGGTGGATGCGTTGGATATGCTTTTCATTGGCTGATCCCGTCTGCCCAATGGGATGCCTGGGAGTGGCTTGTTATTGGCAAACAAACGTTGGTAGTTGTCGATGAAGAAACGATGACCATCTTCTGTGCTCTCATGCTTTGTCCTTCAATTTCACAAATTCAATCCGTGGTTTACATTTATATTAGAATAGAGATTATCCTAACCCCCCCCCCCCCAACATAAGTTGTAATTTTTGAGTGAATATTAATTTCCCGTTGTTAAACTATTTCTGAAAAAATTGTGTCGGGGAAAAACCCCACACATTTTTGATGAATTCTGCTGTGAAAACTATGCTGATTCTGGGACGACTACAGTAGTTGGTTCAGCCTATTAAAAAACTGGAGCATATAAGTTTGAGCAGTCCTAGCTTTAGTTTGGACCCATGGTCTGCGGTAGTTGGGTAATATTACAACTCCAAGGTTTAAAACTGGGGCGGATTGCAATAACGCAGTCTTAGTCGGCTGGCTAAACCAGTCCAATTTTAGCCGGCTATTGTTCTTAGACGGTCTTGGTTAAGACACCAAACTTAGCCCATTGCAATAAGCTGGTCTTTACTAAGCCCGCTTAGAGTAATGATTCACAAACAAACATTCCATGGTTACGGGCGAATACTGGAGAGACTGCACATTTAATTTTTTTAGGTTTGTGTAATTCATATCACGCAAAATCAAATGTCAATTCCGAAATTTTATGTTGAGAAAATTGTATTTGCAGTACAACTCAGTGTCATTACATTTTTCCAGAAGATCCCTTCTATCCCAGAGAATTTTCCCTCCAAGCAGTGTTCTGCATTTTTAAGATTTAATCATCAAACACTCATCAACTGTGAAAAAATATTTTGGAAAAGAATAATTCAACACACCAGTGAATTCCAAAAATCCCAACTATAGACCGTTTTAAGCCAGCCCAACCCAGGCTAATTATTTTAAGACTGTCTTACTACTTAAACTGTGTTATAGCAATGGTCTTACTTACAGACTGACTGACAGCCAGAGCTTTTAGACTGTCTAATGCGCATAGACAGCTTTAAGACCGGTTATTGCAATCCACCCCATGTCTCAGGTGATTTGTGATACTATAAGATCAGACTTAAGAACGTTGCTGCCTTTCTCTCAGCACAAGAATATTACCTTCCCTTCAGACCCTCATGATTGTTGAGCAAGTCCAAATTGGTGTAGTCAATCACTGGCGTTGAATCCTGGCCGGGCACTGATAAGATGAAAAAAAAAACCTGTTGCGGATCGGTTTAACATTTTTCCCGTTCTAAAAGCTGGCAAATTGTATAGCGCCCTGATGCACTAGGCCTACAAATTATAAGACATTAAATTGCCAGCTGATGTCGACCGGCCCCATAGCCTAGTGGATTGCGTTCCTGACACGCAATTAAGAACGCCACTCAAGTTAAAAATCCACACATAATTGTTAAAACTTTATTTTTCTTGTCTCCAAAAAAGTAACAGTTGTCTTCTTTTGTTTTAAATTGAATCCTACATTTAATGGCAGATTATGCCATTTTTCTTTTTCTGATTCATTGCTCTGGAGGATTTTTTAATGGAGGATTGTTTAATGGAAATAAAGTCCGAAATTTGTGAATACGAAGTCAAAATGAAAGCATGGAACCAGACGAAGATTCATCACAGTAAAATGTTTAAGTCCAGAAAAACACTGACTGCGCATGATCAGTGCCGTTCCGATCAAAGAGCTAAAAACAATTTGAAGACTGGTTCACTATTAATATCCACTGCCTAAACTTTACTTCTGGAAGAAGATTTGGTGTTTGTTAGGTGATTGTGAAGTTAGGGGCCCCTCTTTCATTTTAATCCTCAGAACAATTCCATCATTCCAAAATTACTTTTCTAACCTTTTCTTCTGTTGATTCCTTTTTTTTTGGGGGGGGGGGGCACTTTTGAACACCATTTTTCTTACCAATTTTCCCATTGATGCCTAGCCCTATAGTCTAGGCGCGCCCACACTGGACTCTGGAGAAGACTCTGTATATGCTCAAGTCTGTACTCCACTGCAGGCCATAGACTGGGGCTAGTTGATGCCATGCAAAATAATATAACGCAGTACTTAGGTTTTTAACCCATTGCACTGAAACATGAAAAAAGAATCTGAGCCGAGAAAAGTCCGACAAATCTGGCCGAAGTGCGATGGCCTGGTTGTCCGTGGATTTGCAGAGGTAGGCTATACGCACTGTGAATGGAGCACCTCAGACATTGCATTGCATTTTTTTGCGATATCTTCAAAACTGGTTGTTAGATTTCATTGAGTTTTAAGCGGTATAACCCGAAGATATCAGGGCTTATGATGGGTAGATTTTATTTTTGTAACCTATGTAGGCCTAGGCCTAGTTTTTTAAGTTACGATTTTTTTACTTTGGCCGTCATGGCGCATGCGTTGTTCTTGTCCACAGGAAAAGTCATGTCACAAAAGACATGAAATTAAACGGTGTATTGTTCTTCTCTTATAGGAATGGGGCCAGTAACTACACAATCGCCGGCCTACGTGTATTGTCCCCCCCCCCCCCCTCACCGCACACACAACCAACTCACGCCCATCCCCGGCCCACCGACAAATGTCTCGTCAGACATGCCAGATATGATATGCACGCTGGTCTCACCTCGATGTCGTGTTTTCTGGCGATCTCTTTCACTCCATTTCTCAACCTGTTTCTTCGCATCTCCACGCCCATTTGTGGCCAAAGCCATATCGAACCAAATCTCAACTGTGTTTGTGACCAAAACTTATGTTCATCATAGTATACCCTGGATGAAGAAACGACAAATTCAGTTCACACTCGCAGAGATTTTCATTTCTCCGTCAGCTAGCTAGCTGCATGCTACTGCTAGCATGGCAACAATAAACATTCCGCTTGAGGGCGCTATTCAATGTTTATCATAATTAATTGGACATCATGCATGTTGGATGAGTGCGCGTAGGAAGAGTCCTCATCCACACACGAGGCATGCAACCTCCGCATCTTCCAACGATCATCTCATTAGTTGCCATGCCGATTATGTTAATGAAGAAGACATCTTCGTCATGTCAGATGAGATGACGACACATAACATGGACGGAGATAAACGGTGGTCCAACATCTAATCGGTACGACGGTAAGCTCCCTATTTTTTTGGAGTCTTGAACTAGCCTTCCCAGTACCCACTACTGATTGTTAGGTGTTCAGTGCATGGAATAAAATGGGCATGAATTAGTAACAAGGACTAGACTGCAAGGTGGTTTTTGATTTTGGATTCTGGAGCCGAGCAAGCGCAAGAGCAGTGATTTGTGTTCTGTTTTTTTTTTTGTGCTACAATCAATCAGAACATGTCATAAATGTTAGGCCTTATTCTTTACTTTAGCTCCATATATGGTTCTTTAAAACTGTACTCTATTTAAATTTTAATAAAAAGACGATATCAAATGAATATGTACAGTGTTAGTTACAATGGGTTATATTTCTTGATTGGAGATATGATGAATGATGATGACAACAGTATAATTAATGCAGTGGTAAATCAACCATCTGGTTCCCATCTGGTACAATTTGATTAAAAACATAAAAGTAAAAGAAAGTATTAAAAGCAAAAACAATTGGCAAAGGGTCTAGTAATTGATCTTCGGCATGGTTGTCAAGCATTTAAACAATTGCGCTACCAAAGCTTTCTAGTCGGTAGGGCTTTTTTATAGATTCCCGACAGGGTTTTTGTAAAGCTGTAATGATAGCAGATGAAAATCACATTTCGGCTGCCGAAACAATAGCCACTATGTCTATGGATAATTAAAGTATAAGGACTTAACGTTACGCCAAGGAAAGAAAGTTGTTTCTCGTCTGGAATTTTTTAAAATATAAATGAAGGAGATTTTTTTTAACCCGCGACCTCCAGATTGCCATTTGGACAAAGACATTGTCCCGCCCGGGTGCGCCCGCATCTTTTATTGAAACCACATCCTTTTTCTATTTTCTCACCTCAGAAAGCTAACTTTTTCTTGTATTTTGCTTTAATAAAGTACATGGAACATGATTAACATGAATATTTTGACTCTACTTACTATTAGGATAGCTTATTAAAAGCTGGTCATTTTGAACTGAAGTAGGCGGCCATTTTTAATTTAAATACTTGGCGACCATCTTGAAAAAATAAATAAATAAAAAATAAAACGGCCCTTTTTCCTCCTCTTTTTGAAAAAAAAAACCCAGACGATCAACTGGCCTTTTTTCTTTTACTTGGCCTTAAGTTTTGTTGTTTTGATTTGTTTTATTGATAATATTTGTTGTAAACTTGTTATGTTATTTATTATCGTTTTTTGTGTATTCACAGATAAAGTGGATGTCGCTCCCCGACCAGCCCGTTAAGCACCCGCCCCAAAAGTTGGAGCCCATCAAAACCATGGCCTCCACCCAGAAGCTGGAGACTATGGAGCTGCACAGCCTGCACCTGCTGGGCAACACCACCCGCCTGCCCCCGGTCCCCAAGGCCACCACGCCCACGATCCGCCTGTCGGTACCCCCACTGGGCCACTCCCAGCACCACGGGGTGGACATTGTCACCTCGGACCACGATGAGATTGGGGGTTTCTCCAATGCGGGTTACTTGTCCGATGGAGGGGCCATTTCTCCCATACAAGTGGAGGGTGCTTCAAGCGGCAGTAAGCATTATCTTTATTTGGGAGAGAATGTTGCATCCTGACGCTACTTTTGAAACAGAAAAAAAATTACTTTCTTTAAAAATTGTGCTTACCTTGTACCTCAGAAAGTATAGTTTCATGTGATAACAATAAGGGTAATCCTTACTTTTAGGACACCTCTATTTTTTACGAGTTCTGTTCAAAACTGACTTTTGCAGATGTCTGTCCAGTTCCAAAGTGACTTTTGCAGGCTAAAGCAGTCTTTAGAAGTCAAGAAGGTGTCATTGCCAATTGTTCAGATGTGCCAATTATCAGAATGTCAATTTTGAGTGTCATTTAGTCAACTGTTTTGGTGAGTCTTTCCCTTCCTATATAGGAACGGGGTCCTAAAAGTAAGGATTACCACAATAAGGAATATGTTGACAAAGTCTTTAAGAGAGATTTGTAGACGAATATGAGGCCAACTTAGTGAATGTTCACATGTCACTGCATGTGATGATGTTGACGCCCTCCACCGACGCGTGATAAAAAAAAGGTGGAAATATGCAGTGACTTGTAAAAATTCAATTAGTTGACCACACATTCGCCTACAAATCTCTCTTAAAGACTTTGTCAACATCAGGGTTCGAAATTAGCGGTAGCCCGCTAGCCAAATGCTAGTCCAAACAGCAGCGGGCTAGTCAAACTATTCCTTAAGTAGCCTGGCTGGCGAGTCAAAATATTATTGGGATACGGCAAAGTTGAACGGACAGGAAGAAATAAATCATTGAATTCAGAAAGAAAACCTCATCAATTTGTGTCTAGTTTTTTTCAACTGTTTTAAAAGGTTACATTTTTAGATCTGTTTATTAAAAACACTGACAAAATTGCCTCAGAATTGAGCCTGTAAATGCGCCATTTTGCATTGAGCAAAATTATTATCAAATCGTGCTTACTTGGTTTAAAGATCCTACTGGTACTAAACACCCTGTGAAATCATTCCATCTGGCTGCTGTAATTTAGAAGAAATCAAGAAATGTAAGTGATTTCCAACGGTTGAAGCAACAAAAGTCCCCAAAATCTAAAGAAGGGTGCTTAACAACTAACCTGATGAAGTTTTAGCTCAGTTGAATGCTGTTTATTCCGAGAAAACAGCAATCTAGGATCTTGATTTTCTAGGATCTCGGGAACTAGTTATGTCAACTACCACATGGAGCTAATATCGACCATCCAATCTCAAAACCGTGTTTCATTTTTATAATAAAACCTTAATTGCCCAATGCTTCCACAGAGCAGAGCAGTTTGAGCCACTTGTCCTCGGACCATGATGGCTATCATAGTGCTTTGTCAACAAGCCCTTGCCCTTCAAATATTTCTGTCTTCAGCTCAACAGGGGACCTGAGTCAAGCAGTCAGGTCAGTTTTTTCTGGGGGTTTGGGAGAGAATGATGAAGAAATTAACGGCTTTGATCAAGCTTCTGTTTGCATACTGGACGCACCTTGCTTTGATGTTTCGGTAATCTCGGAAGTAACCACCAAGCAACTTCGCTCTTAAGGCCAAACAAAAAAACCAAAACCCCACAATTCTTGATGGATGGTCTACCAGGTTACAAAACATGAACATAATTGTTAATTTAGGTCATTTGTTGTAAAGGAATGAATTTGGTTTACAAAAATTCCTAAAATTGCTTGCAATTGTAATTTGGTAACTGTTGACATTGATGTCAAAAGAAGAGGGGGGGGGGGGGGAAACAAGGACAATTTTTTTTAAGTGTGAGGCTGGTGGGGTAGGGATACGGATAAATCTCCCATTCTGCCAACGTACACATTCATGAATTACGGTCCAGGCAAGCTGAATTTATCTTCCAAATTGGGTTTTTGCCCTTCACCGACGTTTAAACACTGTATACTCAGTGTGCTACCTCCCGAGTGAAAGTTGGAAAAAAATCACTCGGGTGGGACTCGAACCCTCGACCTCCTGCTTTTCTAGTGCAGATGTCTTACACCACTGAATTGATCTTGAAAAATCCTGCCCTTGTTCACAGATTTTAATTCTCGATACTTTCAATCCAATCCCCAAAAGGAGTCCGGTCCAGCCTATCCTTGAATCCCTCGGCCTGCCGCACTCTCAGGACGTGATGCACAAGCGCTTCAGTCTGCCGGGCTCCATGGATCACCTCAGCCCCATCTCAGCCATGGGTGTCAAGTCCTCGGATCCCCAGGGGACCAGCGGGTCCAACGGTCACTCCCCGGCCCTCCGCACCTCGTCGTTGCAGAACTCTGACCTGTTGTTGAGCTCCGGCAGTCGCTCGCCGTCCTGGGGGATGAGCCGCTGGTTTCAGAAGCGACCCTCCGCGGTCAGCTCCATCAGCAGTATGAGCGATATGAGCTGTATGAGCAACAGGTTAGAATTTTTCATGTACAAGTGAAGGGGACTTTGATGAAGAATACTGGATAGAGAATTTAGACAAATATTGGGTTTTAACAAATATTGGGTTTGGGAACATGGTGTTTGTGTTCTTGGGCTAGACACTTGACTACAATTGCCTCTCTCCACCCAGGTATATAACTGGGCACCTGTGAAGGTAGACCCTAGATTGCACTGATCTAGAGCTGCTGCAGAAACACTGGTCTCGTGGCCTGGGCCCAATTTCATAGAGCTGCTTAATAAGCACAAAATTTGCTTAAGTACGAAAAAACATTGCTTAGTAGAATTGGGTTACCGGCCAAAACTCCATGCGATGTACATTGCTTGTGACTGGTATTTAGCGGTTGGTTACTTAGCATAACAATCGCATGGAGTTTTGGCCGGTAACCTGATTTTATTAAGCAAGACGTTTTTGTGCTTAAGCAAATTTTGTGCTTAAGCAGCTCTATGAAATCGGCCCCATGAACAGGGGTAATAATTGTAAAGCGCTTTGAGACCTTCAATGGTATAAAGCACATAAGCACCGATTATGTCACAAATAACATTGTCAAGTTTGTTTTGATAATGTACTTTTTTTCCATGATCTAATACTCAGCTTGGATGAGGATACAGTTGCCGCTAACACTCGACAGAAACTCCAAAATCTTGTCAAGACTGTCACTCAACGAGCCAAGAAAGTGGGACGCAATGAGGTCACGCCCATCTCCACTGTATCGGCTACACTTGCACCCCCAGGTATGGGAAAAAAAACAAGAGGACAATTTTGAAATTCACAAATCGATGTCAAAGTTTACAGTGTCTGTTATCGAGCGTGATAAAATAATTTTTTTTTTACAGGTGAGGACTTGTGATTGACTTGTGATTGACTTGTGATTGACTTGTGATTGATTTGTGATTGATTTGTGATAGACTTTAATAATTGTGACGACTTGTGATTAACTTGTGAGGACTTGTGACAACCCTACCCTGTGAAAACTGGTACCCCTTTCTGACATTCCCAATGGTACAATGGAATCCAACTTTTGGTTGGTACTTCTCCTAAGGACTCCGCAGGGGAGTTTTAACAGGAGGCCAGAAACACTGGGGCAAACCCCTTCTCTTAGCGATAAGTGCCACTGGGTTCTTTGACGTGCATTGCATTACACAACACGTGGGACCTACGGCTTTACGTCCCATCCGAAGGACGAAGCAATAGTGGTTAAGTGCCTTTCTTAAGGGCACAAGTGTCCAGACCCGGGCTGAACCCACATTCTGCTCCCTCTGAAACACCAGAGCATGAGTCCGGTGCGGTGCTCTTAACCGCTAGGCCATGACACTCCATTCCTAAAGAAACTACAAATGTCTTGATGTTTTCTCTGGCAGCTCCAACCAACGTTCGCAAGCGACTGGACTCCTTTGCTCCCAGCAGCGCCACAGACGTCACCACGGAGATCCAAGTCAAGAAATTTTGGGGCTGCTGCCGGGCGGTCACTCTGCGCAACCTGATGGCTAAGTTCAAACCACCGGACTGTATCGACCCAACAGGTAGTGGCCAGGGGTAGTTTTTATTGGCTATAGACTCTTGATTGTGGAAACAGCGAAGTTTGCTGAATGTACATGTAACCACATTGTGATTAATAATGTACTGTCCAGATACTACTTCTTTAAAGATATAGTCCATCATTTGTAATTTGTGCATTTTGTTCGTTTGAAGCAACAAAAGTGTTCAAAATCTAATGAAGGATACTGAACAACTAACCTGATGAAGTTTCAGCTAAGCTTCAGCTGTATATTCCGAGAAAAACAGCATTCTAGGATCTCAATTTCAAATCAAAAGTTGCGCGCGCTTTGCCGAATAACAAAACGAACTACTAATTTAAATTTTCCTACGGTGCGTCTTAAGACGCACCGTTGGAAAGGCCTTCTTTCGTTGATTACTTCAAAATGACAGCTTGCCAGAAAGAATAATTTCACAGGGAGTTTAGTCCCCTTACCATTTCAACCAAATATGTTTTTCAACAAAAATTACGCCAGTTACTTTTCGGATGGCTGCAAATGATGGACTATAGCTTTAATGATGTACTGTCTGGATACTACTTCTTTAATTAAACCCTCTTTAGGAATATGTAACGTGCCTTGCATCCATGCATGAATCAACGATTTGCACACAACACTCATTTCGAAGTTGTTAACAGTGTACCCAACCAGAACATATCAACTGCCAGAAGATCACACTGGATAAAATATGACCCACAAGATAACATTTATTTAATAGTGTATTTACATTGGGGCCAAAATTCTTTCAAAGCTCTTACATTATTGTTCAACTTTGACCTAACTTTTGATTTTTTTGAATGATTTGTTTTATACTTTCTTCAATCGATTTAAATCGGAACAGCCCTGAATGGCAATATGGATACGTTTTAAATTTTTAAACAAACGTTTCCAGTAAATTATTCCGAATTGGTTTCGATTGGAAGAAAACAGTAATTGAAGGTGTTCAAAAATGGTGTGTGTGGGGCACACTTTGTTTCTGAGAATTAGCAATGAATTGGTTACAAGTCCCCCAGAAATTGTGCAAACAACAAAATATTTGTTTCTCTTTTTCCTCAACTTGTATATAAGCCAATGAGATAAAACTTCAACAGGTTACTTCTTATGCACCCTACAGTACTTAAGATTTTGAGCAATTTTATTGCTTCAAATGAGAAAACTGAACAAAAGCAAATGATTCTAATACCAGAGTCTTATATAGCGCAGCTATCTACCAACAATTTGGTACTCAAGGCGCTGAAAATTATGTCTATTATTAAGACAGGTATATGAAGTTTATGACAAATATGAGACCCTTTAAGTCGTACCTAAGGGTTAACAAGGTGCTGCGGCGCATATTGCAGCCACTGCCAGAACACCGGGGCAATTAAACCCCTCCTCTTGGCGATAAGTGTTACTGGGTACTTTAACGTGCATCACACAACACACGGGACCTACGGCTTTACATCCCATCCGAAGGACGAAGCAATAATGGTAAAGTGCCTTGCTCAAGAGCACAAGCACCATGTTCCCACGGTCAGGATTCGAACCCATGTACCACGGCACACGAGTCGAACACCGTAACCATTGGACCACAGCACCCCATTCTGTGTACCTTTGATATAGATGCATGGTTTGTTCTCTGATTGTTGCCGTACCTAGGAGGCATGTGGTTGGCCTGGTTGTGTCTGGTAGCTATGGTCTTCATCTATAACGCCGTCTCCATCTTCCTACGAGCGTCTTTCCCGGAAAAGACCATTGGGAAAGAGACCAGCTGGCTCTACTTTGACTATCTGGGTGATCTCATCTACTTCCTTGACATCATCCTACATACCCGACTGCTCTTCTTTGACAATGGTCAGATCCAGGTAAAAGTTTGTGAGAATTAGCCTTAAACCATGATTAATTAATCACCCTCTCAATGTTCTTCTAAAATGCGGTTTTCATAGTGTCATGTGCCACCCAGGAGTAAATGGGTACCTGTGAGGGCAGAGATGGTTATTGTGATTGAATTAGCTTCCTTGCGCCTAACAGGCTGCATCGAGCTGTATACTCCCCAGGGAGCTGAGATGGTATTTGGATTGTTTCATTGAACCAATGATCAGGGGTAATAATAATGTTAAGCGCTTGATCTTTGTTAAAGGGAATATACATCATTTGCTTTTGCTGTAATTTTCAGAAATGGATGGAATTGGGGGGTTGGAAATATAAAGCAAATATAGTTACACTGACTTTTTGGAGGTTTTGGGTTCGAAAATGCTATAAAAACCAAGAAAAACGATCATTTTCCTGTAGTCTGGTTCCCTGACTCCATATAAGAAGAAACAGAGCAGTTTACATACATTGGGGAATTGTAAGGTCAGGGAACCAGTCAAGCTGGCTCTTACCCGTTCATAGGTTTGTAATCGATTGCAAACAAGTGCAATGGTCAATTGGGTCCAGTATTTGAAAAAAAAGCCAGTTGTTTCCAACGCTGATCGGCCGATCAGCGTTGGAAATTGATACAAAAATACCACTTTTCTTGAAAATGACAGTATACCAGGTGCCATAATTTTACAGGATGCTTTATACTGTCATTTACCAACGTCTTATTAAGGTATTTCGCAAAAACTTGGTAGTTTTATTTTTAGATGTTTGCAAATGTTGTATATTCCCTTTAAAAGCGATATATAAGTACCTGCTATTATTGTTATTATTATTATGCTATTTAAAGGTACATGTAGAGTATATCATTGGCAGCTATCCAAAAAGTAGTTAGGAAAATTTTCGAAAATTTACGAAAAATTTAAAATCATACTTGGTTTAACCCCCTACTGTTTAAAAGGTCACAAACAGTCACGGTTTCCTTTCCACTTCCCCTGGTGTACTTTTAACACACCAATGGGTCACTTGACCAATTTCGACCCAAATAACAGCATGGCTCAGAATGCATGTTTGCGTAGTTCGGTGTGAAATTATTCTTTTTGGCATGCTGTCAGTTTGAAAAAAAAAAACAATAGAAGAATTTATCAATTCCAAAGATTCGTATAAAAACACATTTTCGTAAATTTCCAACACACACGTGAGCGCGGTTGCTATAATTCGTCGGTTCAGTGTGTGGCATCGCCCAGCTGCAATCGGCTGAAATGAGAACGTGTCCCGGACACTAATTTTAGGTGCAATTCACTACATGAGTCGTCAACTTTTGAATTAAATTTGACATCCTAGAAATATTGTTTTCTAGGAATATACAACATTCACTGAGCTAAAACTTTATCAGGTTAGTTAAGCATCCTTCTTTAGATTTTGAGCACTTTTATTGCTTCAAAGGAAAAAATTCACAAAAGGCAAATGATATAATTTACCTTAAAGAGCTCTTTGAAATCTGTTTCATCTCAAATTTGCTTGGTTTTTAAACTTAGGTTTATGCACCTTCCCTAGATTTGCCCTATTTATTTTTTTTACATTTATGCAGCATTCCTAGAGACCCAACAAGTGACATTTATCATTATGTTTTCAAATTCCAGAGAGACAAGGTGTTGATGAGGAAACATTACACAAAGTGCTTGCAGTTCAAGGTATATTCATTTGAAGGCGTATTTACTTCCTTTCAATATTTTGTAAAGATTTGCCCTTTTTTTCACAAGTGCCCTTTTTTATTATAAATGAGTGCCCTTTTTTTAATTGTTGCATCGAACAATGACATAATGCGATCCACCACTGACGCACTGGTTGACATTCATGGACTTGCTAAACATGGCTTTTATCACAATAGCAGTACAGGAAGCTGGGCAAAATCAAACGGATACCCCTAGCACTGCTTCAGGCCATTAGGCCCAAGTCCATCATACTCCATCAATATTTAGTCACGCCAGGCCTTCTGGACCAAGTCCCCCAAAATCCACCAAAATGAGGGATGGATTTTGATGGAGTTGGGGTGGTTAGGGTTAATGCATGGATTGGTTCAATGCGACTTGGTTTGAGTCATTTTGCTCAGCTCATTCCAACTGATCTTACTCTACAGTTTGATGTGCTGTGTCTACTTCCCTTGGATTTCATCTACTTTGCCGTCGGCATCAAGCCAATCCTCCGTCTGCCCCGACTTCTCAAAGTTCACAGCTACAACGAGTTTGTGGAGAAGTTTGAGAACAAATCCAAATCGGCCAACGTCTTCAGGTTCGTAGCTCCTTTCTACGGTGTTGTATTTATGTTTAGAAATTGGGGGAGAGGAATAACATTCCAGAAAGATTCTCCAAAGAGTATTTTGACTGAAAAACTTTATTAAGTGTATAAGTGATTTTTTTTTCCCGACTACTGGCACATTCAAGATAACATGTAATGTGCATTGAAAGCATACAAAACAAATTCGGTCGAACTTCTGTGCTATTCTCATCTTCATTCATTTTTTTAAATTTTGAGCAACGTTTTTTGAAAAAAATTCAAACTTTTAACCCCCCCCCCCAGCCAAATACTGGGTACACCACTGTATTTAATGGCCAACTTTGGAATGTTCCATTATCATGTTCTTGGTTCTTGGTTTGTTCTTCTCCTAAATACTCCACGTGGGAGTTTATACAGGAGGCCAGAAACACCGGGGCAAACCCCTTCTCTTATCGATAAGCGTTTGCTGGGTTCTTTTACATGCATTATACAACACACGGGACCTACGGCTTTACGTCCCATCCGAAGGACGAAGCAATAATGGTTAAGTGCCTTGCTTAAGAGCACAAGTGTCCGCCGGCGGGCTCGAACCCACGTCACTGTTGCGTCTGAAACACCAGAACATGAGTCCGGTGCTCTTAACCGCTAGGCCATGACAGTCCATGTCTTTGAAATCTTTTTCTTTGTGTGTTTGTCTTGGACTTTGCAGAGTTGTGAAAACCATCGGTTACCTGCTTTACATGATCCATCTGAACACATGCTGCTATTATGTCATCTCAACATGGGAGGGTATCAAAACCAACGATTGGGTCTACGATGGCCTGGGCAATGCGTAAGTACTGCCTTGCAGGCTGGATTCGAGCGAGTGACTCATGTTAACATGAGTACACTCCAGAGTGACAAACGACAAGAGTATTGCCGTTCGGAATCGGGAGACAGGTGGAGAAACCCCCTCCCCGGCATAGTTGGTGACATCGTGGTTTTATAATTCTGATGCACTTCTTAATTGAGTCGTCCTCTAAGAAAGATTATAAATAGTAAACTACGTACCCAACAAATAAAAATCATTCTTAATGTACCATGGTCACAGGAACAGGAAAAATGTCACCCTTTGGAACCTAAATTTATAGAATGACCCATTTGTATCATCTAGAGCCCGTGGTAGCCCGCTAGCCAAATGCGAGTCAAAACAGCGGCGGGCTAGTCAAAACCATTCTCTAGTAGCCTGCCTGGCGAGTCAAAGTTATTGAGATAAGGTATGAAACTTTTCACGCGTAGCTGCAGATTTTCCAATTTTTTGTCTTTTTTAAAGCCAGTCTGAAATAAAATAATATGATATATTCGACGTGCTTTCGGCTTTTTCCGTGCGGTTGCTCCGAAATCACAAACGTATATAGAAAAGAAAAACTAAAAGTTGCAAAGATTAACACAAAAATTATATTGCCTACTAGTGAAAAGGCCCACGGGCTAGTTATGAGTCTTGTTCACTAATCCGGCTGGCTAATGAAGAAAAAAAGTTAAGGGTGAACCCTGCTAGAGCCCAATTTGTTTCTACTCATACCAAATGCCTAATTCCTCAAATTTGTTCCTTTTTTTGACTAATCTTGTTTTTAGTTACATCCGCTGCCTGTATCGAGCGACAAAGACCCTGATCACCATTGGCAACCTCCCAGTTCCAGAGACGACGTTTGAGATCTTCTTCATGAATATAGATTTCATGGTCGGCGTATTCGTGTTTGCAACCATCATTGGACAGGTGACCGGGTGACAAGATTTGACACTAGGCTTGGGGGACTCCATCATTTTTGAAATCGATTCCGATTCCATCAAAGGAATCGTGATTCCGTGCGAAAATTATTCAAATTTTCACCGCCGAAAATTCTGCGTAAATAGGGGTTATTCGGTAATTTGCGCTATACAAGTTAATAAATAATTGTTAATTATTAAACATCAAACTTAATTCTAATTTCTTGAAAATTTGGTTCAGCGGGCCTCTTGGATGTCCATCTGGTACAGGTGAAATTTAGCTTGTATTTTAAAATGAGGTGTTGAAAAATTCAGTGCTTCTCATTTATGTTTGCTTGTATGTAGTAAACTGAAAATCCAAACTGTTGAAACTTAATTGAGAAATTAATTACGTTTTGCTCATGAAAGCGAGTCAGAAAAGTTAAGCACAATGTTTTAAAGGGTTCATGGGATGATTTTTTCTGAGGAACACATTATGTGCAACTTTCTACTCCTCTTTGAAAACAATTTGACATCCCTTTTTGGTTAATTTTATTGAAAAGTGCACTTCTTTAAATGTTTAAAATTGTCCTTGCTTTTCCGGACAACTGACGCTGTTGCTGTGATGTCATTTCAGGGTGACACTGTTCAGTTCTCCATTCAAATTGTGAACCCAAAAATTTGCTAATTTAAAAAATTTGTGAGAAAAATTTGCTCACTGGCTTACAGCCATGCACTGACACAACAACCAATCACCAAAGAAAAGAAAATTCACGACAGCAAAAAATCCGAAATTCTGGCAACTTTTAGTGCTGATATAGCTGTAACATTGAGGTTTCTGCCTAAAGTGACACACTTTTGCTCATGAATATGGAAATTTTCGTTAGCATAAAAACCAAAAAGGCACCACACTCCCCCTCGAAAATAGGAAAACGGAAATTGAAAATAGGGTTTAATGGGACACAAAGGTGCATTTTCAAGGATTGCATTAAAACAAATTCCATTGCATGCGCCCTCTAAAGCAAAAAGTTGAAAAGTAGAAAATAAAGAAGGTTATCATTACTGATGTATATATGTATTTCCGTCTCTTTGTAAAAAAGTGGATGTTTTTGGACTGACTGAGTGAAATGTTTATTTTCTAGATGCGAGACATTGTAGGCGCATCAGGGGCGGCCAAGGGGGCGTTCCGTCGTCGCATGGACAACACCATGTCACTGCTGAAGATCTGGAAGATCCCCGAGAGCGTGCAGAGAAGAGTCCGTCTGTGGTTCATGTACTCCTGGGATCGTAGAGAACTACTCAGTAAACACCCAGAAATACCACTATTGCTATGATGGAATTATATGCCCTCACTGTGAAGGCTTCATATTATGTTGTTCATGAAGACCTTTTACTAAGCACTGGCAGAGAGCTTGCAAGATAAATTTCACAAGCTTGTAACGCGGGTGGTTTCGAACCCACGACCTCATGGCCACGTTGGTCCATCGCAGGTTACTCCTTAGCTAATGCTGGTACCCATTTGTACTCCTGGGTGGAGAGAGGCAAGTGGGGTGAAGTGGCATGCCCAAGGACACAACATGTAGCCAGCGGCTGGATTCGAACCCCTGACCCTCTGATCATGAGTCACGAACCCTAACCACTAGGCCATACACCTCCTAGGGTGCCGTTTGTGCCCTAGGGTTAAATCAGACAATTGAGTTTAATTATTATTCTGTTGATATTTGTGTTTTCTTAAATATTCCTTCTTTTTTTTCTTTTTCAGATGAGAAGGAAATCATGAAGAACGTGCCGATCAAGATGCAGACAGATATTGCCATCCACGTTCACATGGACACACTCAGCAAAGTCTCCCTGTTTCAGGTCAGTTTTCAGAAATGTTCCCTTTCTCACATTTTCTCGAAATATTGAACACCTGTTTATTAAGCTTCAACTTTTCAATTCTCTGTCTAAAGATCGATTTTTAACAAACCCATTGTAAGGCAAAAAAAAAAAAGTCTCCGGTTTCTGGTATGGAGCTTGCCCAAAAAGTGGTGCGGCGACGCGGCTTTTTTTTTTTTTTTACCTGATTTTTTTGCTTCAAATGTCGGCTGATGATTGCAAATGGTGCCCGACTAAACTCAGTGGAAATATATGGGAGTCCAGAGAGGCCACATGAAGCTTATTCTCGACCATAACCCAATCTAAAAACACGTTAAAATTGTGCAGCAGCAGGATTCCAGTCAAACCAGTGAGTTTGGCGGTTTTGAGACATCATCTTTCATTGAAAAAAAAACTTTTTCATTTTGCCAACGTGCATAGCTACGGCGACGCGCGCGCATACCAGAAACCGGAGACTTTTTTTTTTTGGCCTAAGAGGGTATGGTTGTATTGGAAGAGATGTCCCCAGCTTTCACAGACATGCCGCATGTTCCTGTGGCAACTGTAGCTCAGCCCGTAGTAGATTTATTGAAACTGTCATGAAGGGACATAAAATAATGATGGAAATGTACATGTACATTATTTGTGCATATAGCTTTCTATCATGTCATGTCCCCAAAATTCCACGTTTCTTTTCTTATCTCCAGCAGTAATAGGACATCGTACATGTCCTATTATACTTGTCGAATGCGAACGCGAACGCGAACATTTGACGTCATGGCAAGTTTTCGCGCTGCAATTTGCAATAGTGGAACACATTTCAATAGCGAATTTCATAGCGAATGCTTTATGATGTCAAATTCATATCGCATTCGCATGAAGAACGAATCTGCAATAATGCAAAATTATGGCTACAGACTCTGAGAATACTTTCATATTATTTTTTTTGGACAATATTCTTAAAGATTGGAAACCCCCTCCCTACTCAGAAAGGCTCAATTTTTTCAGCAGAAAGGCTTTTTTTTCAGCAGATTTATTTTTAATGCTGAATGAAAATTGCTACGTTGTTCTGTTCAGTTTCCCACACTGATATAATTTAATAATTGTCAAAAAAATCAGGGGAGGGACACCATGGATTTTAAAGTAGCATATTCTAACTTAAGAATACTTTCATTCTATCCATTTTCAGGACTGCGATAAGATGCTGTTACGTGATTTGGTGTTGAAACTGCGACCCGTTCTGTTTCTGCCTGGTGACTACATCTGCCGCAAGGTAATGCCATAACAGAAAATAACAACAATGAACAACAAGAAAACCAAGACTGATTTTTTAACAGTTGAGGTTATTTGTGACCTGTTCTGTCAAAAGCAGACGCTTCTGGGCAGAGGTTGAAATTGAGATACAGCCAAAAACGCTGTGGGGGTGATTTTTATCGATTTTCAAATGTTTGCATATTTGTAATCCTGAACATGTCTAAAATATATTATAAAAGTTTGAAACCCTAATTTGAACGATACATATACTTTTTTTGATGATTTTGATAAGGTATATCAGTTAAAGAAATAACTGCTTTGTGACGTTCGTGGCCATTTTCTCCGTTTTCTACTTTTCGACACAATGAACTTCAAAATAGCATAACTCTGCCCAGGAATGACCGGTTTCAAAAATTAAACCACCTATTAAAAGGAAAAAGAACATATGTTAACAATATGTAAAAATATCATTTTCGACCTTATGCCCAGAAAAGTCCGATTTTGACAGAACAGGTCACATTTTTGTTTCAAGTCATTTTAAGATCACTCTTCTGTGCCAATAATGTCTTCTGCCAATCAACACGGTGATGCAACTTTTATCTTCACGCAAACTCAAGTCCTCAATTCTGATAGGTAGATCCATGGCAACAACAGTTTGGCATTGTCCAGTATTGCACGGTCCATATTGCACTGCACATATAGTGGTTTCTCCGGGCTGACACGGCATTATTATACCACTGCACGGTAGTACTATACCACTGTGAATTCAAAAGTCCCAAGTTGCCTTTACATAAGTACAATGATATCATGCAATCGATTTCTTTTTTCTTTGATTTTTCAGGGTGAAGTTGGCAAGGAGATGTACATCATCAAGAACGGCGTGGCACAGGTACTGGGTGGACAGAACAACCGAACAGTGCTGGCCACACTGCATCCAGGCTGCTACTTTGGCGAAATAAGGTACCAAAAAGTAGACATGCATTTTCTCCCCCCCCCCCCCCCCCTCCCGTCCCCACTATGTCTGTAATGGGCCATCTGTGAATGGGTGTGCACAGTTGCTACTATTGTCAGTTCAGCGCGTGACATCGCGTAGCTGCAATCGCCTGAATGAGAATATGTCCCGGACACTGATTTCGGGCGCAATTCAAAACATTGACTAGGCAAATTTTGAATTGAAAACGAGATTCACAGAGCTAAAACTTCATCAGGTTTGTTGTTAAGTACCCATCTGTATGATTTTGATCACTTTTATTGCTTCAAATGAAAAAAAAATAAATAAGTAGAATAACAAGCACTGGCAGCCATTTTGAAAATTTTGAAAATTGCTTGTTACTGTACATGTACCTATATTTTTTCAAAGGACAAATCTGCGATGGCCCTTTAGCCAAATATCTTTCTCAAGACATATTCTAACTATGTGCCAAATGCCATGCTTGTATTATCAAAGGCACAAAGTGTCATGGCCTAGCGGTTAAGAACACTGGATTCATGCTCTGGTGTTTCAGAGGCAACAGTGGCGTGGGTTCAAGCCTGCCGGGTGGACACTTGTGTCCTTAAGCAAGGCACTTAACCATTATTGCTTCGTCCTTCGGATGGGACGTAAACCGTAGGTCCCGTGTGTTGTGTAATCCAATGCATGTAAAAGAACCCAGTGACAATCGCTAAGAGAAGGGGTTAGCCCCTGTGTTTCTGGTCTCCTGTATAATCCCTACGCGGAGTATTTAGGAGATGAACCAACCAAGAACCAAGAACCAAGAACAATTCCCAAAAATATTTCCCCTATCTGCCCCGCTAACATTCTTATGGTATCATTGACAGCTTGCTGAGTGTAGGATGTGGTAACCGTCGCACCGCCGACGTCTACTCCCCGGGCTACTCCAATCTGTTTGTTCTGGACAAGAGAACACTGCAAGAGGTTGTGACCAACTACCCGAACGCACAGGAGAGTCTGAAGAGAAAAGCGAGGTGGGCTGCTTGCTTGTTTGTTTGTTTGTCGCTTTGTTTGTCAGTCGGTAGGCTTGTTTGTCTATCAAGCTATGTTTGCCTATGGACTCTGTGCATAAGTACCCCTCAACGGTTTTAAAGAGAAAGTTGGTGGAGACCACTGGGAAGGACATTCAAACACTTTGCCGACAGTGTCTGATGCTCACGCGAAGACGTGGCAGTTTTGTGCGCATTCACAACAAAAGAAGTCATGCGTACTTTGCGCCGTACGTGCATGAACCAGTCTCCTCCACTTGAGCTCTTTGCAGTTGTTCGTGTTGCCCGATTTTCCCACGTACGTTAGTTGAGTTTGGTTGAATCATGGACATAGTTGAATGGTGTCACGAATGGTGCATTTGTCTTTCGGACACGAGTGAAACGAGGAATAATGTAGGGCATCTACATGTCTCACATGCCACGAGGCCAAACGCATCCTGTAAAATCCTGCACCTGGTGTGCTGTCATTTTCAAGAAAAGTGGTATTTTTGTATCAATTTCCAAAGCTGGTCGGCCAACCAGAGTTGGAAAAAACAGGCTTTTTTCAAATGCTGCCCCCAATTTACCATATTTAGTTAATCCACATTTTGTTTGCAAATGATTACGCACCTATAAATGGGTACAAGGCAGCTAGACTGGTTCTCTGACCTTACAATTCCCCGACGTGTATAAATTGCTTCGTTTCATCTTAACACAAAACTTCAAACAAGTTAGTGCAATAATATTTGCTATATAATACTAACCCCCATGTCCATCCATTTCTGAAAATTACAGCAAAAGCAAATGCTGTATATTCCCTTTAAGCACAGTGATCTTACACATTGTCAGTTTATTGTCGGAATTTTATTCGTGCTTTGCAATTAAATGCGAAATTGGTGCAAAATACATCTGTTAGTATATGTTAAACGTTTGCTCACAGTTTCATGGTTTACAATTTTTTTGGACCACAGAGAGATCCTTAAAAAGAACCAGGCCAACGATACCAAGGGCAAAAAGCGACGGGGCAAGTCGCTGATTGCAGAGTCTATCCTGATTAATAAGGATAAGGACCAGGAGCCCAGCTTCTTCAACGCCGTGCTGGAGGTGGCCCGAGCCAACAAGATCGCCAACACCATTCTGAGGGGCTCCTACCGTAGCGGCCTGGACGATATCCCGGACGAGGTTGCCCACTACTCCAAGTCCGACATCTCGTCCGACGAGATCATCTTCGGCAGCAAGGGTCAACGCAAGAAGAGGAAGAAGCGTAAGTTTGACCTTTTGTCAACTGCTCTAGTATGTGTCAATTTTGCGGTGACCTTTGCTCTCCTCTCTTTGTTCTCCTCGCCGCCAGTGGCAGAATTGCGAATACAATTTACACTAGATATGATTTACATTGTGAATGGAATATGTAAGAAGACAGGTTTTCTGCTTATTTGTTCCCCTGATTTGTTATAACTAATTGACAACAACGTTGGCATGACGCCTGTTATTGGACATGTTTATTTCTTCATCACCCCAACTCCAGTGGTCAAGAGGGCCAAAAAGCACCAACAGGATCCCAACCACTCCAACGACGACTCGGAGTCCCAGAACGAGCACAGCCACCCCGAGGCCAGCCGAGGGGAGGGGATGGCCCACACCAAACGCCCCCTGCGCCGGGCCGCCAGCGTCACATCCCCGAACCTCAAGGACCTGCACGTGATGAGCGTCAGCAGCAAGCAGCACGGTCGCGGCGGTGGTGACGGCAGCGATCGCCGCTTGCCCAGGGAGAGCATGGGTAACATGAATCTCCTGTGGGACAAGGAGGCGGAGAGGGAGTTGGCCAGTAGGAGCAGTGTGACCGGTAGCATCCCGCTGGAAGAAGATGAGGATGACATCCGGAGCTCTAAGGGGAAGCAGATGCAGAAGAGCAGCTCCAAGTCAAGCTTCTCTGGCATCAGTAAGTTTTGTGTGGTCACCTCAGCCTTTGACTCTGTAGGCACGTGCGTGTTCACTAACCCCTGGTTGCTGGAATACGGAAACAGCGCTAACGGGCTGTTCAGAGCGTACTATGCATGTATTTCAAAGACAAGGCGCTCTATATCTCCTGCGCATCATGTCACGTACGAACATTTTTTTTTCAAAACTGCGTGATGACTGAACGACATGGATTCTGGCTGCATCGTTTTTGCCTAAAAAAACACCTGTATCTTGTGTTGTAAAGGGACGACAGAGGTACGTACATTTAATATAAATCCTTGCAAAAAAAAATGCGTCATCAAAATCTCATGTTTGAAAGGATTGATTCTGCACAAAAAAAACTTTCAAATTTTAAGCACGGTGTCGCGCGTTAGATACAGCGACTGTAGTCCTTATTTAAATGTGCCACTATTTGGCATATTTGAATTACACAATTCCAGGGGTTAAGATTGTGCAAGGCATGATGGGAACCAACATGGCGCAGCAAGATCGTGCCCATGGAAACGAGGTTGGGTCACCCTATTCAACAGGAAAGATTCTGTCCGATGGACTCGGTGCATAAGTAACACCTCAACAGTGAAAGATAGTCAAACTCTTCATTGATATAATCCCTTGTTAGCCAGTGACTCTTGCAAAAACGCTGTGGGATTAGGCATATTCAGATGAAATCAGCCTTGTGTACTTATGTCATTTGTGCATGGACCATGTAGAGGTCTAATGACAACATCTGTGTTTATTACACTAACCTTGATTAAGTGGCTGTTCATTGAACACAATCTGTTAAGAGCCCGTTGTAAAACACAGTGCACACTTGAACAAAATTACGCTCAGTTTTCATTTGAATGCCCAAACCTGTAGCATCTTCGTGTGAGAAGGGACATCAGCATTCCATTACTTGTCAATTATTTTTTACAAGTTGCTGACTTATTATTTCCTTCTTTTTTTTTAAGAGTAGTGGCCATAACTTTTTGCACAACTTATACAATTATTGGAGTAACATTCATCTCAGGGTGATGTTCCAGACTCTCTCTGTATGAAAATGTTTTTAGAGCAACTCGAATTGACCTCAAGAGAATTTGGTTTTCGACATGCAAACGCTATGTCACAATCTTCCACTGACTGAACTCTTTTTGCGTAAAGTTGCTCCTCATAATTTCAAACGTCGAGCTTAAGTTTGGTGTGTCTTTGGAACACCAGTCGGAACGGGTGTTACACCACCAAAATTTGAGCACTTGGCTGCTTGTCATGTACTGATTGCTTTCATTGAATCTACAGAGGAGAGGCATCTCATGGCCCGCAGCATCAGCGATGTTGAGAGAGAGGAGAAACGCACCAGACAGCTGGAGTGGCAGCCCACCCCGCCTCAGACCACGGAGACGGGAGTGGAACAAAGGCCGTCCACTACACCCTCCAAGGAAGATGGGTAAGGACCTAGGGCCGTATTCACAAAATTCGCTTCACTTGACTTAAGACAGACCCAACCAGACTCAGATTTAAAGGGAGAGTAAATCATTTGCAGCTATCCAAAAAGTCAACATAATTCTTGAAAAAAACTTATTTGGTTTAAAGATAGTAATGGCGCTAGACTCCCTGTGAAATTAGTCCTTCTGGCATGCTGTCATTTTGAAGAAAACAATGAAAGAAGGCCATTTCCAAAGATGCAAATTTCTGTTAGTGGTTGGTTTTGTAAGTCGGCGAATCCGTGAATGGGTGAGCGCAAGCATTGACATGACGCACACGCGCGCGCGGTTGCTATTATTCATCAGTTCAGTGCGTAACATCGCATAGCTGCAATCGGCTGAATGAGAACGTGTCCCGGACGCTGATTTTGGGTGCAACTCAAAATGTGACTCTGCAACTTTTGGATTGAAAACGAGATCCTAGAAACTGAGATCTTAGATTGAAACCTAGAATATTGTTTTCTTAGAATATACAACCTTCACAGAGCTGAAACTTCATCGGGTTAGTTGTTAAGCACCCGTCTTTAGATTTTGAGTACTTTTGTTGCTTCAAAAAAAAATTAAAAATGCACAAACGACAAATGATCTACCCTACCTTTAAAGCCCGGTTCAAACTCCACGCGAATGCGAATGCGAAGCGAATTTGACGTCATGAAACATTCGCTGCGAAATTTGCCCAAGTTGAAATATGTTTAACTTTTACGAATTCGCAGCGCGAATACTCGCCGTGACGTCACAAATTCGCGTTCGCTTTCGCTTTCGCGCCAAGTATGAACCGGGCTTCAGTCGTAAAAGTGAGTGGGGCATTATACATAGAATATACTAACAAGACCCTTTCACTAAACAAATACACCCTGTACAGAATTACTATAAAGTCAACCAAATCACAATCTAACATAGCTGTCATGTTTTCACAAATGCAAGCAGTAAAGGCCCCGAGAGCAGCCCGCAGAAAGCGAAGAATGATGGCAAAGAGGGCCCCGATTCTGACCGATCAGAGGAGGACATAGACAAGGGGCTGTCGTCGGACGGAAGCAGCGGCACCATGACCGGATCGGACGGTCGTCAGAGCAAAGCATCTACCTTACGAGGGGAGGGGTATGACTCCAGCAATGAGGCATCAACGGGCTCCAAAAATTAATCACCTGAACCTTGACAAACGATCAAAATTGATTAAATATTGAGAGTCTCTGGACTCCGTGCACAGCGGTTACACATGAAGAGTTGGGGGAGTCTGGAACGCATTGCTGGCGACGCCTGCTGCTCACTAGCCCCATAAATGTGGCCTATTTACTGGACTACCTCTGTAAACATAGGCCACACATCCACATGTACAAAAACGTGTCGCACTTTGCCAAATTTTGATTTTCGCATTTAGGCTTAGTTTGTAGGTTTTTTTTGCTTAAGAAGCATACTCACCCTCTTTATAGGCTAATCAGAAAGTGCTGTCTTTTTCAGATGTATATTTTTCGTGAAATTTCCAGATTCATTTTTACACGTTTGCGTATCAAAATTTCAACATGAAATTTCACAAAAATTAGTCATCTGAAAGGCAGCACTTTCTGACTAGCCTATAAAGAGGGTGAGTATGCTTCTAAAGCAAAAAAATCCTACAAACTAAGCCTAAATGCGAAAATCAAAATTTGGCAAAGTGCGACACGTTTTTGTACATGTGGATGTGTGGCCTATGTTTACGGAGGCAGTCCAGTAAATAGGCCACATTTATGGGGCTAGCTGCTCACGTGAGGACGCTTTCATTATTATTCTTGTTATTCACATGAACAGAAATTGCGATAACCTGTAAAAAATAAAGAAGCTGTGCTTTCAGCAAGTGCTTACATTTCAGTAAACGCATCCAAATTTGGAAAAAAAGTGATTGCCAAGTTGACATGCTGTTGACACAGTGTGCAAAAAATGTGCACGAATCCACTGCAGTCGTTGTAACTCTCACTGCATCATTTGTCAAAATATTACTGTTTGTTTTGATCCCAGGAACACTCACACAATTAAGTGACCAATTCAAGCGATTCACAATGCAGTGCGCCACCAAGAGTTTGCCACAGAGAGTTCATTTTTCCCTGTGCATTGTGGGAGATGGTCGACAAATTCGCAGCGCGGGACATTTTGAAATTGTTCGTTTTTCCGGTCAGTAGTTTCGTAAGCATATGATTCAAGTATATGTTTGCCCTTTTCTTTTCTGTGTATCAATATTTTTGATAAGGCGGCAGAACGCTTTGCCCAAATCTGTAACAAATTAGCTCAAATTGTCTATGGACACTCATTCAAATGGGCCATGTTTTGTCGACCGTAAACTTGAAAAGTTGACTCTCCATGGCAAACTCTTGGTGGCGCCAAGGGCGGATCCAGAACACAAATTTGGGGGGGGCCAAAAAAATTTTTGGTTCCCCCCAAAAAGTGGGTCCAAAAAATTACGGCGTGGGGTTTCGGGGCCCGCTTAAGGGCCCGAAAAAATTTTGGATTCTAGATGCTCTGTGGTGTGATATGAGGCGATTTCTGACCACTTTAACCAATTTTTTTTTTGAGGAAAAGATGGTGGTGTACTCATTGCCTGCCTTTATTGCGATGTCAAAAAGTGGGTCAAAAAAATTACGGCGTGGGGTTCGGGGCCCGCTTAAGGGCCCCGAAATTTTTTTTGGATTCTAGATGCTCTGTGGTGCGATCTGAGGCAATTTCTGACCACTTTAACCAATGTTTTTTTTTGAGGAAAAGATGGTGGTGTACTCATTGCCTGCCGTTATTGCGATGTCACATAAAAAAAAAAAAAATTGATTTCGTTTTGGGGGGGGGGGGCCATGGCCCCCTTTGGCCCCCCCCTGGATCCGCCCTTGGGTGGCGCACTGCATTGTGAAAATCCCCTGAATCGTGCAATAAAAAAAGCTAGAAATGAAAACTTCACTCACAGATCACGTCATTCTTTCAAATATAATACGTATAGCTTGAGGTACATGTAGAGTCCATATCTCTAGGTCAATTTATAGCATTTTGGACCAATCGGAAAGAAGAGCTTCTTTAGAAAGATCACATTCCCTTTATTTTCAGATATTGTAAATATTTGTGTGGTGTGTGCTCTAGTCAAGTTAAATTGTATTAAGATTAAGAGATATATTTGTAATAAAAATGAAGTATTCCATATTATATTCCATTACAATTTATGTGTAATTTCCAGTAAGCAGTACGATGCATACAAGTGAACAGTAAGATAGGGAATGTTTTTGTGCAATATCTGTCCCGTACTTAATTTGTCATGTCGTGTTGGACAATTGATAAACCGGTGTCTACCACAATTAGGGGTGATGACATACAACAGTGCTTGCATCCAGGGAAAAAAAGTATTTTATAAATAATATTTTTTATTAGATTTGTGTGCGACAGTACAAGGTTGATAGTATAATACCATATATGTTTACAAATGTATCATTTTCTGTTCCATTACAACCAATCATGTGCTTTCCAAAAGTTTATAAATTCTCAAAAGACGAACAAAAGATATTTCAATGTACTGTATTGTTATGGCCCGATATTCTCCATTTTCCTTTTATTCTTTCTAACAAAATATACAGATTTTTTCCATTTCATCCAATCATGTGCTTTCCAAAAGTTTATAAATTCTCAAAAGATGAACAAAAGATATTTAAATGTACTGTATTGTTATTGCCTGATATTTTCCATTTTCCTTTTATTCTTTATATCAAAATATATAGAAAAGTGCTTAAACTATATGTGTATATTTGTGCAGTTGGGTGAAATGAGAAAGTTTGGATATTCCTGTCCCGTGTAGTGTCAGAGGATGTCTGGTGAAGAAAGCAAAAGTTTTCTCACGGTAAATTGTGTATAGATTGATTCGGTGTCTAGCTTGTGTTCATTGTATTAAAGATTTGTGTTGTGCTAATGTGTTATATTATGAATTTCAAGTTTAACATTATAAAATATTTTTAGACGAATTATTATTTAAAATGATCAGAAAAATTCAGCAATCAGAAGTTGTGATTTTACTGAAACTCAAGTCTTACCGGCAAAACTCTGCAATTGATGTGCAATATGACAACTTGTAAGGCATACAATTATCCTAGAATTAAATTGGTGCACAAAAATATTAATATATTTATACATGTAGCTATATTTATCTATCAAATGGTGTATACAGAAAAGGAAGATATAACAGAAGATTAAACTAATTTATTATATATTAACACCTGTAAGGTGTCTTGGGTTTTGTGCAATATGTTTATGAGTTTAAAATATTTAGCTACAAATATCTCGAGGGTTTTTAAAAGCTGCTTCGTTCTAGCTGGAGACGAAAATCAAGACTTTTTCATAAATAGATTATTCGAATTCTTCTACAAATTCCTGTATTTTTGTGGACCTTTCAACTAAATGTCTATTTTACTTTTTCTTGTCAAGTCGAGATTGAGACATCGGCGTGTTAAATAACAATGGCCTTGATTATATGCAGTTTGTATAAAACCCATAACACATAAAAAATACTGCACAATTGAGTGTTACAATGTTACTGGTCAATGAGGCAAACTTTTCCATGGAAAGGAATTGCAGTGGTCTTAATTTTGCGGATCAACTTATTTGCATTGGTCAGCAATTGCTTTTCATTGTTTATTTGTTCCCGGCGATCCAATGAGAAGAAATAGAAATGACCCGTGCTGTTTTGGAAAACTGTTACTTTTTTCTAGCAACAAAGGACTTTAAAATGAGACATAAAACGAAAAACGTTCCACCCACATTTATGTATGGCCAGATTGTTTTACAAGAGTGACGCAAAAGCAACCAATAAAGAAAAGCCCCTTCTGGAGAGTTGCAGACGGCAAAACTTGTCACACAAAGTTACAAATGTAAATGTTTGTTATAGGGCGCCTACTCATGACACCTTCAAAAGATGTATGGATATAAATGGATTTCAATATAAAGATATTTGTTAAAGAATTGTTTCAATCTGTTACACACCTTGCTTGTGAAATGTAATAAAGTGGCACTTGCACATAATTGATACAAGTCTGGTTCTTTTCTTTCTCTTGTTTTCTTCTTAATTTATTTGGGTTTGTTTTGGGGGAAAACGAAGCATTTATCGACCCTTGCAAATACTTGGATATCACGGGAATCTTTTTTAATCAACCACATGAAGTATTTGACTAACTCTCCCGCTCTGGAAAACAAAATTAGAAAACAAAGCAGGGTCTGCGTGATTGCAGAAAATACCTAGGTATTGAGAACGCAGCCTTCGCTTCATGAATGCCGGGGAGAGAAGGGGGATGGGCCGGGGGTTAACCGCCCCCCCCCCCCGACCCTGCTTGACCCGACCCCGACCCCGACTTAGTCACAGAGACCTTTTCTGCTCTCACATATACCCGCTCAAGATGCAGTTAGATGCAATTAGTCGTGAAGTGTCTTGCTCAAGGACACAACAAACACCTGAACCCCCGGCTGGACGTCAAACCCACATGTGCAAAATTATTGACAGATATTAAGTTTGTTGCATTTTCTTGCTCTGATAACCAAACTAAACCAGTCAGACGAGGAACCGGCCGGTATACGCCACGTCACATTATTGTTGCTTCCGCACGCCACAGCCAGTGACTTCAAGTAACAAGTTCACCCCCTTCAAGGGCGGATCCATAACCAAGAGGGGGCCAAGAGTGCTCGAGTATTTTTTTCCAAAAGGGGAAGGGCATTATGTATCATAGGGCGCTATTTCTACATAAACTAAAAAGTATGTGTAGCTGATGGCTTGCGAGGGAGATACGTAATGTGTAATTTACTTCCGGAACATTAAGACCCCCGTCCCCCCCCCCCCCCCCCCCCCCCCCCCCGATCCGCCAACGAACCCATTTGGAATTAGTGAATCACATAGCAGGGCTTCATAAGTGATTATGATATTACCATAAACTTGTTGCTGACAAGTGCAGCAACGCACTGCGCCCCATGGTGTTTCTTCCTACGCCTTGGCCTCGGTGACTAAGTCACGAGTCATTCTAAATCTGTTTTGGATTACTGAATGTCACGGAGGAGGACTTCATTGGCGATATTCACTCAAACAGCCAGACTTGTCTTAGATGTATGACTAATTTTCCGATCATACCAGATATATCCGTCTTGATGAGATGGATCGTGGCGTACTGAACGTGAAATGCTTGCACTCAGTTACGACGGCATAGTGTAGCCAAAAACAGTGTGTGTTTTGGAGAATGCACAGTATGTAAAACATATTACTTTCCTTTGTATTTCGTCATTCCAAAATTTGGCGCCAGAACGTCAGGCCAGCAAGGGCATACTGATTTAGAAAGGAAACTGTGCCGGTGAGTCATGATCATTCGTCTACTACTTCAACCAATGTTGGGTTCTCCATTGGGCTCTTTTTGTGATATAGCTATTTCTTTCACATTTTGATTACCTTCAGTTCAGAATGATGTGTTTCTAATTGTCCTTTGCGGTCCACCACTCTTAGGAATATGAATCAGGGAAACTTCTTTTCATATCAAAAATGCAAACGTTCCCAAATTCTTTCTTAAAAGCTGAATTTCAGGGTTTGCAAGTCACGAATGATATTGTGTTTAACCTTGTTGTGTAAACGTGCATGAGATCATTCGCAACTCATGTTCCCAGCTAGGCATGGCTGATCATTGAAAAGAGGTCCATGAATTACTAGAAAGACTGTTTACCCCTTCCCTGTCAAAACAAAAACCCCAAATGCTTCTAAAATTTTGACTTTTTAGTGCAGGCAGAATTTGAAGCAAACATTTTCTCACATTTGTACAGTTGTTTTTTTACTTCCTACAACACCTACTAAAAAATTTCACTGATCTTTTGAAATTGCCAGAACATGAAAAGGAGTGTTAACATGTAATTAATCGAAGACCCCTCCGGAAAAAAGAGGACACAAATTAACATGAACAACATGTGCTCCTCTCTCTCTTAGTGGTCATGTTCAGAAAATATTGCACTGTTCTATTTCCTGATGTCTTTTATATCACCTCTCAGCCTTCAGGTACTATGGACGTGCAAAGAGAATGATCATGTTAAGTGAAGGTTTGCGGTAACACCATGTGGAAGAAGATGTGTTGAGAGGATGTGTGGTTTTGAAAAGAACTTTTTTTTTTTCACAACCACACATCTCAAAAGAGATTCGTCCACATGGTGTTACCACAAACCCTCACTACACTACTTACTTACACGTACCACTGCCATGCAAGATACAAATCATATGAAATGTACACAATTCTATCCAAATGCTTCAGGGATGTTCAACTATAACTTCATAGCCGATGCTGCATTCATCTTTCAGTTATTTTGCCACCTACTGCACCTCGGCACAGCTCAAACATGTAAGTTAATTGGCATTTCCTTTCCTAAACCACTTGAAGCCAAGACTTAACATCAAAAAGGGGGAAAAAACAATACCTTAATTCGTAATGTGTTGATGTTTTCTTTCTATATTTCGATAGAATAAGATCTGTGCGGGAAAGGCACAGACGTAGTGTTGCCTATCTAAAAACATCACTCAACTAGGCCCTATGTTATCCCCTTAGGCCCCTATATATGAGCCTCTTGAGCCTGAAAAGGCGATGTTATCACCCAACTCCAATTCTACAGCTGCTTTGCCTCCAAGCTCCTATCATGGCATGAAATATTCATGGTGCCTATAATAAGCTAGGGAAACACTCAGTTTTGGATTGAAAGAAAGACCTACAATTGTGTTGTTCTTAATTATTGTTCTTGGAAAGCTCAGTTTTGAATTTTTGTTTTCGATGCACACTGCATGCATGCATCAATTAAGTAACATATTTTCCCCCAAAACTAAACCGTTTTTGTTTTTGTTTTTAACTTGTATGTGGCAGATGGCTATGTCAGACTCGTTGATGGCGCCGCACCCACCCAGGGGAGGGTAGACATCTTTGAGGGTGCCTCGTGGAGGCCAATCTGCGCTGATCATTGGACACTTGAAGAGGCCAAAGTTGTGTGCCGTCAACTCTCCCTGCCCGCTGCCACGCAGGCTACCAACTGGGTACAGGTAGGACGTCACGTCAACGTCACGCTGTCTCAACATGCCTTCGTGTGCAGTGGAGGCGTCTTCAAGCACACGCTACAAGAGTGCTCATCGGAGACGAAGTACACTTGCAAGGATGAAGGAAGGGTTGCTGGGGTCATTTGTGGCTCCTGGGAAAATGGTATGTTATGCTTCTCCCCATCAGACTTTATGAGGACGAAATTTCCTCAATCTGCTTACTTTAAATAAAATAAATCATTGCAAAGTTCCCTTCCCTATCCCCAATCCCATCCCATCCCCCCAACAACAAAACGTTTCACAAACCTGAACAGACTACACAGGTCTTATTTTAAAAAGATATTAACTTACATTAATTTTGATATATAAACCCTAATTCTTTGACACATTTGATTGCTAAAGGCCAGACACACAAGGCAAGTCTTGCAGTCGTCGGAGGCAACCAAAATGCATTGAAAGCTAAATATGGGAACATTTTCCAACAGTTTGTGGGAATTCCTCGGATACTTACAAGCCATTTAATCCTGTCAATCTTTCTTGGGGATTGCCTGTAATAACATGTTTCCCAAAAAAACTGCCTCAGCTCGTGTGACATTTTGGTAATGGTTTGTGAATACAGTTCCATGCAAAAACACAAGCATGTGACAATCAAAGTTGAAAATGCTCTCATTTCACGTCCAGCAAAACAGTTCGATGTTCGTCTGGCCGGAGGTGTGAATGCTTACGAGGGCAGGGTGGAAATCTTCTACAACGGGGTATGGGGAACAGTCTGCGATTCCAGAACACATTCAGACCCGTCGTATATTCATCGTGAGGAGTTCTGGGACACGAAGGATGCCCAGGTGGTCTGCAGGCAGCTAAGGTTCCTAGGTGTCAAGAGGGTATCTGCGCAACTCCATCCGCCACCGAGTACGTTACCAGTGATTCTAACCAACCAACGCTGTAATGGAACTGAAGCCAATCTGGGTGACTGCAGTGTGGATTACATGCGGCATGGTGGACCCTTCAAATGCAGCAGGTCCCAAGATGTGTCTGTAGTGTGCAGTGGTACGTAGTGGTTCACGGTTAATTCCCATATTGTACAAAAAAACCCACAATTCTCCAAACTTTTGCTTTGAAGTTTCTTTGCTTTGGAAATTCTGTGAATATATATAATATTGAACAATCAATTATGCCACTGGGCACCCTTTGATCTTTTCTTCCCTGCTTAACCTGTTAGGCAAATGTAAGATGTTTAATATGGGAGATATAAAGTCAAGGTAATCATACTTCTCAGAAACAGATTTTGGAAGAGAGATTCTGGGTGATGAATTGCGTTGGATCAAACCTTATTTTCATTCTCTGGGAAAAGTAACGGTTCATTTTTTTTTAAACTGGTGCACCTCACAGATGTCAAAGTCAGGCTGGTGGACGGTGATGAGCCAACCAATGGGCGAGTGGAGATATTCAGCGGTACCTCCTGGCAGACAATCTGCGGTTACCAGTGGACATTGGAGCATGCCAAGGTGGTGTGCCGTGAACTGGCCATGCCTCCGGCGACTGGAGCCACCACGGGCGATCGTTTCAGACCGGGGACGGGAGGGATGTCAGAGAACGATTTCACCTGCACCGGGAACGAACGAACGATATTCGACTGCAGGCAGACAGCGAGGGAACTGAGATGCACTCATGCAAGTGACGCAGGAGTCATCTGTGGGATATGGTCACATGGTAGTTCCACGATGCACTCCACTTTAATCACAAACGCTTAACAATTAACAAATCCAGTAAGCCCCGCCCACTGCGCACTGGGCAAATTAACACGCGCTCCTCTCCAATGCCACACTGCATTTTCCTGCCGCGCGCATCATACGCGCGCGCACGCATGTTGGACATAAATCACGGCTGTGATTGGTCAGAACACCATGGGGCGGTGCTTACTGGATCGGTCTATTCAGTTAAAGTGATAACTTCTTGAAAATACGTGATAATATGTGAGATAAAGTACTCAGAAATGGGCTATTTCACCCTGACCTAATAAAAGCCTATTATTTTCTTTTCAAAACCAGCTCCTAGTACTTAAATTTGCTCAAGATTTATTTGGTGTGGCAAGGTCTTGGCTTCACAGAAATGGCTAGAAAGTGTATACTTTTGGATTGTGATATTCCTCACTATTTGTGGCATTTCCCCTGGTTTTCCATGCAGCAAAACAGTTTGACGTGCGACTAGCTGGCACTCTGAATGCCTACGAAGGAAGGGTAGAAATGTACAACGGTGTATGGGGGACTGTCTGCAATTCTGGAAGCATCTTGGACCCGTTGCACAGTTCCCGGGAGGAATACTGGGACATCAAGGATGCCCAGGTTGTCTGTCGTCAGCTGGGGTTCCTGACAGCCAAACGCTACGCCATCGGTGGGCTGCAAGAGAGCACCTTGCCGGTGATCATGACCGGTACACGATGCAAGGGGGCAGAGGCTTATCTAGCATTCTGTCAAGTTAGCTACTCAGGGTTGCATAGATGTAGCCATGACCAGGATGTCTCAGTGGAATGTGATACTCGACCCAAAGTAGACAGTAAGGATCGATGTTTACTTGATTTGAACAATACGATTTGTTTTAAAGGTTACAGATACAACAGGACATAAAGAGAGGCCGTTCTGAGAAGAACCAGAGGTTTTACCTTAACACTATGGTCAGTATGCTCTGATCAAGAGGTATTTGCTTAACTCAAAAAGTGGGAATCATTAAACAGATAGGACAGAGCTCCAGTGTTGTTTGATAAAGTGTGACAGGACGCAGCAACGGTTATTGCTGCCACATAATCAGTAATAAGCAGTAAATTATTACAGTAGTCTAATACTGCATTTTCAGAGTTACTATGTCAAATGATATTTCCATACAGGGTACGATGTCCGTCTGGTACAAGGCTCACACCCCAACCAAGGCTATGTCCAAGTCCTCTACATGGGCATATGGCGGAGCATCTGTGACCAGGCATGGGTTCTGCAGAGTGCTGAGGTCATCTGCAAGCTGCTTGGGTTCTCAGCTGCAGCACACGCTGTTGATGGTGCTACTGCTGAAAGTTTGTGGGGTGTGCTGGAAGGCAACCACATGTTTCTGAATAAGGTGGAGTGCTCGGGGAGTGAGAACAATTTGGCTGACTGTCCAACCAGCTACGTTACCAGAGATGGCTGCACAAGCTATGACCAAGCAGGGGTGGTCTGCCAGAGCAATAAATATCCAAGCATTTTACCAGGTTGTTACTTGTTTCATTTCATGTCCTCTTAGAACATTATACAAGTTAAGGTATGAATTTGACTATCATTTTCGGTAGGAATTTGCATTCAAATATCAAAGTTTATAGGGAGATGGTGGGTTGTCTATTTTCGAACTACATGTAGTAGTTTGATCACAACTATCTCAACTATGGCACAACTATCTCAACTATGGAGAGCTAAGATGACAGTCATCGATGAATGTTACTTTCCTCACTAAACACATCAGTTTAAATGTTCTTTTCCAGTAAATTGTACTTTTAGATCCTCAATGTCAAGACACTTTGATGCTGACTTTCAACACTTAACAGCCATCTTATGTATTTTTCCTAGGGGATGACGTTGAAACAATTGATCCAGTGATCATCATATCTTTCGTCATTCCCCTGCTCACCATCGTTCTCGTCATTGCTGCTTTATGCCTGATCTACCGGCGACACAAGACGTCCCGACAGCCTAAGACCAGTCAAATGGATATTGGCCTGTGTGAAATGGCCATGTTCGGTAACTCCCTCGCAGCAGAAAATACCAACAGGCAGCGACAACAGCAGGATGATACCGGATTAAGCAGGAGAGCGCAGCGCCGAGTCAAGCGCAAGACCCGACGCCAGGAATACAAGATGAAGCGGTTGCTTGAGAGGCAGCAGTGGAGCCCATATACCAACAATCAAGACCGACCACCCTCATATAATGCAGTATACAGTGGTCCCGTGCCAGGGTCCGGTGAGGTGACTGACACCGTTAGCCTTCTACCAATCCTTTCTGATCCAAGCGGGGGCAGATTCCATGATGGAATCATCAGTGGCACTTATATATAAGGACCTCTTCTTGTGTATCAATGGTCTTAGTGCTCGGCAAACGATGGACATTCTTATGGTTGAGGTATCAAGAATCGATCGGTTTGAATCCTGATAGTCACAGACACAGGGGCTTGTGTCCTTGAGCAAGGTGTTTGACTTCGCTGTCAGTCAAGTCCATGGTACAAGTCCATGGAGAGTCTAGAAAATTTTCTAAGTATTTACTAACAAAATTGGAAATGTTTCTCAGTCCCAGATTTATAAAGAAAAAAAAAAGCGTCAGGTTGCAACATTCTTAACGGTATACGGCGGACAAATTCGTACGCGGTCCAACTCGTACACAGAATTAAACTCGAACACAAATTATATGTGCTCGACGATTCTTGACTATGTACTGTGAACGATGTATCGCTCAATTTCTTTAAATTGGCTAATTTTGGCCGGCATACAAGTTGGCTGGCGTACGAGTTGGCCCGCGTACGACATGCACGAGTTGTCTCGCTACGAGTTGGTTCACGTACGAGTTGTATAGGCGATTACGCCCAGTGGCCGAAATAAACACTACTAATATTAACCTTAAAATTAGTGCGCGCGAACTCATTAATATTTTGTACCCCCGGCCCCACAGTTTCTTTTGAATAAGAGGACCGTGCGGCTTACAATTGGGATTAATTGTACAACTATTTATGTCAATCAAGTATTTGTGACTTGCGGCTTCCAACTCGGGCGATTTTATTGGAAAAAAGCCGGATTTGTGGGTCTATCTCGCATACTAGAGGCGGGGGGGGGGGGGTTGTTCCCTGATCAATATAGGGACGGGAAGAAGTTCTTACTGATTACTTTGTAAAATTAATTTTTTTGTTTACCTTTTAGATTCTAATTGGTTTATGGTTGGGTTTTTAATAAATATATCAATCATTTGAATGAATCTCCATACAATTTCTCGTGTGAGTGTTCAGTTATTTCTGCATATTATTAATACAATTATTCATTTCATTGATGGAGTAATTCAGTGTGCTCTAATGACCAATGTGCCCAAAATGAAATGAAAACTTACTTACAATCATTTTTGGGAGGAGGATAGAGGGATTAAAAAAATAAGGGAAAAGGAAATGGGGGGTTCTTGAATTTCGAAAATGCATAATAAGAAAGTGTGGAAAAGCTGTTTGGAGGGATTGAGGGTAACTCTTCATCGTTCAGTTATTTTTTTTAAGATTTGTTTTGGAGGAGCGCTTGAAATCCCTCCTGTAAGAAAAATTTCACTCAATAATCCAGTTTCCAAAGTAAACAAAGTGAAAGCGCAATGCGCGTTTCCCCGTCTGACAGTAAACGCACCGCCATTGTTCGGCCGCGCATTCGTGCACAAACACTGCGCGATGTCCTATCCAGTCTGTGTACATAAATTATGTAAGATCGATGGAGCCATTGCTAAAAGTAGAGGGCGCTTTTACAAGATGGCGGCCCCCACGCACATGTCACGTTTTCCCGCACGCAAAAACATGTTTAAAAAGAAGATCCATCAAGCCAAAGATAAAGGCGTAAAAGATGACACACATGATGGTAGGGTTGGTAGACTTGATGAGCACACCATGGGCTATTATCGTAGAGTGGCTGACACAATTAAAGATGCGTTTCAAGACGAAGCGGAGCAAGGTACGTACGCGCTGACGGACGAACGGTAGGCAAGGGGTAGCCCCACTAGTGTGGCCGTCTAGGCAAGGGGTAGCCAGCTATCGCAGCGGGTTCGCGATATTGACATTTCCTCTGGTCACACGTAAAATTACCGAAGTTTAAATCGCTACAGAACACTCACCTTTCAGTTTTTAGCCCCCATACTTTCCAAACTTGCATGAAATGTTATCAAAATTATGTTATTGTAATATTTTCTTACATTTTGGACGAAAAAAAAAAATTCAGTTTTGATGAGTTCTTCAGAGCTTTGATTTTTCGTGGCCCAACACACGATCGCCATTTTTGTTGGGGGTTGAAGGCGGTCACAAAAATGACGTGTTTTCACTTTAAATGACCTTTATACTTGTTTTAAAAAGTCAGACGCTAACCTGGGGAGTTTTTCTTGTTATGAAAGCTACTTTCATGATCAAAATCGATGGATTAGTTCCAGAAAAAGAGGTTTTTTTAATCACTTTTACAGAAAATAATCATTTTGATCGAGTTTACATCAGTTTTTAGAAGGTAAGACCTTAGGGGACGCTATTTATACAGCCATAAATGGATTTAGTGGCTTATTTTCTGCCCAGAAAGTCAAGATTTCAAGCTGAAATCTGTTTAATACTTATGTATGTTTTACCAATGCACATTTTATCTGATGACTTTTACTATACTTAACATTTTTTAATAACTTGTAATGTATGCAGGGTCCCAATGGAAACCAGTTTTTAAACTGTTTGGGCAAACTCTGGATACAGCAATAGAATAAAGAAATTTAATCAATTCTTTTGAATTCCACTTATCAAAATGGTTTACCTCACTGTTTCGGGCAGGCCTGTTTCTAGACAACGTCTTTGATCAGATGGAGGGAGAGCAGGTCCAACTCTGCCGTAACCAAACTGTCTCTCGCATCCTTGAGGAGCTCCTGTGCTTGGCCCGCCCCTCCCACCTCCGGAGATTCCTGTCAGGCATCCTTGGGGAGTTCGAGGTGGTGGTCAGGGACCGATTTGCCGGCCACGTGGTCCAGAAGGCACTGCTTCAGACCGCCAAGTCCTTAGACGATGGAGAAGAAGGGGCTGAACTTCAGGAGAAGGGTGAGGTCTAACTTTTATAACATTAACTTATTAAATTAGGTTTTGCCCTTCGCCGACGTTTAAATACTGTATACTCAGTGGGTTACCTCCCGAGTGAAAGTTGGACAAAAATCACTCGGCTGGGACTCGAACCCATGACCTCCTGCTTTCTAGTGCAGACTTCTTACCACTCGACCACCGAGCTAACGGGATCCGTTGGCTGGTTCGAATCTGATGTAAATAGCAGTACCGCAAAAACTATTTATAAGATGGAATTTTGCGTCGGGGTGATATTACAACTCTGTTGTGAAGTAGAGACACTGCAGCATTAGATAGATTTCTGAGACCCTTTTTTAGAACCAATTTTACTGTCAAAAGTTTCTTGAACCCTAGCATCACCCAAAGCTACAAAAAAACTACTGGCAGTATGTAGTACAACTATAGTACGCTGTACTTCAGCATACGTAAGTGGGCACAGCTCTCATAGTATTTTTTTGTATTTAGTGCCTGCATACATAATTTTTGTAGTACATGTATTCTGTAGTGCTTAGTTTTTAATCCCAAAGTAATGGCTAGGACGTAAGGGTTAAAATATTCCTTAGGTAGAGAATAGTACAATTGAATGTTTGCTTTGGGGAAAGTATTTAGAAATGGGGTTATGTGGGGGCTTTGTTTGTTTTTATTTGTGCACTAGTCTATCGGAATACCATTGTCAGTTATTAGGCCAAAATAAACATTGTCAGTCTCTGGTCAGTGCGCGCGTCGATTTTAATCATGCGCGTCAACCTTTTTTTTTCTTCAAATTGTCCGCGGTAGCTACAGCAGTGCCCTCTATTGCCGCACCTCCTCAAATTTTTGTACCAAGGAATGGGGAAATTGCACCAAAGCAAATGATGGAGGGCACAAAGGCAAATTATGGAGGACACCAATGTATATGAGAACACAAAAAAAGCAAAAAATAGTACCCACCTTGTCTGTACAATCCAAGCTTGAAAAAAAAAAAAAGCCAAAAAAAAAAAAAAAACCTGCGTCGCCACATCAATTCCGGAACTTTGGTCTGACCAGATGGCCTTATTATTTATATTTATAATCAAATTATTTCTATTACCTTTTGTACTGTTATCTAAAAAACAAAGTTTGATTTAAAAGAAAAAGATTGAATTTTAAAATGGCCTGGTAAAAGTAGTTTCAAAAGACTGTCGCCTCTTTGAACTCCCCACATTTTCAACTGTCCAGTTCTGTCAATGGCTGACTTGCTACTGGCCGACTTGAATGCTGTGATGATGGACACATACGGCAACCACATTCTCCGTACCATGCTGCAAGTACTAGGTGGGGTCAGGGTACCAGACCAGGTTGCCAGGAGCCGGTTGTCAAGGGAACAGCAAGACAAAGGTAGAAATTGTCCCCGAAAAAAAGAAAAACCAAAAGAAAAAAAAAGAAGAACAAAAAAGATACCTGCCCATTGAACAGAAGTTTCTTTCTATATTTTGTTTTATAGTTGTATAGTATAGAGAAGAAGGAACGTATTTAATTGGGTATTTAATGCATTTTTCGTTGATGCCATTTACATTTTGTGTACAAATTTTGTGGCACTCTTTCCTTAAAGCATAAGTAGCTTTTCAACGGAAAATTTGGCTTGCATTGATGATTTTTAGTTTTGTTGATTAAAAACAGGTGGCCCCACAATTTAAGGATTAGTTGTCTTAATATCATGAGTGTTTCAGTCGGTATCTTTTTGGGGGGTTTGTTTTCTGTTTTTCTTCAGAAACAAGCAAAGAAACAAAACAACTGCTGAAGAAAGTGCCCGAGAAAATGCAGCTGAGCCTCAAGAAGATCACCAACACCCTCCTGTCGGCAGAAAACTTCAACGGTAGTCCTTGAACTTGTACTCTTCCTTGCTCCCCATTTCATAAAATATGATGAATCTCCCAGATTTTGTGTGTGTGTGTGTGGGTAGGCATTACAATCACTGTGTGGACTTCCGAACAAAAGAGGTCCACATAAACCACGTAGAGGCGACGTTGTGTGGACTTGGGCAAGTCCACACAGTGTTTCCCCGTTTCTGGAAAACAGGTTTAGAGGCATTTTTGGGTTAGGTTTATCCGTGGCAAAATGAAGAGAAACAGTAAAGGGGATCATAGAAAACAAATTGGGTTGAAAGAGCTTTCACAGTTTGGGAAAAATGAGTTTTTTCACCGGTTTTTCTTAACTACACGAAACCAAGGGAATGTCCACACTTGGTATGTAACGTAAACATGCGTGGGTGTTCCTGTATTGTGTTACGCTCGAGGACAGACAACAAAAGGAGCACAAAGGGGCCTTTCATCCTTGAACGACGGTGCCTATTGTCCTCGAATGCAGGTTTGTGCACTAAGTCTATGGGAAAGGTTTAGATCAGGGAACAAAGGAAAACACAAAGCCAATCCTCGGAAGCATAGCAAAAAACGACTGTGTGTGTGTGTGTGAAGGTTAGAGAGTTTAAAGTAACATTGCAACCTCACCTTCAAAGACAAATAATTGCATGAGCAATCATTGGACTAACGAAGATTGAATCATTTTTCTAACAATGATATCAATCCACTGACGATTACAAAAGCTTGCGTCTTATTTATTCGGCCAATATTTTGTAGAGTACTTGCTGCACCGCACCTCCGGTCCCGTGTTGGAGGTTCTACTCCTGGTCCTGCAGCAGTCGCATCCCGCCCTCTGCCACCGCGTCGGCCAAGCCATCCTCAAGAAGTCCAAAGTCATGTCCAAGAATCCTGCCCAGCCTGACAAAAGGTATCTTGCTTTTCTTAACCCTTACTCCCTGGGCATTTTTGCTAGGATTTAACCCTCAATCCTGCAAAAATCCTCCAACTGCCTCCGTGTAGGAATGGCATACAGCCTCAGTTTTCATTATCATCCAGTATTTCTTGAACGTGGTCCTTTGAGGGATGACCACTGCCTCGATCCTGTGACATCCTGGAGCAGTGCGGAGGATTTCAAGTACAATCTAGGCCTAAATTTATGCACGGCTGAGCATAGACAACACAAGGTCCTGCCCAAGACCTTGACGCAGTGCATCCTCCAAATCAGCCGCACAATTTTGCCGTATAGCCTCGATCCTGCAAAATCCTCCATTTTGCAAAGAGGATTTTGAATGATTTGGGAAGGTTTGGGTTAATGGTGTACATGTAACCCAGAAAAATGGAACAAAGGAATTGGACCTAGGATCTCTAGAAAATCGCGAGGAAAATTAAGTTGGCAAAGAGACAGAGATTCAAGAGCTATCACTGGAACGCATTTATTTCTCCTGAACGACAATTAAAAAACCAAACTATACCAAAAATAAAATTATGAGACTCGAAGAACAACGGATTTTGTACCTGACACTCGACCAACCTTGATTTTCTTCTAACCAAACATATGTAAATGACCTTTGACTTTCCCTAGAGATAAAAAAACTGCTATGAACCAAAAAACTCAGTATAATGATCACAACTGAAACTAAGTAAATGAAACAAAAATAGACTAAAAAATCTAAAATGACACGAACCAATAGACAAAAAAACAACTCAATCACTTCAAGCCATAAACCAACCAAAAACCATAAACCAGATAAAAAATAAAGACGCCAACAACTAAATCCTAGGACGAAGATTTAAAAATTAAAACCAACAATAAAAACCTAAGATTTAAAACCAACTAAAATTAAAACCAACTAAAATTAAAACCAACTAAAATTAAAACCAATACAGCATCAAAAGAAGGTCATAAATCGAAAACAACAGCTTAAACAACCTGTAGAAATAATAAAAAACGCAAAGTAAGTATAGAACTAAATGAGTACATTATAAATCCTAATAATAACTAGGCCAACCTAAAACAGGTGCTCTATTCTGGCAATACCACACACTCATCCTTATCAATGTGATTAAGAACTTCTGACCACTGCATAAACAATCAACAGTGCTGAGTTGCCACAAGCATAGTTATGTGTGCTCCAGGTAACAACACTAACTTTCTTGTGCATACTAATGAGTCTTGCCTTGTCCATGCGCTTATCTCCAAGGTCATCTACTAGGCTCTGTGGCCAAATCCAGCCACCCAGGCTGTCAGCTAGAGAGTTTACAAGTCACTTAGCACTTCTTGCATACGTACACTGGGGAACCACTATGCCTTAATTATTACCACAAAACATACAAAACATTTCATCAACCACTGCTCAGTGGACTAGGCAAAGTCTAAGGCCCTATTATCTTAACTGGTGGTCAACCTGATAAAAATAAGACACTGTGGCTGGGCAATGTCCCTTCAGTAAAGTAAAGAAATGCATCATACATGTGCACAAGTAGGGACTCATTATACAGAATAAATGACAAGTGAAGGATTTACTTCCAACTATCTAAATTCTAACACTATTGGTTAAAATAAAAAATCCAGCTATGTAAAAGATGAAATACACCTGTGCAAAACTTAAAAGATCACTTGTTTTCTTCTCAAGTTCTCATACAACGAAAAAGTAAAGTTGTAAACCATGGGACTAACCATCGGATACGACATACATGTAGTATAATGCACAAAAATACATCGCGCAAAAGTAACTCTCTTGTGAATCAATCTTAAACTCCAAGTGTACTTGAACTTCACACTCCGTATAACAAGAAAAGAACGAGGAAATTTCAATCTCAGGTCACAAGAACAAAAGTACCAATTGGATCACTAAATATTTATCTATTAAATGTACTTTCACTTCTTAGTTAACAAAACAACAAAAACTTGAGCTTACCGAATCCAGCAGCAGACCAAACTTTCAGGGTAGAAAAGCCATAGATTTTCAAGGGAATCTGCAGAGCAAAACTAAATGATGCTGCCCTGCCTTCTACCAGTCTGCAAAATGAGGCATGGACCACATGGTCTCACAGATAAGGGGGTCTCTGTTCTGGACAGGATGTTTACTCTATCCAGGGGGCGTACACTACTATCCTCCTACAGCACTGCTATTACTTTACTGTGTCATAAACTTCTACTTTATTAACTTAAGAGGGCTACAACACAAACTAAGCGTATGCAAGTCAGGGGGAGGGACTCCTATGTTGAAAACCAAAAGCTAATGCAAGTTAACTATGTGGCCCTGCCACATACACGTAGGGGTGTGCCAAATATTCTAAATATTACAGCATCAACCAAATCTTCAAATAGCATATTTTTCGATTTCAATATTCAAAAAGTGTGAGTAATCTCGAGGAGATGATGAAAAATGACCACAGTGTTATTTGAATAGTACAACTATAAGTTCCGTGATTTAATTTGTTTGTCAAATGCCACTTTACATGCATGATTTGAGAGCTTCCATGATGAATATTTGCCTGAATCTCTTCTTTAAAAAACAGTCAAATATCAGCCATTCCCCTACCTGTTTTTAAGCTCTTTGTTAATTTCAACAAACGCAGGAGCACACAAATGCCGATTAGTGGCTAGTCATAGGCAGGTGCATGTTCTTGATCAGTGCATTTCAGAACTGAGCATTTCTTTATTAGCTTCTCCCCGTAAGATTCGTCAATGCTTTTGAAGAATCCTCAATTTTATTACGAGAAACAAACTATGTATATTTTCTGGTTGAATTACAGAGTACCAGTTGTGTTTACGGACAGCGTTGGCAGTCACCTGTTTGAGGTCGTCATTGAGGTGGTGTCCTCAGAGGCTTTCTCTGAGGTCTACTCACAGTGCTTCGGGAACTACTTGCTGGAAATGGCACTGCACCCTGTGGCCAACTTTGTGCTGCAGAAACTGATCAAGAGATCCGCTAGGGAAGAAGAGGTGAGTGGATCACATTGCAGCGTTGTAGTCTAATCCATCACAGGTCCAAATCCCGCTTCAGTCGTTCTTTTTTGCTCGTTCTGAAGTTGTCTTTTTTTTATATTTCACTCAGTTTTCTGAGATGTTTGACAAGCTGTCGGCAAATTTGGAGGCCATTCTCGGAGTCAACCACATGGGCGTGGTTTTGAGGCTTGCCGAGTCATGCGTCCATCACCCAACCAAGCAACGTAAGTCTTTGAATTGGACATCATTTAAATTTCATTCATAAATTCTTGAGACAATGACCCATTTCTTTGGTCGAGAGCTGTCACGTGGGGATCTTAAAGCACCCTTTAAAGGGAAGATACAACATCTGCAAACATGACAAAATAAAATGATCAAATTATCACGTAAAACCTTACTGGATTGTTAGGGAGTGACAGTCTAAAGCATCCTGTAAATTGTGGCTCCTGGTGTGCTGACATTTTCAAGAAAAATGGTACTTTCCAACACTGGTCAGCTGACCAGCATTGGAGAAAATGTGCTTACTGCAACCAGGTGCTTGAGAACCACTGATATGATCTCCACATTAGGAGAATAAGATGTTGAGCAAATCACGAGCGAGTGACGCACACAATAGAATATCCTGAACATCCAGTAAAACGTTGGCGGAGTCGCATGCATGTGTTATTCATTCCAAGTAGCTTACAAAATATGGCAGTCTGATAAGGGAAGATCAAGTGGGCCAAAAATAACTTTATTTTAAGTCAAAATGTAATTCTTTATTGATCTCAATTGGACTTCAGAGGCTAATATTCCAGTCTGGCCCGAGCTGACTCAGAGAAGCTACTCGAACACATCCACTGTTTATATTTTGGTTTACTTAATAATTTCAACAACACTTCATGAAAATAGTGTTCGGAAATCAACCTCAGAAGGAGTTGCCAGTCATCAGATAAGTACAGTAAACTCCGGCTAAGTCGGCACTCTTTTTGTGGAAAGGGGACCGAGAGTAACACGAAGACTTGAGGGAAATGGCGACTTATAAAAGCCGACTTAGAAATAAAAAAAATCAATGGAAATGCATTGCGGACAATCAGGACATTAGTCGGACGGCCGACTTGAGCGATTTGACGAGTTGTACGATGTCAGTTTAGCCGGAGTTTACTGTATGCGTTAGGGTAGGAGTTGGGGTTGCCAGTCCTCTGCGGAATTTGATCCAAGTGTCCCGTATCTTTTTCGGCACCAAGGTGCATTCTTGCAGGGATTACTGAGCGCCTTCCACTGCTGGGAACCGCGGGAGAGACAGTCGTCCTGCGTCCTGCTCATCGCCGGCATGGTGACCCATGAAGTTTTCTTCCCTGGCAGCAAAGAAGATGAGGAACAAGACACAAAACTGAAGGTCAGTGCGCTAATATTTAAGTAGCTGAAGCCCTTCCTATGAAAATGACTCTTACTAAATAGCTGTAGCCAAGTAATACTGCTATGGCTAAGAAGTGTGAAATCACACAAATTTTGATGTCGCATTCTGAGTGGTAATAGCCCATGCCTGTGCACTAGCTGCTTACGTGTGGGTTATTTTTTTGCTTATTGCACAGCAACTCAATTTTGTCATAAAAATTAAGACACAATGAGTAATATGCAAGATGGAAACTTCGTCTTCCGGACACAAATTCCTACCTATAAATGCAGTAAACTCTCCTTAATTAAAACTTGGATAACTCGAAACTCCGTTTATCTTGAAGTAATACTCTATTCCTGCCAAGAGAATAGAAGTTTATGTAAATGAATACCCCGTAATTAGAAATGCCCGCGACAGTACCTCAGTTTAACTTGAACTTTTTTTCAGCCAGTCCATAGAAAAACGCCACCAAAACAGTCGCAAAGAAATGCAAAAACATTGCCAAACTGATTTCACGAGTCATAATACTACACAATGCACTTCATCTTTTCACGCGGGGATGCAGCGTACACGATGCCATTGCGATCGGCCTCGGCCCATACCGCATCAAATCCAGACTTGTGGGTATTAAAGCTTGATTGCTACCGCTGGCTTATTTGTAAAGTGTGCCAAAAAACGTCCAATTCATAGCGAGTTACGGTGGAAGCTTTTCACGTCCATACATGTACGTGTAGATGACGTGACTGTAGACAAATCGGGGACACTGCTTAACTTGAACTCCGGATACCTCAAAGTTTTTAACCATTCCCTTGAGATTTGACTTAATGGGCAATTCCACGGTTACTCACGTTACATTTTTGATGTACTTTTGAGTTTCCTTGGGCTGTAATTACCTTACTGAAAAGGTTTAATAACTGTTATCCCTATGGTAGATAGAGTAGACCTAGACCTACCTAAGCACTAAAAATGACATCCAGAAAAGTGTGTTATGTATGATAAACAAGACGCACAAAATCGGTTACTCACATTACGAAAATGTAACATGAGTAACCGATTTTGTGCATCTTGTTTATCATATTTTCCTTGCAAACCCTTGGACAACACTGAGTATACAGTGCGATGTTGAATCATGAACATTCCATGACTGTCAATGGTTTTCTGGACTGCTCTAAATCTGATGGTTGGCCTTTTGTCTGCTCAGCCCGGACTCACTGAAGTCAATCTGCACGGTTCCCTGCTCCTCCAGCAACTGCTCAAATTCCACCACTGCGGCCCGGTCATTGCGGGGTTCATGGCCCTCCGAGATGATGATCTAACCACCGTGGCCTGTTCCCCGAGTGGCAGCTATCTCCTAGAAGCCTTTGTGACCAGTAGCGTGGTCAGCGAGAAGAAGAAAGATAGATTCGTGGCTCAACTCACGGTATGTTCGATGCGTGAAGGTTGATTCAAACTTACTTGCAAAAGTGAATGCAAAGTGAATATAACATGTTTAACCTTTGCCAAATTCACAGCATGAAATATTGCTGTGACATCATAAACGTGTGCTGGTTTTGACATTCGTGGTGACAATCGGGCTGTTTAAGCAATTACAAAAACAAACTCAATTTTAAGTTTTTGGATAACTTAAACAGCACTTTTCAGGAAAACCAACACGCAATTAGCATCAAAACAGTCAGAAATTGCGTATTTTATTGGACTTATTTCAAACTTAAAAGACCTGGAGAAAAACTACTGTAATTTCGGTGAGTAAGGGAAATCTAATTTTTTTTCAGACCAACTGTTTCAAGATTGCCTGCCACAAGACAGGCAGCCGATCTATCGAAGCTATCTTCAAGGCAGCCTCACTCAAGACGAAGACCGCTCTCGTTCAGGTGCTGTCTGAGAAGGATAAGCAACTCCAGTCAGACCATTTCGGTAGGCTGTTTGTTTGGACAGTGCTTTGAGTAGTTTCTTCCTCTCCTTCCTTTCAATTTTGTTTTTTATTTAGGTGACTTGGCAGTGTTGCACTCGTATAGAGTACTTGTTCCCATGCACAGCTGAAAGTACTACTTTTTTGAGTGCTTGTACTCTTGCTCATACTCAAATATCGAAAACCTTGACTGCAATCAATGGTACTCGTACTCAAGAAATAATTGACAGCTCAATATCATACTCGAGTATCACTCGTACTCAATGAGCAAGACGTGGAAAGTACTTTCACTTTAGAATTCTCTCACTTGAAGTCACAGCCTTGTTTTTGTTGATTTGCTGCACAATGCCAGAGCTTTGGAGCAGAGTACCCTTCGGGTCTGAGTACTTTGAGCCTTTGTGGGTCTCTGGGATTAGTGGATTCCCCCCCCCTTTTTCATTTTAATTGTTTCATGAGCAGAGTAAATTTAAATCCTTCCTGTATTCTTGTTTAATCTAAGAACATTCTCATTTCACATAACAGAAATAGTTGTGAAATATGATAACAACTTTGGCATAGCATTTTTGGAATGTTCAATAAATTTGTTGGGTTTTTTTTGCACATTTTGGTATGCCCCAGGCAAGTTTGTTTATCGCAACTGTGCCGTGGGGCTGTATAAGCTCCGCCCACAGGACTGGGAGGAGCTACAAGGAAGAGAGAGCAAGAAGAGGAAGCTGTTTGCCGAGATCATCGGGGAGGGAGAAGACAGAGCTTCCAGTGAGTTATCCAAGGTTGTCAATCCCTTGTTTTTATAAAGTTGAACAGAGAAATTGACTGGAGCGGGGTTTGAACCTATGACCTCTGCATTACCATACTGGTGCTGTATCAACTGAGCTATCCAGCCCAATGTTGGCGGTTCTCCAGTTTGTCGATGTCTTTGTTCAACGGGTGCTAGTCAGAAGCCAGAAACCCGTATATGCCATGTAGCCAGGGATCAAGCCCAAAGTCAGGATGCCACAAACCTTTGAAATAGCAAACAAGGATCGCACCAAGAGAATATTTTTTTTTATTTTTTAACATTTGTCTCGTACAACTTCACATGAAAGGAATATACCTTTATCATGCTGCCACCGTTTCAGTCGTGTTCCCTCTATCCAATAAAAGTACTGATTGATAATGTTTTTGTGCAAAAAGGAACCAGACTATTTCTCCTTCCAGCCTCGCTTTGGTTACGTTGATTTGAATTGAAAGAAATCACGATGACCGCAACATGATAATGGTCTATTACAGTTGCCGATTTGGATTTGAGATAAGCAAGAAACACACCAAATTGTATTTTAAATTTTTCCAGAAAAGAAGCGTAGACAATTAGAAGGTGATGCTGGGCAGCCATTGTCAAGCTACTCTGACGAGATGCTGGCACTTGGGATGACGGTCAAAGAGAAAGAGATTGGAGAATCAGACGAGGTATGACTGCGATTGTAAACAGGCCGCGTCCAAATTACTTGGCTGCGGCTGGCAATTATACATGCACCTATGGAAGGAGCAGAATTCACTCCCCATAGCCACGTGTGTTTTTGCTAACCATAACGAGGTAAATCGGTCAGGCCTTACCGAGAACCCGAACTTACAATTGGAATTATATTCTGTTCACACTTGAGAGATTTATATATTTTTTTTTTTCAAATTGCGAGTTTCTACTTTGAAAGTTGTTTTTCTTTTTTCGATTTGTAAAAAATGAAACTGTTTTTCTACCGACAGGATGATGACATTGATGATATCTTTGGGAAAATATCCAAGCCTGCAGTCAAGCCGAGTGTTTCACCCCAGAACAAGAGCTCCAAACGGAGACGATCTGCCAGTACCCACGACGAAAAAGACAAGCCAGACACGGGGCACGGACAAAGTAGTGACAAAGAAGAAAAGACCCACTCAAAAGCGAGGAAATCCAAAAAGAAACTCCACAAAAAGGAAAGAGAAAAGATTTGCCCTGACAACTGATGTCAACTTGGATTTATTGATACACTGATATTCTCTACTACACATATTGGAAGATATTTCTCAGGTTGCACCTAGTTTGCCTGAAAGTGTTATGTGCGTTCAGTGCACTTTTGACCAATAGGATTTCACATTACATGCGCCTTACATATTCATACCTCATACATATTCATACATCATACATACCTCATACATATTCATGATCAAGAGCCAAATTGTCACTGGTTCTCTTTCACCATCACGTGCCAGATGCTATTTTTGCTGTTTACCAAGCGCACGCATGCAAGTATTCGACTGTCGCATGGGTGTAGTTCTCAGCGCGAACATCGCCCAAGTTACGCATGAAAAGATGGTTGCATACGTAAATTTTAATTAGCTTTTTCCTGAGCTCAATGATGCTAAACTGGAGAATATTGTGGACAATAAAGATGCCTCCTGTACTTAATTTTTTTTCAGTTCAGTTCTTTCACCCAGTTCCTGATTCCCGATATGAAGTATTTTATTAACAAATTTTAAACTTCAATAAATATACAGTTTAAAGATAAAAAAAAGAAATGCTAGTAAGATTAATTGTTGCTCATTGCATTGATGATGTCGTCCAGTGTCCTGTTCAAAATTCGACCACCATTCCTTAAAGTCATGAGGGAAATATGTGACCAGACGTCGATTAGTTTCGACTAAAAGTTTTCAGCACTGTGTTGCTGATGTCTTGTCAGAGTTTTCTTCTTCGTTCTTGTAGTCCAAGTGTACAGCGACTTTGCCATAGACATTTTGCAGCATTCGGAGAACCTTCTGTTGGATTTGGTCCACTTGCTCTGGTGGGCAATAGTCGTCGTGAGAAGACCTGGAAAAGACATAATTTTAAGAAACTGTTTCAAACAATGGGTGGGGGTTGACACTCGCCAACTGTCATTCTTCTAATCAAAATTAACAAAATGGCCATCATTGGCCATATATTATAACTCTTGGCAAAAGAAGTAGAGGACACGCCACCTAGTGTCAGGTTGTGTCTAGTCCTATCGGTCTTGAGCAGAAAAACCCTGGTGTGAGATAATAGACCATTATCATGTTGGGGCAATCTTGATTTTTTTCCCAATCAAACCAAAGCGAGGCTGGAAGAAAAAATAGTCTGGTTCCTTTTGCACAAACACCATTATCATTCAGTAACAGTTATTGGATACAGGTAGCATGACTGAAATGGTGGCAGCGTGATAAAGGTCTAAACCCAACCTCGTCCCCAGTGCTTACTTTATTTCCAACCGCGTTTCCAATAGTAATCCCTGGATAGGAAACTTTCTTCCTGTATTCTGATTGGATACCGCAATTGGCTAGTAATGGATTTTTATCGTGTACTTGGTGCTATATATTCACAACGTGCAGTACGTGTTTTCGCGATCATTCGTCCACGCCTTCTCGAAAATACTAATTTCCTTTCCAATTTGCTCATATTAATATGAAATATGATACTGCATGTTGTCTCGATAAGATCGTAACAGTTTGATTTCAAGAATCGTGTTTTTCTTAACTCACGCCGTGCTCGCGCTGCTACGAATTGACTCTGTTTTTACCCCAGACACCCCATACAAAAACAAACGCTAATGTGTAAAGCATATCCAGGCACCAGACTGTTCCTCATTTGCATACGTGTGCAAAAATCTTGCACATGCAAATGATCCAATACCAGGGTGAGAGAGCAGGTAGTGGTGGGCGCGTACTGCTCGACACCCTGGGGACAAGGTTGGTCTAAACCCACCTCCGCCTTTGTAAATCTCTGACAAACTGGAATTTGTTATTTCTAACCCCCAATATAAAGTGGTATACATGTATGATGAACACCAACCTAGCAACTGTCACCATGACCGGCCTGGGTAACCGTGACAACAGGGTTTCCATGGCAGCCACGAGGCTGTGAATTTCCTCCTCGCTGCTGACGTGATGCGGGAGTTCGCCGCTGTTGTCGCAGGTCAGGCCCGCCATGTGGATCATCTCGGCATCTATGGGCTCACTGTCATCGGTGCTGGTGGCTCGGAGGGATTCTACAAGAGATTGCACTTTTTGGAACCTGCAGGGAAAAAAGGCAAAAATTACATGTCTTAGGCCCCCCCCCAAAAAGTCTCCGGTTTCTGGTATGCGCACGCGTCGCCGTAGCCATGCGCGTCGGCAAAATGAAAAAGTTTTTTTTTCAATGAAAGATGATGTCTCAAAACCGCCAAACTCACTGGTTTGACTGGAATCCTGCTGCTGCACAATTTTAATGTGTTTTTAGATGGGGTTATGATCGAGAATAAGCTTTATGCGGCCTCTCTGGACTCCCGTATATTTGCACTAAGTTTAGTCGGGCACCATTTGCAGTCATCAGCTGACATTTGAAGCAAAAAAATCAGGTAAAAAAAAAAGAAAAAAAAAGCCGCATCGCTGCACCACTTTTTGGGCAAGCTCCATACCAGAAACCAGAGACTTTTTTTTTTGGCCTTATCAAAGTAACCTCCATTCCAGAAATTTGCCACACCAGATTATTTCAAAGTTTTGAATGAAGTAAATGAAGTGTTCGTGTTTGAAACAGTTTCAGCAACTGATGTCGAACGATCGACTGTTGCAGTTGTGAAAACTCCAGTGTCAAATAGTCAAAAATTAATAGATAAAGTTTGCCCGTCTGAAAACAAAAGTTGGGTCTCTGTTAGTTGCTTCAAAAACTATTTGATTTATTACTTGGCAAATATATTTTGATGAGTTAATGTAAGCCAAGATCCAGTCCTAAGCAATTAAAATCACACATGTTGACCGTTAACCTGATTTTGCGAAGCCAATATTGTTTTATTTATTAAGCACATTTCTGTGATTGACAGCTCCATGACATTGGCCCAAGTTACTTTCCTACCACCAGCCTGGAATTTCTCACCTTTCCTGGGACACCGTCTCTGCCCTTTCCTGACCGCTAACAGCTGCCTTGAGGGCCGTCTCCAACTGACTGAGCTGGTCAGCCCTCCTCAGCATGCATTCTGCCAGAGCTGATTCGCTTTCGTCTGCAGGACCTTCATAGCTGTACAACTCCTCTAATAAACGGAACTGGAACTTGAGACAAAAAAAAAACAACCGAATGGCTTCAGAGGAAAATGACACAGTTTGAAACTTTACAGCGTCTTGTCAAAGCAAATATTCTTGTTTAGGTCCTATGGGATCCGTGCACAATTCCCCCCTGTATGTTAAGAATGAGAGAGGTGGGGGACAACGCTGGGCGAGACATACGAATCATGTCTACGTTGTGCTATATGTGCACGGACCAGTACATGAACGTGGCGTGTCCCGTTCACTGTGCTGACAAAAGCAGAGACATATAAATGCGAATGTGTTGATATTTCTGTAGTAAGAAGTGGTAAAGAAATGGCCTTCCCTTGTTTGCACACGAGCCCATATATCAAAGATTCTTCTCTGCACGGACCCCACGCACATGCACCCCCTCAAGTCAGAAGTCCAACCGTCATTTCATCCAACGCTCACCTGCGAGTACATCTCCTTGAATGGATTCCTGGTCGAAAAGAAATCAAGGTCGATGTCCAGAACAGTGCCCGAGCCCTTCTCCATGGCAGCTCCTGTGACGTCGTGAAGCCCGCACAGATTCCCTGATGGCGAATGTGGGTGTTCCGCCATGCTCCGCTTTCTCTTCATCCCGTTTGACGTTTCACCGCTGTTCGCTATTTCGAGACTGCCACCACGTGCAGGTTTTCCTGTGATACTTTCATGGCAATCGCCACTCTGTCCTTCATGATTAAATGAAGTCTTCCCATGGGGACTGTTCACGGTGTCGTGATCACAACTGGAAACCCCACTCGACAGACCCTGATGATCATTCGCTTCAGTCGTCTGACTAATATCCAAAGTCTCTTTATTCAAATTGCATTGGCTAGTTGTTCTTATTTCGTCACTTGGCACACTACTCCCATGATTTTGATCGGTGAAGGGGGATGTTCTTGAGGCTATTGGTAATAGCTCTGTTACCATGGTAATCACGTCCACATCTAACTCCTTAGCACTTTCCATGTCCTCTTCCGGAGCGTAGAGGAGGTCACTCAAGAAGTAGCTGTCTGGCCAACTGATTCTATTTATACAGTGACAAAAAATAGTTACATATGTAAGGGGCGTGGTGCCTTGAGAACAAAGCTTAAGTGGGCATTTTAGGCTTATTTTGGAAAAGGCTTACTTTTTTGTATTTAATTTTATTGGCTTTATTTCATTATTTATTTTAAAAAAAAATTTGGGGGCCACGCTACAATATTTACGCTACAATATTTACATATGTAACAAACAGACAAATTTCTTTAGTTCCTGAACAGCCCTAGAAGCATTTCTGCAACCATGCAGGAAGAAACTGTGACATGAAGGAAACCAAACACAGTACCTGAGTTTTTTGGACCTAGTGTGTTTGCCGACAGCGACCCGTCTGCTGCCCTCGGGGAGCTGGTCAGCCCAGGGCGGCTTGATCCACACCACGCCACCGATGTGTCCGGCGTACACTGCCGGAAGGATCCAATTCTCAATGCTCAGGGAACTGTAAAGATTTTAAAAAATGCAAGACATATAGGAATTTTACCTCAATTTATTCAAATCTCTGAATTAAAAGGTATTCCCTTTGGCAGTACCATAACTGGGGTCCAAATTGCAAAGGGCACTTTAGGCCAAAAATAAAAAGTCTCCGGTTTCTGGTATGCGCGCGCGTCGCCGTAGCCATGCGCGTCGGCAAAAAGAAAAAGTTTTTTTTTCAATGAAGGATGATGTCTCAAAACCGCCAAACTCACTGGTTTGACTGGAATCCTGCTGCTGCACAATTTTAGATTGGGTTATGGTCGAGAATAAGCTTTATGTGGCCTCTCTGGACTCCCATATATTTGCACTAAGTTTAGTCGGGCACCATTTGCAGTCATCAGCCAACATTTGAAGCAAGAAAATCAGATAAAAAAAAAAAAAAAAGCCGCGTCGCCGCACCACTTATGGGGCAAGCTCCATACCAGAAACCGGAGACTTTTTTTTTTTGGCCTTAGGGGTCTCTTTTTTTTTTTTTCGAAGGAGCATGTAATGACTTTTAACAACAACAGAAGCTCAATTTGCAATCCCCTAAACTGAGAGTGGAAAGGAGGGGGCGGGGGGACATGGAAGGGAGGGGGCATAAAAGGGGCACAGGTCTCAAGCTTGAGTGAGGGAGGGGAGGGGGGGGGGGCTGTGCCCAAATTTCTTCCCTCGCTATGGGCTCTGTGCACAAGTTCCCCCCCCCCCCTTTACGGTAAGAAAGGGAGAGTTGGGAGAGACCACTGGAAGGGCCATTCAAACGCCTTTCTGCCGATGCCTGCTGCCATGGCGAGGACGCTATGGCTTTGAGGACATTCAGAATATAATAAGTTGTTCATAGTTCGTGCTATTGGCTCGCAAACCAGCACGAAGTAGGCCTATGCAGCGTGATGTCCTGTCTACTGGGTTCTCAAAAGTCCATACCTGAACAATTCAAGCCTGTCAAAGACTGTGTCTGCGTCCATCTCCGTGGCTATCTGCAAGTCTGGGTGAGAGTCAAAGTGAAGCATGGTTACCCCTTGGAATGGCAGGTGACGTGAGGCAATGGCACGGTAAATATGTGGAAGAACCTGAAACATAATGATATCGAACAAGTTGGGTTTTTTGGTTGTTTGTTTTGGTTGCCTTTTTCAGATGTCTATTTTTTCGTGAAATTTCCAGATTCGTTTGCACACGTTTGCATATCAAAATTTCAACGTGAAATTTCACGAAAACTAGACATCTGAAAAAGGCAGCACTTTTGTACAGCTGTAATTGTAAAGAGGGCGAGTATGCTAAAGCAAAAATAAACTACAAACTAGGCCTGGCCTAACTAGACTTCCTAAGCCTAAAATGTGAAATCAAAATTTGACGAAGTTCTACATGTTTTTGTCATGTTTGTACATGTTCCAAGTGTGGCCTTTATTTACGGAGGTAGTACAGTAAATTGGCCACATTTATGGGGCTAGTTGCGCACGTGCCTAATGTCACAGTAAGGATCGGTAATTCGACTGAGAAACCCCCTCCCCCCGCTTGGGCTCCTCACCCCGCCCCTTTATAATATTTGACTTGTGTCAGTTGTGAAGTCGAGTCGAGTCGAGCACTTTTATTTATAATTTCCCTACACATCAATCGCTAACCCCAATTTTGGTCAAAACTTGCGAATATTATCCTTACATCATTGTGGTCCTCTACGACCCACACTGGAACTTCAGAGTAACATCGGGCCTTTAATTTTCCCGCGAAAGTTTGATCCATTTTCACACTTCTCGGCACGGCCGCACAACTTCAACCGTCTGACCGGTAAAATTAAAAGATCAATCACCTAGCACTTCTTCCATTTGGAAACTACCATTTGTGTTTAGGGGGGTGTGCCATTTTATTGAGAGATAACATATCATTTTAATTAAATTATTTAATTCGTAATCATGAATCATAAATTGATGAGAGACCAAACAAATCAATATTGTTTTATTTTTTTTGTTATTTTAATTTTTTTTTCAGAGAAAGTCAAATATAGACCTAGTTCAGTGACTCCCTTTTGATAGTGGAATGGTCCTTCAATTGCAACATGGCGGGGCAGCAACATGTGTCGTGTGGTCGTGACTTGCATTGTGTGCCGGATATTTCGTCTTCCACTCAACTGGCCTCAGTTGCAGGGTATGTCGGCGATTTCTGTTTAATCGTGGACCACCAGAATATGTTTATTTTATTCTTACATTGAAACGGAGTATGGATTCGGAAGGTTTAATTGTACGCGCCACGCATGGCACGTTATCGAACTTGAACATGTTTACGAGATTGGATCTATTTCCGACACTATGCTTTTCACACGTATGCAAATGAGATGGACCTCGAAATGAAACATGTGAAGAGCAAATGAATCCCACTTTCTCTTTTTTACTCACGTCAAAAACTTGTAGGAAAATTGTGGGGCCAAAATCATTTGACGAATTAGCGAATGCATTCTGGATATGGATGAGTTGGATGAATGATGGATCATTTATTTATCTACTCTCCTAGAACTATGAGGCTCCGCGTGAGCGGAGCCTCATAGATGTAGAACTAAGCCCGCAAAATCGTCTGCAGCACAAAACACTTATAAAGTACAAAAACGTCCATCAAAATGCAGACATTTCACACAGAACCGCTGCACAGTTTGCCCCTATACTCCGTACTTTACCTCTTGACATACTCACGTATCATGGGCGGAAGTAACATAGGTGGATTCTGTCGGTTTTTAGGCCAAAATGATGAAAAATATGCCCTTTCCGCACTGAGCCAACCGAACACTTGAAACGTGCACGCATATGATCGAGCGATGATTTTCGGTTCGCTCGGAGCGCGCCGCGGGGGGTACGGTACAGGCGAAATGATAGTATGTGCATGCGTACAAGTGAATGTACCGTACCCCCCGCGGCGCGCTCCGAGCGAACCGAAAATCATCGCTCGATCATGTGCGTGCACGTTTCAAGTGTTCGGTTGGCTCAGTGCGGAAAGGGCATATTTTCATCATTTTGGCCTAAAAACCGACAGAATCCACCTATGTTAGTTCCGCCCATGATACGTGAGTATGTCAAGAGGTAAAGCACGGAGTATAGGGGCAAACTGTGCAGCGGTTCTGTGTGAAATGTCTGCATTTTGATGGACGTTTTTGTACTTTATTAGTGTTTTGTGCTGCAGACAATTTTGCGGGCTTCTACATCTATGTTCATGCGGAGCCTCATAGTTCTAGGAGTATTATTTATCATGACACTTGTTTTGATGGACAGGTCATAGGCCTTATGAAATATAATTTGTAAAATAGGCCTAAAGTGTTGGAAGGTAAAAAAAGAAAAAAAGAATCGTTCACACTTTCAGAGCATTGACGTGATAATATGCATGTAGGTCAGTTGTTGACTGTTATTAGAAAGATAGTGGATATGTTGCCGGAGGTAATGACGGCAAACTAACGATTACTAAAGGTTTGCCGACGGCAATCCGTATCAACAGAGGGCGCTGTACTCTTTAAAATAGGGCTGAATTATAAGATGTATTAAATTCCCACCAAAACTTGTGTAGCACGTTTGGTGTAATGGTTAAGCAAAGGCTCTAGAAAGCGGGATGGCGTTCGACTCCAACCGCGTCACATTTTTAATTTTTTTTTTCTCGTCCCCAAATAAATAAGAATATTTTTCTTTTATTATTTTAACATGTCTCAAACATTTTTTGCAGAGTATTACATTTTCTTTTTCAGATTTGTGACTCTGGAGGATTTTTTTAAGGGAAATAAAGTCCGAAATTATAAAATGGTCTGAATCCCATCTTGTGAATACGACGTAACAACGATAATTTTGGCATGGAGCCAGACTAAAAGTTGTCACCGGAAAATGTTTAAGTACAAAAAACAGTAACTGCGCATGTTCAGTGCATATCCGGCAAACTAACGTTTACTAAAGGTTTGCCGTCTCCGGCAAAATATACACTGCTTATTAGAAAATAGAATGCAGGCACAGGCGAAGGAGTGGGTTAGAATTATGTACAATGTCAAAAACATAATTTGCCCTCACAAACATGGAATATTCTGTCATCATGAGAGTTGTGGGAAGTTTTAGGTAGCTGTTAGTTCTTACACAACTCGTACATGTCATTTACGCATACCACCTGACCTCAACTTAATGTTTTTTCCCTTCATCATTCATGTTTGTGTACTTCATGTCTCACTGTTCAGTGCTTTGCAGGAAGGAAGAATTCCATACATCGACATCACCAGTTTTTCCCTGCAGAGACCTATCAGACATCAGAAAGCGATAACATGTCCTAAAAATTCAACTTAAGCAGGGAAAATATTGAAGAATTTACTGAGAAAACACTTCAAATTTTTCAGACCAGTCTCACTGTGTTTGGGCACAGGGTGTGGTGTGATGTCCAGCTATGGAAGTCCTTCCTGCTTTGCTACAAAGTGATTGCATCTGCATAATTCTTTGGCTTCAAGCTGTGGTCCCTGGGAATATGTAGAGCTGCAAGTAGTCCACTGAGTGCTGTTAAAAGGTTTTTTTTCTTACTCATCGACAGGTTTGACTTTGCAGCTATGCCCCTAGTACATCCACGGTTCAAACGGGAGTTCTTGGAAGGCAAAGCTAAGGACAGACAGGGGGCGTTTGCCAGGTCAGATCTGTTTCTCTCAAGCCAAGGTACTTCATCTTTGACAGTCTGAACTCCTAAAAACCAAAACAAAATTAACTCCCTTAACATTTTTATTAGGATTCTTCTGACATCAGCTACTGTGTAGGAATCAATTTGGACATTCTCTCCTGTTCTTTTTCAAGAGTCATCCAGCAGGAACTGGGCTCTATCTGCCTTAATCCTCAAAATCCCAAAAAGCTTCTTTTTGTGGGTTTTGAGAGATGTAGGAGGGTAAGAGATATCATTTAACCCTAACCTTCCCTAATCCATCAAAATCCATCCTCCTTTGGGGGATTTTGGCAGACAATCTATCTGTACCAAGTCCATCAAAATCCACTAAGTCCATCAAAATCCACCTATAGTAGTGGTGGTCTTGTGGTGGATTTCAGCTGATTTAGTCCTGAAGCATTATGTGAAACAGGGTCAGTGATGGAGTTTGGTCCAGTACTTAGGAAAAAACAGTAGGGAATTTAGGGTTAAGCACTTGTTTTGTTAACTTTTGACTAGTTTGGGGCTGTTTATACTGTTGATTAAAAAACATGTTAAACATCATAGCATTGATGAATCTCTGCATATTGAAAAATGGGAATTTGCGTTCTGTTGCAAGGGCCGATAGGACATTGACCCTAACCGTGCAGTATAGTCGTGTTCCCTAATGTGGCGCACTTCAAAGCTTACCCGACTTTCCTCGTGTAGTGTTGCCAAACCTCTTTGTTGACAAACCTCAAATTCATGCAGTGAAATACTGGTACTTTTACCTTATTAATGCTTGCTATTTTACCTCTGTGAACAATTTCAGTTTCATAAAATTTAATCCGAAATTCAAAAACGGTGGTGTCCGGAAATTGGGCACAAATTGGCGGAGTGTTCCCTAACGTGGCGCACTTGAATAAATCTTGGAAAATTCCAAATTTACACTTACGAATTCCTGTAAACTTGAAAAATTCTGATAAATAATTAATATCTTTACTTACATACCCAGCCAAATGTTTGTCAGAAAATTATTTTCTTATTTTTCAGGGCATTTTCAAAGGGTTCACTTTGCACTTGAAAATAAAATCGGAAAATCACGCCAAAATAGCTTTTCCTTCTAAATTTGTTACGGGTAAATAAACTCGCGATTTATGAACAGGACCGTTTAGAACTTGAAGAAATTTCACTTTCTGTGAAATTTCAGTTTAAAATTTTGCTCTAGGTAGGCGCTACCGGCGCAAAATCCAAGTGCGCCACGTTAGGGTACATCAACAATATCATTGAAAACTAGAAACTGCACCAGAAGATTTGACATGAGCTTTCTTTGTTCTGGTACAAAAAATGGAAATTCAAGCCACATGAATAATTTTTTTTGTCGACATAGCCTGCATCATTATTGTCAAAACACTTAGCGTGTTTTATCAGGACTCTCCCAAAATCTGCATTTTGCAGAACAAAGACACACTCTTTGCAACAAAAATGTTTCATCAAGCCAATGTAAAATAAGCAGCAGCAACTCCTTCAAAATTGTGCAAAACCGATAGTACAATTTTGATGGCTTTCAAAGGGTTCAGGACAAATGCACAGCAACTTATTCCGTTCCTCACCTGTCGACAGACTGGAGCTCCCTAGTGGTGGGCAAGCTGTCGCCGTGGTTACAGCTGGACTCGGAGGATGAGACGACACGCAAGAACTCGCAGGCCGCCCTGAAGCAGGAGTTGGCCTATGCGGCCCATCTGAGTGTGCCCGCTGTCTTGGTGCCGCTGACCAGTAACAGATGTGCCAACCTCGGCCGTTGCTTGCTCAGCCACATGCAGGGTCACAGTAACCACCAGGTAGGTGTTGTTCAGTGGGGCTAGTTTGAGGGCAAACTGTGCTTAAGGCCAAAAAAAAAAATAAGTCGGTCTCTGGTCAGCGCGCGCGTCGATTTTAATCATGCGCGTCGATCTTTTTTTTTTCCAAAATGTTCCGCGGTAGCTCCAACAGCGCCCTCTATTTCTGCACCTCCTCAATTTTTTTTACCAAAGAGCACCCGGAATGGGAAATCGCACCAAGGCAAATGATCGAAAGCACCAAGGCAAATTATGGAGGACACCAATGTACATGAGGACACCAAGAATAGTGCCCCACCTTGTCTGTACAATCCATGCTTGAAGAAAAAAAAAAAGCAAAAATAAAAAAAAAAGCCGCGTGGCCGCGTCAATTCCGGAACTTTGGTCTGACCAGAGACAGAATATTTTTTTTTTTGGCCTAACCAGTTGAGTGGCTGTATTAATTTTCAAACATATAGTTAAAGGGAAAATACAACATTTGCAAACATCAAAAAATAAAACTACCAAATCATTTTGAAATACCTTGCTGGAATGTTAGTGAATGACAGTGTAAAGCATCCTGTAAAATCATGGCACCTGGTATACTGTCATTTTCAAGAAGAGTGCTATTTTTGTATCAATTTCCAACGCTGATCGGCTGATCAGCGTTGGAAACAACTGGCTTTTTTTTCAAATACTGGCCCCAATTGACCATCGCACTTGTTTGCAATCGATTACAAACCTATGAACGGGTACGAGCCAGCTAGACTGGTTCCCTGACCTTATAATTCCCCAATGTATGTAAACTACTCTGTTTCTTCTCATATGGAGTCAGGGAACCAGACTACAGGAAAATGATCGTTTTTCTTGGTTTTTATAGCATTTTCGAACCCAAAACCTCAAAAAAATCAGTGTAACTATATTTGCTATATATTTCCAACCCCCAATTCCATCCATTTCTGAAAATTACAGCAAAAGCAAATGATGTATATTCCCTTTAATGTAATAATCTATTAGGAGGAAGAAATACATTATTTTGGCTAGAAATCCTGCTGAACGCAGCAACATGCAACACTTGTCAAAATGGCAAGTCTGCTCAGTGTAGCATGGTCCATCAGGTCAAAATATAACTGCCCCAGAGTCTGCGGTCACCAACTGCAGCATGATACAACTGTGGCATTGCCCGATGGGACTAGCTCCCATTGTTTCCGAATTGGCCATTTATGAAGTGGTGTTAGTGGCTCAACGCAGCAAGGTCCCAGAAATTTGTACACCTGATGCACTGTGTTGTTTCTGGCAGGGTTAGGATTAAGTGGAAATTTGCAGGATAGCCTGGATTATGCCAGTTTTAACATCTTGTATGGAAGTGTCTCGTGTGCCGTAAATTGGGAACGCACATGAAATGTGCATAAGTAGGCACCACGTCTGTGGGGAGTTACCCCTTAGTGCAGCAAAAGCCCCAGCTATTGTTGGGATGGTTCCAACTAGAGTTCTGGGAAGCCCTTAGCAATAGTTGAGACAATCCCATCTAAAATTTGGATCGTCAAAACAATAGTTTGGATGATGCTATAGTTTGGGCGCAACAATGGCAATCACCGAAGTAGCCTATAATACACCTTGGCTTTCCATCCCGTAGGTGTGGATTCAGGTGCCAATGTGCGCCCCCTCTCGCCTGACCGATGATCTCATTGAGAACGACACCAAGCAACGATCCGGTGGCAGCAACAGCTCATTAGATGACAGCGACATCATACCGGCTGGCCAGGATCCCTGGCAGTGGTGGAACACGTTACGCAGGGTGTGCCATCATCACAAAAGACTGGGTGTCGGTACGTCGCTAAACCTCTAATCCTCCTCAATCCTCCAAAATCAACCAGGCAGGTTTTTGTGGATTTGGGAGGATTGAGGCTGTTTTACCGGTTAAGTACCTTGTTGATTTCGGAGGATGCATTGTGTCAGGGTCTTAAGCTGTACCTTGTGTTGTTTATGCTCAGCCATGCATAAATTTAGGCCTAGATTATACTTAATATCATCCGTACTGCTTCTGGATATCATCGGTACTGCCTGATTGTATTACAATAATTGTTGAAGGATTTGGAGGATTGAGGCAATGGACACCCCTCCACTGAACAAATTCAAGAAATAAAAGGATGATTTTGGAGGATTGAGGCTGAATCTAATTTTTACATGGAAGCAGTTGAGGATTTTGCAGGATTGAGGATGTATCTTAGCAAAAAGGCCTAAGAGGTTAGGGTTAAGTTTCCTGGGTGTGTGCACTTTTCATATCATTAATTCCTTCCCCAGAGCTGCTAACAAGTACGTTTTTACCAGATTTTTAATTTTGTATTTGGGTTTTCTCTTTGCCAACGTATTTTATAAACATCGTATACCGAGGACTTGGGAGAAAAGATTCACAAGTTATACTCAGATGAAACTAAAAAAACCACGACCTCCTGCTTACTAGTGCAAATATCTTACCACACAACCACCGAGGTTGCTGGGGTCGGCTGGCTGGTTGGAGTCTGATATTTATAAGATGGAATTTGATTTTGTTTGGAAATTCAGTGAAAAAGATAACAATACTTCTCTTCCTTAAAAAAAAACCCTTTATTTTCTTTAATTGAGGTTTCCAGCTATGCACATTTTAATTTTTTTTAGGATATGGAAGGGTTGGGTTTGAAATACTGACTTATTAAAAGCCAAACCCCTAGCAGTTCCCCAGGACTACCCTGCTAAATCCAATAGTCATATTAGTTTCCTGCTCAATCCAACACAGTCCCACACAACCCAACTTGCCAAGTTGTTGGGTACCTGAAAATATAAAATGACTGGCATCTCAATCCCACAGAATCTATCTGTGCCTTATTTTTCTGATTGCTGCTGGATCCAACATAGTCCAACTTGGCGTTATTTACCCGTACCCAACAGAATCTGACTCAGAATGTTTGAGTTGCCTGCTGAATCCAACAGATTTTGACAGGAATATACACAAGGGTTTTACTGCTCAATCCAACAGAATCCATCTGTGCCTTATTTTTCTGTTTGCTGCTGGATCCAACAGAGTCCAACTTGGCGTTATTTACCAGCACCTAACAGAATCTGACTCTGAATGTTTTCAGTTGCCTGCTGAATCCAACAGATTTCAATAGGAATATATACATGGGCTTTACTGCTCAATCCAACAGGACCCATGAGATATATAAAATGGTTAGATCCTGTTGGATTGAGCAGGGTTAGGGTTAAGAAGCCTAATCAGAATCCATTCCTCTTTTTGCCTCCAGCATTGGAGATCTCCACCGATCTACCTCCCCAGTCCGTCATCAACCGGTGGATGGGTGAACCGCTCAAGTGTGCTATATTCTCAACGACGCTGTTCCTGACCAACAAGAAGGGCTACCCGGTGCTCTCCAAGGCCCACCAAATGGTCGTCAACAAGTTGTTTAGAGTAAGTGGTCTGCCAGTTGACCAATCCATTCAGACTCCCCCCCCCTCCCCGCCCCCCATCTGCCAGTTGACCAATCCATTCAACCCCACCCACTGTTCCCATGGGCAACAACATGTACGTCCTTCCAATGCACCCTTTTACTAATAAATTAATGATTTTGCACGCATGCACAACAATGGGTCTGGCAGCAAGAAGCGAAAGCGGTCCAGCGAAAAGTTTACAAGGGGTCAAAATATTTGAATCACTTTTTCTCAATTTCTTCAGGATTTGTTGCTTTTTTTGTTTAGAAAAACCTCTAGAATCGTAATAGGCATTACTTTCTGGCCTAAGTGGGGTTTTTTGGGCACAGAATAAAAACTTTAAAAATTGCTTTCGTCTCCCGTGCGTACGAGGGCGAAGGAAATAGCAGGGATCCTTTCCGCACGAGTGGAGAATAATAACCATGTGTTTCGGGGTACCCGTCCACCAAATTTCAGGCCGAATCGCGGTGCTAAATCGCTGCAGGCCTCATTGTGGCTGAATCAAGGGCTGAAAATGTTGGAAAAACTGTCCTTAAGACAGTGGGGTCCGACCACATGCAGTGCCTTTAACAGTTTAAGCACAGAGCCTACAAGGATCAAACCCCAGTGCTTCATGGTGTTGAATGTTTCTTTCCCTCAGCTTGATGTGCAGATGATGATCACCGGCATCAACCGACACCCAGACAAGGGCATCCGAGCCTACCAACAGTACATGGACCATCTCTACCAGAACCAGCAGCCACTGACTGGGGTGGAGGCGTTCGCTAAGGGATATGAGGACTATCTGCAGTGCCCACTACAGGTACGGCTCAAAGGTCAAAAGAACCCCCCAAAACAGATACAGAGCAAACCTAGTTAAGGCTGTGTAATTTGGAACAATATATATTTAACATATGTTTTTCTTGTGTTTTTCTACAGCCATTAGCCGACAATCTGGAATCCCAAACTTACGAAATATTTGAGAAGGATCCCGTCAAGTACACCAGCTACCAGAAGGCTGTGTTCCAGGCACTGAAAGACAGGGTACCAGACAGTGAAAAGGACACCAAGACCTCGTAAGTAGAGCCCTCGTAATGTTGAACCTTCTAGCTTTGATGAAGCTTGTCAAGAAGACATTGTAACTTCACTGTTTGCATGCAAGGCAAGTTCTCATCCATTCAATTTTGGAAACACTTTAGGATCCAATTGATGTCACACTCATATCCCCTAATTGTTTGTCAAACAGGACAGAAATTGGCCAGTGTCACAAGTGACTTTTGATGGAATTAGTTTCTAGCGTACTTTAAACTTGGCACCTTGCAAAGAGCTCGTGCGGTTTTACCATAGGGTTGACAAATCCGTTTCCTGAAGCTGAAGTTTGTCAGAGCAAACCATGCTTAACCCTAACCATCTAATATCCTCCAAAATCCTCTTCGCAAAATGGAGGATTTTGCATGATTGAGGATATGGCAATAATGTGTGGCTGAGTTTGGAGGATGCAGTGTGTCAAGGTCTTAGGCTGGACCTTGTGTTATTTATGCTCAGCCATGCATAAATTTCAGCCTACATTATACTTGAAATCCTTCGCACTGCTCCAGGGTGTGACTGGCCCTGCCTCAACATATTGATAGTGATTGCTGGAGGCAGTGGTCACCCCTCCAAGGACCACATTCAAGAAACAATCGATGGTTTTGGAGGATTGAGGCTGTATGCAATTTGTACATGGATGCAGGTGAAGGATGTTAGTTAAACGGTGTTAGTTGGTGAAATTTGCTATTGGTATTTATGCGTGTCATGATTTTGATTCTTCAAATTTTCCTTTATTTTTCTGTTTTACCCTGTCCTCGGTTCCCTGACAGTGTTGTCATGGTGCTAGGTGCAGGCAGGGGTCCCCTCGTTACGGCTTCTCTCAAGGCAGCCGAGCAAGCTGACAGAAAGATTGAGGTGTACGCTGTTGAGAAGAATCCCAACGCAGCTGTGACGTGAGTACAGAAGCCAGCGTGGCCCCTCGCGCTGTCTTGAAATCCCAAGATGACTGTCGTAAAAATTCCCAAGATTTCCCAAGAGGATGCATCAGAATAGAAGCAAAGACAACATTTTCACGGAGCTAATGTTTGTCCAGTGCAATCATGTACTTTTGTATACATCTAAGTGCTGCAAAATCGTCTACTGCATGCGCAAAGTCCCCACTCCAAAGCACAAAATCCCAAGATTGGGTGACAGTTTCCGCAAGCCTGACCCGAATTCCCGAAGGATCTTGCAAAAATTTGGATTCCTGGGCAAATTGTTCATAACTCCTCCCTGTATCATCCCAAGTCAACCACTGCAGGAACCCAGAGGCATATTTATCTGTTTTTTAATTCTGCAGGGCCTGTGGCCCCATGGACTGTTCCAGAATCCTTCAACATCCTCTGAAACATCAGTAGGATTTGGAAGCATTAGGGTTCAGGAAAAATGCAAAAGAGTCAGCTTTTGGGTCTCACCTTACCAGCTCTCTGAAAGAATGGAGCAAAAAATTCAAAATTAGAATTTAGTATCACCTTTGGAGGAAAAAAAAGTAATTTTTAAAGAGCATGGGGTATCAACTTTAAACTTTTTGGTTTTCTGCTGCAGCCTCTTCACTCTCAAGGAGGAGAAGTGGGGAGACAACGTGACCATCGTCCAGAGTGACATGAGGGACTGGAGTGCTCCCGAGAAGGCAGACATCATCGTCAGTGAGCTCCTCGGAGCGTTTGGTGACAACGAACTGTCCCCTGAGTGCCTAGACGGGGCACAACCATTCCTGAAAGGTATTAAAGCCGAGGGCTTAACACTAATATTCTAGGCATTTAGGCCATTCCAGACGCCGTGCTACTGCCGCGCCGAATTCGACAAAATTTGACTTCTTTTAATTCGGCACGGTGACAGCATGACGTTTGGAACCATTTGGCTCAGCAAATTGGTTCGGCACGGCACCTTTCTATGGCTCGCCAGGGCTGCTGCGCTTTGGTCGTTTAATGACAGTGGCATGGCACTGTTCTAAACGCCGCGCCATTGCCATGCCCAACTCAATTCAGTTCAAAGTTGGGTCAAACATTTAGGAATGCGCATGCTCACAATACCCTATCTCTGCATCACAGGGAGTGAAATTAGCGCGAATATTTTGATCGCGCTGAAAGTTCATTGAACTGCTTTAACGTGCCCCATTACTCCAGATGCATTAGGGTTCGACTATTAAGTTTGGCGTTTAGAGCAACTACCCTGCTGTAGACGAACTATTGCCGCACTCTCAAACTCAGCGCGGAAATAGCGCGGCGTCTAGAACGGGCCTTACCTTCCTGAATCCTGCAACTCCACCGTCACACAAAAATTCTCTGGACTCTTCAGGGGAGTCAGGCCGGCACAGTGGCTTCTTTCCTCGCCTTCCACTTCTATGGTCCGGGTTCGATTCCCTTATGGCCAACATGTGGATTGGGTTTTCAGTCCGTACCTGATTCCGTGGGGTTCCCCATAATATTCTTCTGGGGTTTTCCTCCCACCTCCAAAACTGGAATTTCTTCTCATTGTCTTCTTTAAACTTGCGAGCTACAGTGTTTATGGAGCTTACAATGAATCCTTGGTTTCATTTCCAGAAATTGTAATAATAATTAATCCCTACATAATCATGACTGGATTCTACATGCACATTTCACAGCCCTGCAAAATGCTCCATTAAAGCTACAGTCCATCATTTGCAGCTATCCAAAAAGTAACTGACGTAATTATTGTTGAAAAGCATACTTGGTTTAAAGATAGTAAGGGGACTAAACTCCCTGTGAAATTATTCTTTCTGGCAAGCTGTCATTTCGAAGAAATCAATGAAAGAAGGCCTTTCCAATGATGCGTCTAAAGAACCATCGTTAGAAATTAGTAGCTCTTTTTTTATTATTCGGTGAAGCTCGGGCAAGAGTTGACACGACCCACACACGCGAGCGGTTGCTATAATTCGTCGGTTCAGTGCCTGACGACATCACGTAGCTGCAATCGGCTCAGTGACAATGTGTCTGGGATGCTGAATTCAGGCCCAATTCAAAACATGACTTGGCAACTTTTGATTTGAAATCGAGAATATACAGCATTCACTGAGCTGAAATTTCGCCAGGTTAGTTGTTCAGCACCCTTTTTAAATCTTGAACACTTTTGTTGCTTCAAACGAACATAATGCACAAATTACAAATGATGGATGCTACCTTTAATGTACCCAGGAGGGTTATTAGTGCTTGCTTGATGTCATCACTGGGTATTATTTGATTAAAAGAATTCAGGTTTTCTGATCTTTTTTTTCCCTGACAGATGATTGTATAAGTATCCCCAGTGCGTACACATCTCATCTCAGCCCCATCATGTCTCATAAACTCTACAATGAAGTCCGCCTGTGCAAGGATAAAGACAAGAACCAAGATGTAAGTAATCTCTCTGTGACTGGTTGTAACAGTTGAGTGCTCCCTGCTTACATGAAGCAGGATTGACTGTCTGTGACTGATTATGTAAACTTGAAACAGGTAGTACAAGCATTGACTGTAGGAGATTGATCAGCTAGCCGTACCTACAAGTTAGGCAAAAAAAAAAAGTCTCCGGTTTCTGGTATGGAGCTTGCCCAAAAAGTGGTGTGGCGACGCGGCTTTTTTTTTTTTTTACCTGATTTTTTTGCTTCAAATGTCGGCTGATGACTGCAAATGGTGCCTGACTAAACTTAGTGCAAATATATGGGAGTCCAGAGAGGCCACATTAAGCTTATTCTCGACCATAACCCAATCTAAAAACACGTTAAAATTGTGCAGCAGCAGAATTCCAGTCAAACCAGTGAGCTTGGCGGTTTTGAGACATCATCTTTCATTGAAAAAAACTTTTTCATTTTGCCGACGCGCATGGCTACGGCGACGCGCGCGCATACCAGAAACCGGAGACTTTTTTTTTTTGGCCTTAGTTGCTTTTGTCTGTTTATTGAATTTGACTTGGCACAGTACCTACTCAAAATAATGATCTGACTGTTAGTGACTAGTGTGTGTCAGTTACGGGGGGAAGTGGATTGAACTTCTGACTGTCTGTGACTGATCAAAAAAAGGGAGAGATAAACAGTTCCCCTTTTCTTCTCCCCCCAACCCCCTCCCCAGGCCCACTTTGAGACCCCCTACGTGGTCCACCTGCACAACGTGACCCGCCTGGCCCCTGCCGTACCCCTCTTCACCTTCACTCACCCCAACAAGAACAGCCTGGACAACACGCGCTACATGTCGGTCAGTTTCACCATGGAGGAGGAGGCAGAAGTACACGGCTTTGCCGGATACTTTGACACAGTACTCTACAAAGATATCGTGCTAAGTGAGTATTGTGCTGAGGTGTTTGTCAAAAAAAAACAATTGAGTTGGGCGGTGGGAGACCTGACCACAACACATGTTTACAGGGTGACCCCCCAAAAAATGCAACCCTAAAACATTTGCGTTAAAAAAACAGGATTGTTGGATTGTTAGGTTTTAGGTATCAGATCTCGGTATCAGATCTCGGTATCTGAGAGAGTCATCTTCCAAATTCTGAACAAATCATGGAAATAGCACTTTGGGTTGCTGAGAAAATGCCAATTATGTAAAAGTTGTCATTTTTCATCCTGTACAAAAAAAAAACCCACAGTGTAGAATTTTCACTGTACTTGTTTGTGCACGTCCTAATCCTTACAAACAACACGTCACAAAATATTATGACAAGAGTACAAATGATGGAATGCCTTTTATTTTCCACCTGAACATTTTTTTTAGTGCTGTTTTAAACCCTTTCATCGTCATAAATATGTCAAAATACTAAAGAAATTGCACTAATGAAGGATAGTTGCACAGTAAGCTTACAGTAACATGTTGCCCTGTTTGAAGTACTTGTGTACAGGATGAAAAATTACTACTTTTACGTAATTGGCATTTTCTCAGCAACCCAAAGTGCTATTTTCGTGACTTTTTCAGTATTTGAAAGAAAAGCTCTTGTTAAATCTGATACCCAAAACATAAAAGCCACCAATCCCATTTTAGAGGCAAACGTTTGAGGGTTGCATTTTTTTGGGGGGGGGGGTCACCCTGTTTATGAGGACTACCAACGGCCCATGTTTCTCATTATCTGATTGGTTGCTATGCATCTTGGCTGTGCCGCCTCCCCTGTAGCTTGATTGGCCCACTTCTCCTGCACACTCGTGCGTCACAATTAACGCTGCACCCTATTGGTATGCACATACGTCAAGGTCATTCTGACAATCAACGCACTGGTCAGCATCAGGCTTAAAATGGCTGTCCAGATAATCGGCCATTTTGAGGCTTTGTTCAGACTAGCTGGATACCTGGACACAGTATTCTTCAAAGATCTTGTTCTATTTTCCCAGTACAGTATACCACCAAATTTTTCAAGTTTGCGGTCGACAAAAACATGACCAACTTACCGTGGATTGAATGAATGTCAGTGGCAACTTAAGGAAAGTTTGTTTTGATAGATCAAGGAATTCTTCCCCCTCACAAAAAAAAACACCATTCCTTGATAAAAAGGAAAAAAAAATAACGAGATCCTTCAATCTTACACTTACGAGCCTACTGACCGGACAAACTAACAATTCTAAGCTTCTCGTACCATGGCAAATTTGTCGACCCTCTCCCACAATGCACTGTGAAAAATTGGACTCTCTGTGGTAACCTGTCGGTGGCGCACTGTATTGGGAATCGCCCATGTTTATGTATTCTGTGACTACACAAGCATTGTTAGTCGTCATTTCCCCTAATCTTTTTTGACAATTAGATACCGGTGTAAAAAGAAAAACACTAACACTAATATTGTGTTGTTCACTGACAGGTACAAACCCCAAGACCTTCTCGGAAGGAATGTTCAGCTGGTTTTCCATATTTTTCCCATTGAAGGTACGTGTAGCAGAACAGAACCATTTGTTGGCCCACGGTCAGAATTGCTTGGCTACAGCTTGTACATGTAATTACACATGCGCATATGGAAGCGGCTTAATCAACTTCTCATAGACGCGTGTGTTACTACCGGCCATAGCTAAACAATTTGGACCTAGCCTTAAGCCGGCCTCAGGTCGACCTGTGATTTGCTTGCGCCATGACGGAATTGTCAGCATCAAGCAGAAAAGCAGTGCTCAAGTCACAAAATGAGAAATTGTATGATTCTTGTAGTGCAAGCTGCATCTGGACACAAAATCGCAACCATGCTTATGTCACCCACGACGCAACGACGATTCCACAGCATAGACAGTCCTGTGACTTCTTTAACAATAGCGATAAAAGCATGTTGATAGCAATCAAACGACCTTCCATGGCCACATCTGTTCATTCAGCCGCTTTTGCCTCATGCTGATTGGCTACATGACTGCGATTGATTCCCGCCTGACAGAAACACCGAACACGTCGCAGAAGTTGAAACTTTGTTACTCTTGCGAATGTTGAATTTTCTTTTTAGCGCCGACTGCTTCTGATGTCTCTATATTGTCGCAGTTGCACTCAGGTAGCAAAAAATCGGCGACTAATTTGTTCCCAGCGGATGTAGCCAAGACGAAGCTTGATCCAGAAAAGTCAGTCGCCGACTGTTCTGTGTCATCGCAAGTTCAACCGGAGGGCGGCTTTATAATATTTAACTCTGTCTTTGTTTTGTTGTGGATCTGGATAGGGGTTACATATTGTATCATTTACTAATTCATTTTGTTGTTGTATTATTTTGTTGTTTTTTATATTTAGGAACCTGTACATGTGACAGCCAAGTCAGATTTGGTGGTCCATTTCTGGCGCAACTCCACTCCGCGTAACGTCTGGTACGAGTGGTGCGTATCGGAGCCAGTGACAATGCCTATACACAACATCAACGGACGATCCTACACCATCGGCATGTAGCCCCACCCCATCCTCGGGCAGAAATTATGAAGGCCAGTTTGTGCAAGCATATAAAACTTTGTGAAATCATCGGTATGTGATGTTAAAAAATGTACTCATTATTATTATAATCATTATCTTGTGTCTTTTCGCTGTGGACAGTTTATCGGATATGATGTGAGCATATCATGCCAAAAACTAAACCCATCATGCTAATCTGCATTCCTGTAACGGTTGTTTAAAAACTTTATCACCTTATACAGTATGTCCCCCCAAAAAGTGTCCGTCTGACTATTTTTGAAATAACTACAAAACCATGAGGTCAATTTTGAAAGTTTTGGGTTGTGCAGATACTCCTAAGCCATGGCCTCAACGCCTATGAGTTTCATTGAATATCAGTCACGCATCACTGCACAATTGTCAATCGATCACAACATTTTTGGACACTGTGATCTCGTTCCATGCCTTGACCCTAACCCTGTCAGGCGCAACACAGTGCATCAGGTGGAAAAGTCTGATGCACTTTGATGCATTCAGCTACCAACACCAGTGCAAAAATGGCCACTTCTGAGACAATGAGAGCTAGTCCCATTGAACAATGCCACAGTTGTATCCTGCTGCGTGCGGTGACAACAGACTCTTGAGGCAGTTTGGCCTTGAGATTTTTGACCTGATGGATCTTGCTACACTGGGCAGGCTTGTCATTTTGACAATTGTTGCATGTTGTTGCGTTTGGCAGGGTTTCTAGCCAAAATACCCTGGAGGGTTCAGCCGTGTGGTTGCGAAGGCCTAATCGTCACCATTGTTAAGCAAAGTTAATCCAATTATGTACTTGGATGCTATAACAGAGCAGTGACATTCATGCACTCCCAAAAACATGGCATTTTGAACGTTGTGTTTCTCAGAAAATATGCTCAATTGTTAAAATATAACAGAAGAAGAAATTCTAAACTTTATGTCAATGAAACAATCGACGTCATCGATGCCGAAATGTCAATATAGTTAGTTACTGGTAAAGCTGACCTTCAAGTCTGGAAGAAATTGTTCGAAAACGTCCCCAAATCTATGTATTTATATCAGTTTCTAGGAATCTACTCAAGTTGTTATTTCACGAGTAGTTAGACACATATATCATCTAAGTATATTCCAAATTTCAGCTTAATCTGGTGTTGCAGACGCTAGTGTTACAATTTGAACTATCTCCAAGGAAAATTTCAACGAGGATTATTTGCCGACCAACCCATGTTCATTGTTCAGCAAAGCGCCGTAGGCGCTATGGCTGACCGATTTCGGCCCAGCACACAATGATGACGGGCATATTAGCATATTCATTAGCGTCACTCGGCGTGACTTTGCGTGGGTCTCGGTATCGACCAATGGAAGTCGGCAAAAAGGGTGATATTTGTTATTTAACAACTTGTGAAGGAGGCTTTTATGCCATTGTTTACTTCACACCATAATGGATAGGAACCTCATTAATATTTGTGAGGCTTGAAAAGATTGACAGGTATTGCAGACACCAGTGTTTACAACTTTCAAAATTGCACGTAGCCAGACCTATTTTTCCAATTTCAACGAAAAGTACTGAACATATCAAAACGATTTTTAGCACATAGTTTGATCATTCTAAGGGAAACAAACCCTGAAAGTTGCATGAAGTTACGGTCTTCCAAATAAGAGAAATTAATTTTCAAAGATTTCGCCCGCCAACGTGAACAAGTTTGTGTGTATGTTGTTTCATTCAAAATAAAGTATTACGTAACCTTTAGAAATCGGCCTTCGCAACCACACGGCTGGGTTAGGGTTATTCAATTTCAGTGCTGTTTTATATAAGCTGTGTAAACTCCTGCATGTTGTGAACAAATGGCTGATGTGGTGGATACCAAAAATAATACTGAATGTGGAGATGGAAGTATAGTAAATCTTACCCTGTTGATGAAACAAGAGACAGAAGTGTGGTTGAAGTAACACAAAATGGATCCGTTTATTGGACTGGTAGCATGTAAAGGTTTGCATGGTGAGGTCGGTAAATAAGCGTAAAGTTCGCCGTGTTGCCACGTGAAAGGGAATCCATTACTGACACGCGTCACTGATCATCCAGCCTCCCCTGCCCCTAGAAGCTTTTCACACTGTCGTCGCGCCTCCCCGTGTTGAAATCAACGGAGGTCCACTGTTGGAGAAACTGGGTCCCATACAACACAGTTGGGCGAGGCATACTGTTCACACTGACACCGGTGTGTACACGGGTCGGCTGTAGAGTTTGGATTTTCTACCCGAGACCAGGGTTGGCGTTTACCCATGCAGAGCGCTGGGCCCCTGTAGAAGCCTTTGTTGGATGCTTGCTAGTGTGAAAAAGAATCCCGAAATCTTTACTTGGTACTTGGTACTTGGTTGGTGGTCCTCTGAAATATTCCATCTAGGGAATTTAAACTGTGGAGGTGTGGCACCAGGGTTTACAAGGTGCTGCGGCCACTGCCAGAAACACCGGGGCGAACCCCTTCTCTTAGCGACGAGTGTTACTGGGTTCTTTAACGTGCATTACACAACACACAGGACCAACGGCTTTACGTCCCATCCGAAGGACGAAGCAATAGTGGTAAAGTGCCTTGCTCAAGAGCACAAGCACCATGTTCCCACGGCCAGGATTCGAACCCGTGTACCACGGCACATGAGTCGAACACCGTAACTATCGGACCACAGCACCCCACTTGTGTTTGACAGGGTCCGACACCAAGACTTTGTAAGACTCTCAGGTTAGTCTCCAGTGTTTCAGCTTCTACACCTTCATGCTTCACTGCTTCCAGTGCTCCCACCAACCACTGAAGTCCCAACGTCGCTCGACAAGAGGAAGAGCGCACCGTCCAACAGGTCGAATTTACACCGGAACCACACAGACTCCCAAAAGAGATTTCATGCAACACGATGCAACCTCAAAGATTCCTGACTCCTTCCCTGAACAGTAGATGGCCCTTTGTAACCTCTTTCAAAACCCCCAGTGGGAGGGACACACCGCTGGTCTGCGCACAAATTGCGCAATGTACGCATATACAATGTACTTAATATATTCTGAACGTGCATCAACCCATAGCATCTTTGCGTGAGTGTCGGGCGCCGTAAGCACGCATTCACGTTTCCCTCCTAGTAATATCCCCAACCGTTGTATAACAGTTGAGAGGGTACTTGTGCAGACTATAAAGTTCACCCTATTAATGGACAGACCCAGTAAGAACCGCCCCATGGTGTTCTGACCAATTACAGCCGTGATTTATGTCCGACGTGCGTGCACTAAAGTCCGACATGCGTGCACGCGCGTATGATGCGCGCGGCAGGAAAATGCAGCGTGGCATTGGAGAGGAGCACGTGTTAATTTGCCCAGTGCGCAGTGGGCGGGGCTTACTGGATTGGTCCCTTTGCAGGGAGTTGAACAATTAACTGTTTGTTATGCAAACGTCACCTATGTCATATTTGGGGGGGGGGGATGCAGGAACTATTTCCCTAACCATGGATGTGCTGCATTCAGATGACCCAGATGCATGTTTGTGGTAATTATTGAACAATATCTATTCATCTCACTTCCTGTTCAGCTTTAACAATATATCTCCTGAAATTTTGTGGTCTTGTACTTACAATAGTGTTTAATGTATACCTTGCAATTATAAAAATCAAAGTCTTATAAAATCACACTTTTTTCATAGTGTCGGAAGTGTTTGAAATAAAGTTATTCAATATAATTTACGAACATTTTGAGCGAGCAAAATATTCATTTACAGAAGGGAAGCCCGGAAAGGGTGAATACGATAGGGATCATCCTGTGATGATATAGCCAAAATGCATTCTTTTTCTCCTTGTAAACCACCGATGTCACATTTCAAAAACTTTAAACTGTTTTTTTTTTTATTTAAGAAGTTACTTTGTCAAGATGACATAACTGATTTTCATACGGGACCGAGTTGCATGATTGTTTCTGCCTTTGTCTTAGAACACAAGTGTGCAATTTCCTGCTGCAGAATTTGAGATCGTTTGGCATATGTGGACTTAAAACTTTAATTATATATTCCCCAAGTTGTAACAACTACGTCTTGAGAGTGTTTTTTTGATACATTTCTGTTGAATTATGTAAACCTGCGCCAGCCAAAGTCGACACAATCTCTTTGCACATCAACATGAAGGCTGTTGATTGGTTTACAGCCGTCAGATGACCCTAATACACGAACAAGTGCCAGCCAAGATTAAGTTCACTGCCGAGGATTCAGATATGGGAATTTGCTTTTCGTCTAGTTTGAGCTCCTTTTATGCATCAATTTTAACACTTGACAGAAGCGCAGAAGGCGGTCTTATGCAGTGTGTTAGGCCAAGTGTAAAACAGGCTTCCAGAGATACAGCTATGTCTATATTGTCGGCTGTTCCCACATAGTTGTAAGGGGAGCAGATCTAGGCAATAGCTCTAAACTAGAGATTCGGACATGGCCTTATGCGCCTATCAAATGTTTCCCCCACCCCTCCCACCCCGCGCTGCCCCAGGTCCGATGTCGGGATTTGGTCACGTTTTTCATGCCCCAGGGTGGGGATTTTGGTCACTCAAATTACATTGTTAACGTTGGGGTATTAATGGAAAGGCCATCACTAGTGCGCCCCACGTATGTAAGTCGGGGCATGGTCGGGGATTGTCACTTAAATTTTGCCCGAGGGGTGGGGATTTTGTCACTTCAAAAGTGACAATCCCCACGTCTTGAGTGGGGCAGCCCGGGAGGGGAGGGGTGGGGGAAACAATTGATAGGCGCATTACATAGACAACCACAGCTCTGCCCACAAGAAGAACACTCCAACCAGACTAATTGCATGCAACATGTCGTCAGCTACAGATGGCACCAAACGTACATGCCCACCGATTGGGCACAATCTGCAGGTCAAGAGGCGGTTGTCTAGCATAATTAATCAGTCAATCTTCCTTCCATATCAAACATTTCTTTTGACGCGAGTAACCTGTGCAATACTGGAGAAGTGTTGGACAGCTTGTTCAGTGCACCAATCTATTTTATTGTATTGCATGTTTTGACTATACCTTGAGTTTTGGACATAAGAGTGCCAACATTTTGGACCATGTTTGACCAATAATATTTGACACGTCAACAGTCACGGGTAATGTAAGTTGAAATAATTATACCAAGAATGGGAGACGTTAGTTCCAGGGTTTGCAAGACGTTTGCAAGAATTGTTAAACTTGTGTCAATTTTTGTCGTAAATTAATCAAACAATTATGAAGATGCTTGGAATTGCCATGTTAACTAATATTTCTGCTAGTTTCAAACAGTGTGCAAGAAGCTGACCATAATTCATTTTCATATTTACTAAAGTTTCAAGGACCTTCACACTTAAACCTTGTATTTGATTAGCCACCCCTAATTTTTTTATAATTTCGTGCTCTGTTCTAAAGATGAACAGCATAATTTGAAAAATTAATTTCAAATCCTTACCAAAAATGCATCTGAGTTATGCTAATTGGTAAAAAATGTATTGTAGATTTGTTATCTGTTATATTATTTATATATGTAATGCATATATATATGCATCTTTTTGGTCGTGTACGACGTTTCTTGAAAATATTAGAAAAATAAAACAGCGATCTAAGTGCAAGTTTAGAAATGCCAATTGTTTGTTTCACAAGTGGTAAAGCTTCATATAATAGGATAAGATATGTGAAAAGGCATCAGAAAGGCATAATGTGTAGGCCAAGATTTTTTTTTTAACTGCTTTCTAACTATGAAAGCACCAACTTAACGTTCTAAATAATTATTTTTAACTACACAGTCTAAATAAAAACCATATGATGCCATATAAAATAGGTGCTGTCATCCCATCCCCGGAGTCTGTCTGCCTCGGACGACTGTCTGTAGAGCTTGACGCATCGGGCTATAAACTAATCCAGGATGCCATGGTCTGGTCCTAGATTACTATCGAGCTAGGCTCTTGGAGATCATCGCCGATTTCAAGACTAGATCGTGGCGATAATATAAATAAGCTTGCAGTAAGCACCATTTTAGTAGTGCTTGCGATGGCGATCGGCGTCATACTGCGTGAGACGTTCTGGTAAAAACAATGAGACGGAACTGGGCACAGGCCGTAGTGTAGGAAATGCCAAGAAACTGAATTGGATGGTTTTTTTTTTTTTTGATTTTTCGATTTATTGATACATTTATGTATTTGTAATCTTTGACGGTCTACCACCCACATTCAAGACAGGGTATTAAAAACACGATATATAAGTGTTTTTAAGGAAAAACAACTTGCATCTTGCAAATTCACGACTACAAAACTTGAACCTGTAAAGGCCTTTTGCTCAGTGTTTTAACTCTTCCGACGTGACGATGAATGCAAACTTTAAACGGCCGTAACTCGTCAATGGAACGCCGATTGAAGTGCCACAAACGGTATTTTGGAAGGAGAATTTTATTCTCTTTCATAATCCCCGTTAGGCCTCACCCCCATTTTGACCACTGCTCAGTTCTATCTCATTTTGTCAGAACGCCTCAAATATTTGAAAAATTGCGGACTGCAAGTCACCAGTCATGACGGACGTAATTTAAAGGGAAAATACAACATTTGCAAACATCACAAAACGAAATAATCAAATTATCACAAACTACCTCTACTGGATTGTTAGGGAATGACAGTCTAAAGCATCCTGTAAAATCGTGGCTCCTGGTGTGCTGACATTTTCAAGAAAAATGTTATTTTTCCAACGCCGGTCGGCCGACCAGCGTTGGAGAAAACTGGCTTTTTTTCGAAAACTACTTGCAAACTCTTTGCTGCAAAAACTGCAAAAAACTCTTTGCAATTGATTACACACCTGTGAAGGGGTACGAGCCTGCTAGACTGATTCTCTGACCTTACAATTCCCCAAAGTCTATAAATTCTCCGTTTCATCTTAAGTGGGGTCAGGGAACCAGACTACAAGAACATGAATGGTTTTCTTGGTTTTTCCAGCATCTACAAGCCCAAAATGTGAAACAACTCATTTTAACAATATTTGCTATAACATACTAATCCCCCAAATCCATTTATTTCTGAAAATTGAAGCAAAAGCAAATGTTGTACATTCGCTTTAAAGAAACACAGGAACGCAAACTAAGTAATAGACGACACCACATGTGGCAATATGAAATCGTATAAACGTGCATTGTTCAAACTTGAACAATATACACAGGGACTACAGATACAGAACACACACGCATGGGTTGAGTTTATGCTCAAGATTATGTTGCTGGGACAGCGCCAACAGGGTCTTCAGAAATGCCAAAAAGTTAACACCAGAAGACTTGATTATTAAGAAAGAAAGTCATGCACAGCCGTAAATGTATTCTTTATTTGGCTTTTATTATATTTGCACTGGTTAGTTACTGCTCTGTTTTAAGTTTATAAGTGATTCATTATACAGTCTTGTGCATTCATAAAATTAATTCTAACTATAACTTTAAACTGGTCTTGCACAAAATGTCTGCATCATGCTTGAACAAGTGTCTGAGCAACCTGTACATGTGTTCCAAGTATAGTGAAGCTTCCGAGGTATTCGCACAATGCAAAAAAAACACCCCAAAACAATTATGCATCGTACTGTGAGAGAAGTTCCCAATATAATATCTGAAGTATTTTCATAGTCTAAACTAATCACAGTCATGGTGGCAACGTAATGGGCTTTGTGACTTCACAGCTCAAGCGATTTTTTTTTTACAATTACTGCTGTCAACACCATTATAGTCTGAACCCAGTTCTTTAATTGACGAGGTTTAATTCACATGCAATAATTCATTCATGCTTTTAGTTAAATAACCAATTAGGCCTAAGTCTGTTCAACAGAAGCTTGATAAAGAACACATAACATAATTCTATTCGCGTCACAAGCCATATAGGTTATAGGTTATGGCCTCGTTCCGGCTTCAGCGTAATCCTTATAGTTGCAGAATCATTCTAAAGCATAACAAAGAACGATATACCTGCATCGGGCATCAACGGGGTTTGCTGCCTTTTGCTCAGTATTATAGTTTTATGAATCTGACCATGATAATACAAGAGTTGTTAATGAGTGCTTGCGGCGGATCTAGGGGAGGAAAGTTGCAACTCCTGGTTCAGAACATTTTCTCGTAATTATTGTTTCAGAATTTTTTCCAAGTACATGTATTAGAAAGCCTATAGAATCTGGTGAGGCCAAAGACAAAGAACAATCCCAAATTTCGAAATTGTTTGGTGTGACGCAATAACATTGTTTCTATATTGCATGTATAACACGGCGCCGTTTTGAGGCCCACTTTAGGCCCTACTATATGTGTGTTTAATGCTTCAACAATTTAATAATTTTCGTTATTAATTAGACGGGTTCTTTGATAAAGGAACATGATTGCAATTATTTCGATCTACATTGATTATTATTTAGATTTTGAAAGCTTAGGCGAACATTTTACATTGCTTAAAGTGCCACCGACTTTAATATCACACTGGCAATATTTTTTTCCACAATGTTTTGGCTTTCAAAGATGTACAGATCTATGACATCCACAAAACAAACTACGTTTAGGCCCTACATCGGTAATTCTAAAGACACAGTCGACTATATAATGTCCCAAACTTTCTTTTTACCAACAACTTTCATATTGCATTGCATGATTGAACAAACAACGTGTATGCAAACAGTTCCTCACTATTTTGTATAATTATTAGTATTTTTCCTCTATAAAACTATATTTTTTTATATTGTCTCTCTCTACATCTCAATATACAGATAAAACTACAGTGTTGGGCTGATTGACTCTTATTCAATGTGTTAACTGAGTATTCGTAGATCGCAACGATACCAGAAAGCTTCATCAACACTAACGACCAGTAATCACACTGCAGACAGTCTGCGACTGCATGCCTATGATACGTATCAGTCGGAATGTCTGCGATATTTGCATGGTGGGCTTGCGACGCGACGCTTTGGGCGTCCGAACGCAGTTAGACCTTCATTCGTACCGAAACCATGCAGCTCCGAAAGAGGACGAAAGATCGCAGATACGATCCGTCGCCTGTGATTCATTATGTCATTATGTTACTGATAATGTGGCATCGAGAAGCTCCTTTGTAATGGCGCGAATCCCACGGCACTGCCGACTATATTCTGATTTACATATATATATATACGCATGCACCTAATGTACTCATTACGTTACACTGAGTCATGCAAGCACCAACATTTTATGTACATTCTCGTAATGCTTATATTGTGTGAATAATTTCATGGAAGGTTCAATAATCATGTATTTATGGAAGGCATTTTGATGTACATGTATGTTAGGATTATGTCGGTAAACCAGGCGTCTTTTTCGCTTTATAATTCAGCGCGTATAACGTGAAGCGTTCATTACAGAAAGTACCAACCATTTCTGACAAAAAAAATATCGAAAGTGAACCGTCTGTTCCATTTTCCCCGTCGATAAATCTTATTTCTCCCACCCTCCACTGCAGCTGATATTGTGAAACTCATTTGAAATTTTGTTCTGTACTTCATCTAGCTCTTACTCGAAACTTTCCCCTTTTTTGGTACCACCTATATTAAAATCACTTGATTAATTAGTTTAAGCGTCATCTTATACGTCATAATTATATAGGCCTACTTGTAAACTTACAATTTCACAAAATTAATACATAACCATACATCTATGAACGAAACAAAATCAACCAATTATACCATAATTCAACCATAACATTATACCTGTTCAAAACTTGCCTTACTTCTCATAACACCAACTTAATCTTCAAACAATAGTTTTAATCACAATACTCAATAACCCGACCAATTTAATTCCTCCAAGTCGTTCGACGAAGTCTAGTCGCAAACTGCTTTATTTTTTCGGTGGCAGTTTGCAATTTTTCTTAGAACGTTGTAAAGTCCTTTCGGTTCCTTTCAGGCTTAAACGGATTCTGTGGTATAAACTCAAATGGTTAGTATTTTTGCCATCAAGAAGCAAGTTAGATTTCAGTTTTCTAAAAGACCTTTGACAGTGATATAACGGGCAGCAGTCATACATTAATGGTTTTGCATTAGACAGAGCAAACAAAAAATTTCAGTATACGCATTTATGTTTAATGTGGCTGTTAAGGCTTTATATGGTTCTAATCCTATGTAATCCGATTAAGGAATTTCAAATCACGAGATTAGTACACGGGAGGGATTACTCAGGCGGTGTCTCTTCACAAACCGGTTTACTTGGGTGTGTCTGGTTCTTTGACGTCGTCTGTGCTACTGGCTTCCGAAGCAGCTGTCTCTGTCACGGTCACAGGCTGTAGAATTACCGGATAAAATAGGATTAGAAAATATTAAAGGCTGTTCAATTTAAAAACAAATAAACAAACAAACAAGGCAGAGAAGCTTGTTTATAAACTATAAGTAACCAATGGCAGAATACCAATGAATGGCACCAGACGTTCATACCTGGGACGTGATTCGAGAATGGGCACGATGGGTTAGTAGAGGCTTGTGGATAATGGAGGATGGGTGCGGAGATGTGAGGTCGGGTGGGAAATATTCAGGATTGAGGTAGGGGGGGGGGAATGGTTTGGTAAAAGCCAGATGGTGAAACCTGTCTTCTTCAAAATGCACCATGATAAAACACCTTGAACTACCGGTTAGTTCTTTTTTGTTTTTGTTTTTTAATTCCAACTATACATTATACTGGCATGGATTTAAACCAAATATAATTAAGTGGTTGAATGTTAAAAACTTTGTCCAAATCGGTTTCCTGTTACATCAGTTTCAAGCACTACCAATGATTGCACAGTGAAACCCGAGTATACGTAATTCCTTTAAAAAACACACCAGGAAACCCTCATTTTCCCCTCCCTCAATGAAACCACTTAAAAAACATCGACCATAACTTTAGCTTGAACTGAGTGTTTGAACCATGGACGATTAAGTTTTAACATGCTGCGCTTAGTTTATACAAAGCAGCTCACACTGCATGCACGAAACAATTTGAAAGACTATGGCAGGAAACCAAGTTTTGGTGAACAGTTATGTAATGCACGTCCAGTGGATGGGTGGGACGTTTGGATGGCTTGACGGAGACGTACGTGTGGATGGCTGAAAGATGATGAACAGTAACCGGAGGACAAACAGATTGTGAGACAGACGGACGAACGAAACAATATGGAAACACCACGTAATGAGGGTTCCGTGATTTGAATTTTCGTGGGACCACGTGCATCGTAAACAAACACGATATCTTACAGTGAATTATGAGGTGGCCTGAGGAGAGAAAATAGGGGAAAAAATATGAAACTTTAACAGACACGAAATGAATTATTCCGATCAAGATTAAATAAAATATGTTTAAAGTTGAAAACACTCTTTTTGCAATATCCAGTGGAATGTTAAATCATTATTTATATTTCAAATTTAATTAGTTGAACAATAATGCTGTCCATATTTTACTAAATGGAAAGGTTGAAAAACACGTCTTCCGAAAATTAATTAATAATTAAACAAAAATAGATATAATGATGAAAATTCAATGTATACCTTTGGCTTTGGTTCTTGTTCTGGTATGATGAGTATTTTCCCGACATTCTTGTGGTCATGCATCTTTAGCATGGCCTCTCCAACCTGAGAATTATAGACACAATACAATCTATTTTATCGACTGTTAATTCATGAAAAAGGAAATACGTTATCTGACAAAAAAAATTGCAGAATTTCAATTTGGTTTTCAATTTAACACCCCCCCCCAAAAAAAAATTACAAGAACACTTGTTTCATGAATTCGGTATCGATAAAAACGACAGAAAAGACGGCTGAAAATGTCAGGACCTATAATAATGGTGCAACTTTCTAAATAGCCGAATGAAATTTCATGAGATTTTTGGAAGCAAGTTGCGACTTTTGTCCGTACACTGCAAAAACTGTAGTGTTAATTTAACACCATTCGGTATCTATATAAGACAACACCAGTAAAATTTAACACCAGATGGTCCTATATAGATACCAATGGTGAAAATTTAACTGCAGTTTTTGCAGTGTATCGTCACTAGTCTTGTCTCCAGGCGGGACCTATGGCCTACCTCCTCGAAGGCATAGGTGGAGTCGATGATCGGGTTGAGAATATTGACTGTGTGAAGCTTGAAGATCTCGTTCATGACTGTAGTGACCGCCTCCTCGCCGCCTTGGTTGAACAGAAAGTGGTAGAACTGAAAGCCGGACATGGACTTATTCTCGTCCCAGAGTTTTCCCGGCTTCACGCTGTCCACGTTCCACCACTGGGGACACGGAAAACAAAGTATTGTTGAGTTAAATAATAACACTGAAATTGTTGATGTACCCTATACCTAACGTGGTGCGGTCCCTAACGTGGCGCATTTTGATTTTTGGCCTTTTTGCTAGAGCGAAAATTACCTCAAATTTCACAGTAAGTGAAATTTCGTTAATCTCCAAATATTCCCGTTCATAAATCTTGAGTTTACGTACCCGCTACAACATTCCAGAGAAATTCTATTTTGGCGTGAATTTCCGATTTTATTTCGCAATTCGAACAGTGAACCCTTTTAAAATGCGCCTAAAATTAAGAAACTAATTTCCTGACAAACTTGTAGTTGGGTATGCGAGTGGAGATGATAATGATTTATCAGAATTTATCAACTTTAAAGAAATTCTTACATTCTAACGTAGAATTTTTCCGAGATTTGTTTAATTGCGCCACGTTAGGGAACACTCGGCCGAATGTGTGCCTACTATCCGGACGCCACCGTTTCGGACTAAAATAATTACACTGAAATTGTTCACAAAGGTTCGACAGCAAGCATTATTAAGGTAAAAGTACCAGTTTTTAACTGAATAAATTTGAAGTTTTTCAACAAAGAGGTTTGGCAACATTACACGAAGAAATTTGAGGGAAACGTCGAAGTGCACCATGTTATAGGCGACCCCACTATAAAATGAGTAACTGTACGGCTTCAAATTAGTGGCGCCACTGAATAAAAAAACTCACGTGGGTTTGGTTTTATGTGTATCTATGTACGCTGCATAATTACGATCTCCTGATATCAAATTATTAATCTAAAGAGATGTTCCCATTTTGAACACTTCGGAACACATTTCCTGCACTTTATAAAATGTTGGCCTTCGACTTTTCAAAAAGATACACGAATAGCCGGCCTACGACCGCAGTAACCGATATGCAATGATTTCTTACATTATTTTGGACGAATTACAAGTTGTCTTGTTCGCCATGTCCCGTTGCGTTGTCGGAACGGTCATAATCAGTCAGTAAATACATCATGCCATAGTAAAAGGAGGATGTAGGTTTAAAGGTCTCAGTCACACCCATCGTGTTTTAAGGTCTTTTAGACATTTTCGGGAGAATTCCCTTTTTTAGCTGGTGCTTTTAAGGGAAGGCGCATACTTTTAAGGGAAGGCGACATAACTCACTGTTCTTGCGTAGCTGAAGAAACTCCTCGTTTCGCCAGTAACGACATTGGAGATTCCTAAATGCAAAAGAAGATCAGAGTAATAAGTACGAATAATCAAACAGTTTCTTGTATTTATGACAGGAGTAGAGAGAAAAATCACACAGTGACTGTCGAGGTGATTAAACTGAGTTGAGAGTGCGCATGGGTATCAGTCCTACATTTTCTCGTCACATCGTTTTTCCCCCACAACTTTAATACTGTAGGCCTACGGCTTCGTCTTCATGATCTTTTATATTTAGCTCCAGAATTATAGGCCTAATTTTATGCCATTCATCAAAAGGGAATACTTTAACCTCGAGCCTAATATGTGGTGTTTCCGATGTAGAAATTGGACTTATAATGACACGGAGTCATTATAAAGACAGGGAGTCCCCCCCTCCTCCGATCGAAGCCGATGCCGAAACGAAGCCGAGGATTTATACTCGCGTGTTGAATCCAAGGCTAGATTGCTTTATTCGACAATTGAGGGCGCTACACATAATCGTGTTTGGAAAGATTTCGTCTGCTAAAATCGGCGCCCATCAAGATAATCTAGTCTATTCCTTCCTCCATGGTCTGTAGAAGCGTTGGTAAAAAGGAACTCCCAGCCGGTAACTTTTAAAAGCAGCCTACAGGTTGGTGAATTACGGTAAGAATTGAATATTGCTCCCAAAACTTTGATGATTGAGAACTAGACTTGAAAATACAAAAACTTGTCCCAAATCCAGTCCATGTGAATGTCATGGGGGCGGCCATTTTTTTTTTACGTGTGACTGTCGTTGACAATGACATTCCTAGACATGCTAGATTCGTGGGTTTTGGGTACTTACCATACAGAACATATTTTCCCATGGGTTTGAGCAAATCATAGCCTCTGTTTGTGTCCTCGCCGCAAAGACAGTCTAGCACAATATCAAGTCCCTTTGGTTCAATTCTGTTGTGGAAAAAATATTCTCAACCGATTTGTCATGTTTGTTGAAATCAGTTGCTTCAAAGCAGGTATTTGTTGTGTTGCAATATTTTAGAACAGATTGCGCCGAATTAAATCTCAAACTTTCCCACAATGAACAAATGATGAAATACTGAACACATCTGATCTGCCTTTAAAACTTAAAAGGGTCAAATAGGCCCCTAATTGAATTACGTAAATTACAATGTATCTAATGATTTTACAGCATGTCAAACATTAAAAAACAAATATTAACGAAAAGAATTTTGCATCCTGCTGCCACTTTTTTTATCATATATTATCTCAATGAAGGTCAGTCATTGCAAAATATTTGAAAAGACATGAATTGAATTTGGGACTGAGAAACATTTCCAACTGAATTTCGTTAGAAAATACTTTGACTAGCTGTTTTTGTTATGAAACATGATATAGCTATCCTATGACTGTAGGAGAGTGATAAGCCAGCTGTGCCTACCAGTCACCTACTTTTGTCTGTTGATGGAATGTGACTGTCACAGTGTCTACAAGAAATGTGGTCTGACTGTTGCTGACTAGCCAGTGTAAAAAGGCATGGCAAGGGTACATGATTAAAAAATGTTGACTGTCTGTGACTGATCAAACAAAAGGAGGGTGAAGGAGTGCACAGGAATTATAAAATCATGTTACCTCGGGATAAAAAGTGGACCCAAATTTATACTACAATGACCAATAAATGAAAAGAGCAGCTCTCACTTCTTGATTGCCTCAACGTAGTCGCATGCGGTGCGGTCAAAGAGGTGGTCAAATTTGTCGTTGATAGCTTGGTGTTTGGCGGTGGACGCTGTGCCAAAGATCTTGATCTCATCCACCATCTTGCAGAGCTGAGACACGGCAATGCCCTGCCATGCAAAACAAACAAGCAAGCAGACAAACAAATGAAAGTCGGAACATTGACATCCGTTCCATTGATTTCTTGATTGAGCTGTCCTTTATCGGCAATTTAAATGTCTTTGTGACGGGTAATTAACCCTAACTCCCTAGGCCTTTTTGCTAGGATGTTGCCTCAATCCTGCAAAATCCTCCAACTTGCCTCATGGAAAATATAGCCTCAATCCTGCAAAATATCTCCATTATTTCTTGATGTGGTCCGTGGAAGGGTAACCACTGCCTGAATCCTGCAAAATCCTGCGGCAGTGACTGTCAATATGTTGAGGCTTAGCCAGTACGGAGCAGTATGGAGGATTTAAAGCATAATCCAGGCATATATTTATGCATGGCTGAGCAAAAACAACCCAAGGTCCGGCCCAGGACTTTGACATTGAAGTGCATCCTACAAAATCAGTTACGCACTTTCGCCATGTAACCTCAATCCTCCATATTCCTCTACTTTGGCAAAGAGGATTTTGAAGGATTCAGGGCAGTTTAGGGTTAAGGTATGCCTATTTCTTGCGTAGTGTTATGGTGTGCTGTTTGTAGACTTTCCAGAGTTCAAGTTAAAGAACTCTGCGGCACTAATATTCCCTGTTACTGTCTGTACTGTTCTTTGCTATTTCTTTTAGGGGACTTCTTAGGTGTACTGCAAATAGGCTTGCTTGGGTGGCTCAATGCTGTACATAAATTGTTATAGAATTGATTTATAAATGTAGGCCTAGTCCTACTAAGGATGAGAATCGTGATATCAAACACCTCCAAACAAATTTTTATATTTTGAATGATTGAATTCTTTCTGAATTGCACTCTGAATGGCCCCACGTCAAGATTTCCTACTTGAGTTCAGTGAGCGATTCATAAAGATTCATTCTTAGCGCTTTTTGCAAACTAAAATCGGAGTTGATTCCAAATGAAAATGTGAGTATACTGTGTAGTGCAGTCAACTTTACTGAATCTCCTTTGTCCATAGTTACTCACCAAGTTCCCACCGGCTGAGTGCACCAGCAGCGTCTTGCCCTTAGTCAAGTTAGCCACCTCGTACAGCATCATGTAAGCCGCTGCGTAGCACACACCCAGTGCGGCGCCCTCTTCATACGTCATCTTGTTGGGCATCTCGTAGACGTACTTGGTGGGTACGGCGATGGCCTCAGCAAACGTGCCGCTGCGTTGGAAGGCAACAACGCGATCACCGACCTGTGGATGTTGAGGTAGGTTGATCGTAATGAAATGCACAATTGAGGAGTAATCTCATCATACAAGCCATTACACGACCAGCTACAAGTCGATCAAAAGTCAGGTCACTGGAAAATGGCTTGTAATTTGACTTGAGAACAGATGACTTGTGTTCGATTTGATTGCAATTATTACTTTTTTTTGTTTAAAGTCGAACGAAGAAATTAAGTGGAGCAGGGATTAAACCTACAACTTCCGGCTTCTGACTAGTGCCCATTGAACAAAGACATTGCCAAATTTGGGAACTGTGAACCTCTAGGGCTACATTGCTCAGTTGGTAGAGCACCGGAACGGCAATCTGGTGGTCCCAGGTTCAAACCCTGCTCCAGTCATTTTTTTTATTGAACTGTAAAAATTAGTATACTGTAGGCCTACCTATCCAGTTTCCCTTTGTGGTTTATTTGAAAATTTGATTACAATTCCGATGAACTGCTTTCTAAAATATGTGTTACTGACGGGATCAAATAATACACAAAGGATTTTCCGACACAATCCCAAATCACTCGGCAAGAATGTATCATTCAAATCAAGGATCAGGGCAATAGTTTTCAACAACAACAGCAAAAAGAGCATTGCAATTTTAAAGCGATCTCTAATTAACCAGTTCACGTCGGATGACGTGTATACACGCAAAGGATTTGCAGTTTTCAGAATGGATGACAGATAAACACGCAACGAGCGAGGTCTGAAATATCTGTCTGCGACCCGCTCACAGCGAGTGAGGCCAGAAATATCAGGGTGTGCTACATGCAGGTGACGGCCTTAGCCCGTGGGTCAGGTCATGTCAAAGTAATCCGAGCGCGAACTGGTTAATAATTGCAAAACAGGATCCTCCACTACCACATGTAGATTATACTAGTCGAAACATTGAGGTCACGTCTCACCTCCAGTTCTGATCAGAACCAGGCCTCTTCACAAAAGAGAAAGAAGCCACATGGTGTACCCGCAAACTACCCATTGTTACTCAAAGCAAGTTGAAAAACAAATGTTTACTGAAATAGGATTTGGTGTTCTTCCCTCTGAGCTTTTCAACTTTGGGATTCTCTGAACAACATATCTGAGCAACCAGCAGCTTGGTTATCTTGTAGTACTTGACAGTCTGAATCACTGTGAAGGAAGAGACCCCGACTCTAAGTCTGCACACTTTGCTAACAACAGTGCAGATTTTTTTATTATCGTGACCAACCAGTTAGCATTTTTCGTAGCCACCATGCCAGATGTGCTGAGAGCTATGCCAGAAGTTGTTTGAAGAACCGAGAGTACAAGCGCGCAAGTCAATAACCGGTCTTCGGCCTTATTTGCTGTCTTAGACAACATTATTATCACTTGCTTGCAGTCAGAGTGTGCCTGTAAATATGACTTCCAGAGGCGTAAACCTGTGAATTTCATTATTGCTTTCATAACGGAGTGCCGGAAAGCCTCCGGGGTGGTGTGAAATGCATTTACCCGGTGCAACGGGGTCGTGTGATGCATGTTTATGGTGGAATTTTGTTCCCCCATGTCTCTGCCCACTCACAATTTACCCAAAGAAGGAAAAATAAAATGAGCACACTCTAAAATGTTGAATCTGTTCCATTTTCAAGATTGCCATTTTCATTGCACTGACCTTTCAGCAGCGTTACAGTAACTGCAAAACGGTCACAATTTCTGTTTACTTTCATATGACCTGTTGTTACATTTTGGTCAGTTTTGGAGGTTGAAGGATATCAAATTGTTAATAGCTTTGCCAAACTGTGTATGGTGCTTCCCCAAACAAATTAACATCACAAGAAAGCTTGCACCCATGTAATAAAAACTAGTAATTGTAATCTAGTAGCCCCTTTCTGCCCTGTCTGTTACTTTCTGTCAGAGTTGTAACGAGTCACTGATTTTTGTGACTCGAGTCGAGTCGAGTCATTTTAAAGAAGTGACTCGACTCGAGTCGAGTCATTTTAAAGAAGTGACTCGAGTCGAGTCGAGTCATTAGGTCAAAAGGTCGCGTCGAGTCGAGTCGAGTCAAATATCTAGCTCGAGTCAATTCGAGTCACGAATATTTGAACACTATATACCAAAATTTATAAAAGGAGGCCATAAGTTTAGCCAGCGTTCGAATCCAATAGCTTTATAAGAAATCGCCCAAAACCAATGATGAATCAGCGAATTAGAAAATGTGTTTAAAAATCTGGTTCCTGGATAGTATTTTGTGCTTTCTAGAACCATGAGGTGGGAGTCTGTGACACGTTGTATATTTGTACATGACTGCTATTCGCAAAGTGAAGTGAGCATACATTTTGCACCGTAAGTCATTGCAAATACTTTGCTCAAAGTTGTGCTTTTATTTTTGGGACTCGAGTCTTATTAGCCTTCGCTGCTCGAGTCGAGTCTTCTGATGAGGGACTCGAGTCGAGTCGAGTCATTTGCTCACAGTGACTTGAGTCGAGTCATTTACCCTTAAGGACTCGAGTCGAGTCGAGTCACCAAAAATTGTGACTCGAGTCGGACTCGAGTCGAGTCATTGACTCGAGTCATTACAACTCTCTGTAGCTTTCTGTAGAGCCCAAAGTTGCCCTGCCTGTTACTTCTTGTACCGCCCAAAACTGCCCAAGCACTCCATGTATCTATGGGTTCATCGGAGAATCAATACAATAGCAGTGTGTATCAAACAAAGACAGGGTATATCAAAAGAGGTAGGGCCTAATTGATAAATAATAGGTATAATAAACTGCTGAACTTGAACAATGTTATGAACTACATGTACACTTTAAGGGGAGGCACTTTGACAGTGTACAAGTTCAAACGTTCATTGCTTTTTATTACCTCTTTTGATACCGGTACACAAAGAACAAGTGCTTTTTTATGGGTTAAATAAGAGGATAAGTGAGAGGACTAGTCTCAGTTCAAGCAGTTGCTGTCTCACCTTGAGGTCTTCCACACCTGTGCCCAACGCTTCGATGTACCCAGAGCACTCCGTGCCCAGGATGAAAGGCGTCCGGGGGCAGTCATCCACCGATCCCTGGCGCGTCATTAGATCCAAGAAGTTGAGACCACTGCAAATAGAATAGATAGAAGTGAAATATCAAGTCAGCATTTTAATCATTGAAGTAAAAGTGTTTTTTTTTTTAAACAGTAATGTTTGTCAAGAGCCACTATATATGGCCCATAAGGCCAGCGTTTATCTCTGGTTTCCTTGGCATGAAACAACTGAGAATGTAATCTCTATTCCCCCTGGATGGGATGCCAGTCCATCGCAGGTTACTCCCCAGCTAATGCTGGTACCCATTTATTCTCCTGGGTGGAGAGAGGCAAGTGGGGGTGAAGTGGCTTGCCCAAGGACACAGAATATGGTCTGCAGCTGGATTCGAACACCTGACCCCTTTGATCATGAATAGGTAATCAGGCTGGTGTTAATGTCAGATTCCTTAGAACTATATTTTCTAAAACAGTCTCACCTGGCATAAAAATGTGGTCTTAACAAATTAATCTTCAATATAAGTTTTTGCAATTTATTGAGTGCTTGTACAGTCATAAATAAACCAGTACTTGAATGGGTAACAAATTTATACTAAACATTTATTGCTGTTTTAGAATGTAAATTCTGTCTGCAAATTAAAAATATTTATTCTAGCTCACGGACTGTTGAAAGTTGTCTTCTGTCATTGCAATGAGTTCATTTTGAGAGCAATTGAAGGACTTGTATTTTTTTTTTACAACATCACAAAAATTATGCAGCTTGAATTTAAAGTGTCTGGCGCGTTGGTGTTGGTTTTCCAGTAGACATGCTGCCTTTTTATATTGCAAAACGACCGGATGTAATACTGATTGCTTAGTGCAATCCGAATACATGAATCCCTATGCACATCTGTCTTAACCCTGGGATTCTAGACCCAATTGGAACTCGCTAGAGTATTATTGCGGTCTGCCTACTTACATGTACTTTGTTTTGACGTCAGCTGCGCGGTCAAAAAATTGTTTAGATAGGAGATTTAGCCTGGGTATTATTAGCTCAGACTCTTAATGAGGTCGTTGAATAAGGTCTGGATGCAAGTAGAAATGTGCGTGCTGAGCAAGAAAATCTGCAGGAAACCAGTCAACAGCAATGTAAACCATGTGACATTTTCACTGGTGCCTCGTTTTTGCTTAGCAAACCTTTTCCCTGTGCTTAATTAGCGGATCTTTGGAATTTAGCTCCTGATCATCAGCTCAATTCACCGTGAATTGAACATTTTACATTGAATATATTGATCTGCATCATGGGCGTCGCCAGGATTTTTTCTAGAGGGGGGCAAAACATTTTTTGCCCAAAAATGCTTGTATTTCTCAACACATTCTCGATTTATCAGTTTTAGAGGGGGGGGGCAGGGAAATTCCCCCCCCCCCCCCAACTCATTAAATTTACACCACTTTGTCTTCGCGCCTCTTTTTCTTTCTTTTTTTCTTTTCTTTCTTTTCTTTCTTTTTTTTTTTTTTTTTTTTTTTTGCTTTTCCAGGGGGGGGGGGGCAAGTGCCTCCCCTTGCCCCCCCTCGCGACGCCCATGATCTGCATACAGTTGATGCCCTATTCCATTGTAATATTGCAAGATGCTTGGAAAATGGCATCAGCTGTATGTGCATAATTACATTCAGTGTAAAATTTTCAATTTACGGTAAGTGGACCTGATGATCTGGGGCCAATTTCACGGCGCTGCTAAGCACAAAAATTTGCTTAGCACAAAAAAAGACTGGCTTATAAAAGCAGGTTACCAGCCAAAACTCCATATGATGTATATTGCTCGTGATAAGTATTCAGCTGTTGTTTGCTTAGCATGAAAATCACGTGGAGTTTTGGCTGGTAACCTGCTTTCACAAGCCAGACTTTTTTTGTGCTAAGCAAATTTTTGTGCTTAGCAGCGCCGTGAAATTGGGCCCAGGAGCTAATTCCACAGATCTATTTACTGATGGATAGGGATGGAAAAGAATAGTAGAAATTAACAAATAAACATCAACCATATGTTTGAGTAGTACATTTTGTGATTCTGCATCGTTATTTCAGAAATGAACAAAAATATGCATGACTGCACACAGTGCATGTGTACATATATCTGTAATTGTACATAATTAGTGCATTGTAATTTGTTTGTTTTCCCGCTTATGCTCATTTTTATGTACATGTATGCTTACATGTATATGCTGTGCACTAGGGGCACTGTCCACCGACCCAATCTCCCACTTCACTACAGGCCCTTATACGTGCTTAGAGATCAGTAGCCAATGCCGAGATGATAATCACAATCAAACCGGGCGAGGGTGGTTGCCGTGCCAACAAGAGGAGCCATCTCAGTGTGTGTGTGTTTGCGGCAACGGCGCATTAGAATAACGTGACATTTCGGAGAGAGAAAAAAAACATCCCCACCTGCAAGGCTGGGATGTTTGCGTGAATTTTCACGGCGATCTTAGAAGGAGATAATGAAGAATAAGTCAATTTTTTTGTTTCCTATGTGTCAAAATACGAGGCATCATGGAGAGGGCTCAGCACTGTGTTGATAAACCTTATTCCAACCGCTTGGTTTTTGTTTTAGGTTAAATTCACGATGGCACTTAATTTCTGGCACATACTTTGCACCATATGGTGAAACATTGCATGAAGGAAAAATGAGAAAACAGTTACTAGTTATTCTTGATTAATTTGTGGAATGTGCTTGTACTTCTTTGAATGTTTCACACAAATGGATAAATAGTGGCACACAGTTATTATTTTGAAATTTCAGATATTAATTTAGTGTACCTACAGGTAGATCCAGCAATGTAGCCTGTAACAGATGTGGTTAATGCTGCAGGTTATTTGGAATCTAGTTTAAGGTCGGTAAAGAAATCTTGAGATATAATGAGAGGCTTCTTAACATGAAAAAAATCATCAATATTTGAGGGAAAAACGGTGACATTTCTGGCATTTGTTTCACAAGTGAAGGGAAAGTACAGCCTGTCTAAAAAAAAATGGTACAATCAGAAAAAAATTGGTTAAATATGAATGTCGAAATAAGTTATTCTTACTTGGCATAATATTAAAGAACAAAGACTGGGCTTTCCAATAGTGTTTGTTTGATCTTATTTGCTTTTGTCAATTCAGAGATATAATCAATTTAGTGCGATACACTAAAATCGATTTTGTGCCACTTTTATGCATGGGCAGAGTTGTTTCGAGTACTGTGCCATGCTGTCTTGAAGCTCACAAAAGATTGCAACTTGGCAAAAGAAACAAACTCGGTTTTTGTGTTCCGCAGTAAACTGGAGTTATCTCTGGATTGACAAAAGCAAATGAGATGAAACAAAAAGTATTGGAAAGCCTGGTCTTTTTTCTTTAATGTGATGCTCAAAACGACTTACTTATGTTGAGATTTAATATTAAAAAAAAAATCGTTTTCAATTGTACCATTTTTTTTTAGACGGGTTGTATAGCCTTTTAAGAACAACAATTATATGACTTGTCACCATTTTTTAAGCAGTTCCTCATTTTTTTTATATTTTGATAATTTTAATTTCAACATGACAACTGGAAGAATTAAGTCTTTTGTTCAAAAACAGTGTTGCCAATGCCTTGATAATTTTGTGCAAGAGTTTTTTTTTTTTTAGAATTGTAGACAGAAAATAGAGTACGTGATATGTGAGGTTCAAGTTTTCAGGGTTCATTTTTGAACGACACTTTCAGACTTAAAATCAACAACCTAAAAACTAAGTACTGTAAATAATTGTATTTATTCAATCTCTGTCACAAGACTAGACGTTGTCGCAGATTTCCATCTCGAGTTCGTTTCATTCGTTTTTGCTGGTAGCTTTGTGTGTGTGTACACAATCAAAGTTTATGAGGTCGCAAAATGTACATGTACATGTACATCTAGGTTCCAAATTTCCCCGGGTGGTAAAAAGATGGAAATTTGCATATCTAATCTCAAAAATTTTCCATTTGGAATAAAGCTACTGGATTGTAAAATAAATACATGTAAAGAAACAGTATCTGCATTATCATGTCTTATATGTTTTGGCATGTTCTTAATGTTGTGCATTTCTGTTTACAAAATTGTTTTGCCAGCAACATCAAACGGCCTGTGCATATTTTTTTTGAAAGAAGTCATTGACAAGTAGTTCATTGAGTTATTATTTCATTCAATAATTGTGTGTGTTTGTTTGATTGAAGTGTAGGCCTATGCTGTTTGGTTATTTGTTTTCAGTGTGGATTTCACAGGTGGTTGATTTGAGGGTCGGTGATTTGTTGGTTAGTTACTTAGTTGGTTGATTGGATTGCTTGTTTGCTTATTTGTTGGTTGGTTGCTCGAGTGTTGCTTCATGTTTGGTCAGCTCGTCGGATGGTTAGTTGGCCAGTTGGCCACAGGTGGTTGATTTGAGGATCGGTGATTTGTTGGTTAGTTACTTAGTTGGTTGATTGGATTGCTTGTTTGCTTATTTGTTGGTTGGTTGCTAGAGTGTTGCTTCATGTTTGGTCAGCTCATCGGATGGTTAGTTGGCCAGTTGGCCAGAAATTGCTGAAAAAGTTGGTTGGTTGATATTAGTTCTATAACGTTATTGATTGGTAGAGGGAGGAAAGCGTGGCAAAAAATTGTTCAGGGTGAGGGGTGGTTAGTTGTAATTGTTTGTAGGTATTCCCTGGTTCGATTGGTCAGTTAACTTAACAAACCTTTGGTTATTCCTATTTTTTTAAATTTCTTTTTTCGATTTTAACTTTCTACCATCTGCTTGCAGTCTATAGAGTTGTTGAAATAAGTGAATATGTGCGGAGGCCCAATCCTGCCAGGTTTAACAAGTAGAAAATAATTTGTTTTTGCAAAATAACGCAATATTTTTGCAAAATAACAAATTATAAATTATAATGCTTATATAGCGCTTTCCATCGTATCAACAATCTCAAAGCGCTTTACAATTAATGCAGTTACGAATTAATGCAGTAGTTTTGCAAATTAAAGGAATACCTTTGCGAACTAACACAATACTTTTGCACAATAATGCAATACTTTGCAAATCGTTAAAAATATTTTTTCTTCTTCACCTGTTAAAACCC